ACCCAGTTCTGCCCAGTTTCCTCCACAAATCCTGCAGACAACGCCAATTTGTGGGGGAAACTTCTGTGTAGCAATGCATGGAGTCAGCGACTCAGGAAGGAGACACGGTGAGAGTTGGAGCTTTGATGTCAAACACTGATGGGTTTATTTCAGAGTATCGGCCGGAGGATTCACATCACAAGTCAAAGAGTCAGAGGTTCTGACTACACGGTAGAGTTGCCACGTCAATTCTGAAGAGCCTCTCTCTATGCTAGCCCTTTTAACTGGTTCACAGAGAGAAATCAACATCTCTGAAGGAGTAGACTAAACAGCTGGGAACACTGAGCCACCTGCGTCCTACACTCATGGCCTCAAATATTTCACATCTTAGAGTCCACAAACACCGATAAAGAAGTGCCTCAGCGTTCTCACAACAAGTACCCTTCGTGCCAGACAAGTTGACCGGTCACAAACTGATGACAACAACACATATGGCACCAAGGCCTTTCCTTAAAGGAGATAACAGACGTCAGAGTAGATCATAAAACGTCACAGAGCAAAAGGTTAGATATCTAGAAGAATTATTCCTTAACAGTTCCTCTCTTTTTATCATTCTTGATAACCTTAAAACATTAGTCTAAGAATAATTTTGGTCAATACTTAAATCAATAGGCGTCTTCAGATTCGAGTGTGGTCTCACCTTACATTCAATTACATCACAAAGTAGAATAAGATTGAAACATTCAATCACAATGATTGATACAGCCAATCATAATAGGAAAAATTATCTCTCATCAGTGTTTGGAGCATCTTTTGTCAATAAGCACAATAATGAACACACATAAAACACAGATACATAATAGCAAACATATTTGTTTTAAACTAATATCTTTTATCATTTAAACCATTAGTTAATGTCATTTATCAAACTATAAAATCAAAACCAGCAGCAGCTTAAAGATTTGCTTTAAGGCAATCACTAGTCAAAAGCATTTAAAACTTAGGATCATAAGAGATCCAGCTAAGGCATACATTCACAGTGGTGATTTGATCAATCTGTAATCTGCAAAATTGCAGTGTCCTCAATTTTAGGATTACTTTACGTTTACTTCATTACAGCTTTAGCCAAGAGTAAGGCACTTAGTCTTAGTAAAATCAATACATTCATTTTAGTCAAGTACATTGTTCAAAATCTGAAAAGGAAAAGTTAGGCAAATATTCAAAGACTTTTGTAAAAACCTGGAAAGGAAAGATTAAACATTCTTAAAACTTTAATTCATACATTTGTAAATGCTACAACTGATCTGTACCAAATGAAGTCTATCAATTATTCTTATTAGCCATACTTACCTGATCATCTACTGATGGTACTTGGAAAGGGTTCTTCTGTGTTTATCTAATGTTGAATATAGAATATCAATTTCTATAAATTATACTTCTCTAATTTGAGGATCAAATATGCTACATAATTGTTATATGAATTATTATAAATATTTGTTTTGGGCCAAAACTGAAATTAATCCAGTACTTGAAGCATCATGTTAGGTCTGTCTGTGCATGGGTAATACATTAAAGAGTAGTGTTGTAAAGTCTGATTGCTGGATGATTAAGGATATTAACATTATCTGTGATAATATTAGAAATATCTTATTATTCAATACCTTGTAATCTGAAAATATTTATTTATTAATTTTGTTTAGTGTGAAAGTGTAATCTGATCTGACTAAATATATTTATCACCACTATTTAACACATGTCTGGTCATTGGAAATATAAAGACCAATCATTAATTGTACATCTTTAAACATCTGGTCATTCAATTCAAAGTTCATCTTTGTACGAGAGCTGGAAGAACATGTCCGTCAGTCTTCAGTCTCCTCCTCCCTTTATGACACTGAGTGTCTGGTGTGTAAAGGCATCCTGATACTGTAGATTAGCACTGAGGTGCTGATTGGCTCAAACTCTTCTTCATCAGAGCGCCATATTTCAACCCCCCCCAATTGCTCTGCTTTTGTGTGGCTCATTCAGTGAGCACTGTAGCTGACCCCCCAGTGAGACGGAGGCTCATCTGCCTGTATTCCTTCTGCTATCTGCTTGAGAGCAACTGCGTATTCCTGATGCATCCAGGTGTCCCCCCCGTGATGGGAGAGGTTAGGAAAACATCAAACTCCTCCAAGAAACATGGAACCTTGTATTATAGAAACCTCTGAAGCCCTCGCTCGTCCTGCAGGGTTGTCTGCTAGAGCCCACCGAGCAGAAAGATGAAGAGAAGAACCTCCTCTTATCAGAAAGGTGAAGAGAAGCATCCCATCTTATCAGAAAGGTGAAGAGAGGCATCCCATCTCGAACGACCTCATGCTTCCTTGCACGTGGCTGGGGGTGCTCTCTGCACCCGGAGAGTGTGACCCTCTCTCTCTGACCCTTGGCCTTGAGAGCTGTCCTAGTTATTGGGTTAACACCTGATAGGGATGTTTTTCTGAGTGAAGACAACTCAAAGTAATGGATTAGCACATTATCATTTAATTACAAAAATAGGATAGGCCCCTCAGAATTATTTGGGAGCCTTCCTGACACATGCACATTATCATTTTGAAGGTTTGTGTTAGTCATTGAACATGCAAGAATCATATACTCATCAGTCCATAGCAGAGAAATGTTATTGTAAGTTAAAAGTGAGCTAGTTCCTGTGGATATAACCCCTTCTCAATGATTCTAAATGTATATTAATTCACCATTTACCTTTTGATAAAATATTAGTTTATCAGAAATATTTTGTCTCTTCCATAAAACATAGGTTTGAGAAATAAATTACCCAATATAAAATAAATTACTCAATATAATTGACTCTTCCCTCCCTTTTCTTACATATGGTACATATGAAATAATAACTTAGGAGTCTATTTAAGCATGGTATAGTTTATAATCTATTAATCGAGAAGACTCAGTATCACCTGTGTGCAGCTTACAAAAACCATTGTGAGAAACATATATTATGCAGGAAATGGATACATTTGTTGAAAAACAAAGCATATCTGATTTGGGAGGAAAAGTTTCATCCCTTTAACATCTGAGTTATTACTGATGGCATAGCATGAATGATATTGGGTGTCTGAGGGTGTCATTACTGAGAAATGTCAAACAAAATCAAAACCTTACATTTGAAAACAGGTTTGCATTCCTCCACTTAAGGTGACGTTATCATTGGAAACAATAAAAGCTAATTGTTTTGATGTAGAATCTATATATTGAATCGTTAGAGCAGAACAGAATGGTTGTATTGTAGCCTGAGTTTTGTGCAGCCTTTAGTTTTACCAGGTGGAAACATTGTCTATATAATGTGAATACATGTAGAACTAGACATTAAGAGACCCCTGACATTAGGCCTATTTGAACAATAGTAGGGGCTTTTACCAGCTCGCCAACTTACAGGCATCCTCTGCATAGCAGTATGAATAGCCTTAAAAACAACCCACTCTGCGGTAACGAGAGTCATGTATCTGAACCAAATGCCCTAAGTGAAGCCGTTAGTCTCATCTGACTGACCCAAGGGTTGGTGCTGGTGTGACAGGGAGGCTTCCAAGTGTTCAAAGCAGATGTCATACTTTCAGTTCATGGCTCAGTGGGGGGGAGCAGACCCATGTGAGACAGTATCAACGGCTGTAATGTTCAGTTTGAGGAGTGTCATTCTCTCTGGGAGCAGGAAATGGTGTCCATTCTCGGACCAGACCATTAATGTCATGTAGAGCAGCCATAGCATCTCTGTGACTGCACTCAGCCGGACTGCAGCAGGGCAGAACTGGGTGACTTTTAGTGAAGCCGTCCATGGCCATAGACAAAATGGAACCACGTACTAACAACAGGGACACAAGGTCATCAATGTCTCTCTTTACCTTTGGCCTAATTGTAAAACAATAATGAATTTCGTCAATAATGTTCCTGTAATATTCTAAGATTTCTTTGCCTTTTTTTAAAGGTTATAAGAGCAAGATAGTTAATACTTAGAAATTCAATAACTCATAATTGTAAGAAATGAAAACCTAAAGCTTTCTGTTGAAAAATTAAGAACTGTTCTACTCTACAGTATATCATTTGTTACTATGACGAATATAAGTGACTAATGTTTCAACTATAATATTATTTTTTCATTTCATTGGGGAAAACTTAAGGAACATATGTTTGCAGTAAAAGAACCGCAAACGTGTGACATAATGATGATGACATGTGAGCTTATAACTCACAAATGTAATCTTAGATACGTTTAATAAAGTGAAATTGGTCGAACTGGTCCCCTTTATTCTGTCCTTGTATTGTCCAGTGTTTGGCTCCAGCATCAAGCACTTTGTCAGAGAAAGCAGCTGTTGTTCCCTATGCAAACGATGCACACACACACACACACACACACACACACACACACACACACACACACACACACACACACACACACACACACACACACACACACACAAATACACACACGCACGCACACGCACGCCCTTAGTCTCCTTGCGTGCCTCCATGTGAATGTCTCATTGTGTCACCAGCAGTGATGACAAATGTCTTTGTTTTACCCTAACACACACCCACACACACACACACACACCCACACCCACACACACACACACACACACACACACAACACACACACATATTCAAGATATTCATTTGACGTTTTTATATTTTTTATGTTTTTTTAACTTTTTGTTTTAATTTCTTTGGTTTGGTTTCCACGTCAGTTATGCCGTCAGTCAGGGCACTTGCAGTTAATATAACCTGACCCACGCTCCAGTGTGATCTGAACTACATGAGGCAAGGTCTCATGTCCCCCTCTCATCATGTCCTTTCTGTCTCTTCCTCTCTTTTCCTCCCGACATGGATGCGCCACGGCGCGTGCCAAAGTTTGGTGCGTAACGGACACCGATCCATCATTCCTTCCCCTTCCTCCTCAACCCCCTCCTCCTCCTCTCCGCCGGGTTCCCGTCATGCTGAGATGTCTCGAGAGTCCAGAGAGAGGAGGAGAGAGGGAACAAGACGGATGACAATAAACCGTTTGAGTCGCCATCTGAAGGGACGACACGCACGTCAACACGTGGATGGATGGACAGATGGACTGATGGAGAGGGAGAGACACAGATTGATAGGTGGAGAGAGACACTGAGTCAAAGAGAGAGAGTTGGTGTCCTTTACGCACGTCACGTCCTGGCCGCTCCATTACCCAGAGTTCGCAGAGGAGGTGATGACAGTCTGTGTTTAACTTTAGTTTGTAAATGTTTCTTTTGGACACTTTAATGACTTCTTCTTCTGCCAGCCTGCGGTTGTGTGTGTCTGCTGGGACTGTTCGGTACTACATGCTGCGGAGCTGCTGCCCCGACCTCCCCTCGGCTTTAGAGCAGGTGTTTTTGACACGTTAACCGTTCGTTAGAAGTGACTCTTTGGACAGGTTTCGAGCGTCTAATCCGGGAGGACATGTCGGGACAGAAGCCGGCCTTGAAGAGCGGCGGCTCCCCTCAGAGCCGCTTCCAGGTGGACACGGTGACAGAAGCAGCAGCCGCCCCGGCCTCCACAGATGCATCCAAGCCGCCCGAGGAGTCCAAAGGCCGGTTCAGGGTGGTGGGCTTCCTGGATGCAGGCGCCCTGGGCAGCGCCATGGACATCGGGCTCCCGCCGGATGTCTTCCACGAGCCGGACACGGCGCGGAGCGACTCGGTCAGCCTCCATTCAACGGGCACGGGACATACGCACATCTCCGACTCCCACTCCAACACCTACTACATGAGGACCTTTGGACACAACACCATAGACGCCGTGCCCAACATCGACTTCTACCGGCAGACCGCTGCGCCTTTCGGGGAGAAGTGGGGCAGACCGTCGCTGTCGGAGCTGCACGATGAACTCGATAAAGTACAAATAAAATGTGTTTTCATTCCCCTAATAGCATTAAACATCATAGCCTACATTGCGGAAATTATCACGCACGTTTGTGGTGGAAGACTTTTTTACCTAAAGTTAAAGTACAAATACCCAGAGATGGGAACTAACTAAGTGCATTTACTCAAGTACCTCACTTAAGTATAATTTGAGATACTTACTTTACTTAAGTATTTATATTTCTTGTATACTTTGAACTTCTACTCCATTACAATTCAGAGGTAAATCATGTACTTCTACGCCTCTACATGTATTTCATACCTTTAGTTACTTTACAAATTTGGATGAATGATGTGAAATATAATCAACTCTTAAATCAGACTTGAGTTCCACCTGGAGTAAATTCACAAGCTACCCTGCATTATACAAAGTCATTCAATCTAGCTGCACCTTTACCAGCTTTGAGAACACTTTAATGATCAATCATTATTTAAAAAATCACATGTATTATTCTGTTGAATGCAGGACTTTTACTTGTAACAGAGTATTCCTACATTCCGGTACTTCTACTTTTACTTAAGTACACGATCATCTGAGTACTTCTCCCACCTCTGCCAATACCGCACTTTTAAACAGAGGATGGCGAAGTTCTCGAATACTCTAAAGTAACTGTGAAGTAAAAGCAGCACTACAACAGCGTAGAATAACAAGTTACATTAAATTCCAAATTGTATTTGAGTAAAAGTACACAAGTAGTCTTAAAATGTACTCAAAGTGTAAAGGTACTCATTCTGCACATCATCACATTCCTAATATATATAGTATGTTTGAAGTATTTATACTTGTGAATTTCTGCAAGGAATCAATAGAGTTTAATCTTAACCTAAAAACATGAAAATATCTGTATTATTCATTGATATGAGAATCTTCAGAGTAGCAGTTGTAAAATAAATGATAGTTAATAGTAAGAAAGTTCTACTAAACTTTCATTCATTTGAAGACCAAATCAAATGCAGCTCCTCCATTTTTTCTTAAGTTAATGTTTAGTTATGGGCGGTAATTAGAGGTATGCAAGCTGAAAACAGAAAACATTCCCTACACTCCATCTCAGAGACTCCGAGTGGGCTTAGTGACATCACTGGAGGCATGACCCCAACAAACAAACACACACACACACACACACACACACACACACACACACACACACACACACACACACACACACACACACACACACACACACACACACACACACACACACACACACAATGCTGCATCTCATGACCCTGTAGGCATCCCACTCCTCTAGGTAGCTGCAACATAGCCGTACATTGTACGCTGATAGTATTCTAACAGCAGGATGTTAGATGAAAATCCTCTAAGACATTTATTTTTAAAGGGATACCAATATGTTAATTATTTTAGGCTGCTCATATTTGTATGTTGTGCCTCTACTGTGACATGTCTCCATGCTTTAATGTTCAGAAAGCTCTTTATTTTTCTCATACTGCCTGTGCTGCAGCACCTCTTTTCACCCAAACCAGAGCCCAGTCTGTTCTGATTGGTTAGCCAACCGCCTCTTTTGGGATTTGTCAACCGCTTAGAGATGTCCCACCCCTATCACGTACAATGTGTTGGATCGCCAGCCAATAGAAGTGCAAGTATTACCTAGTGAGGTCACTATGTCACAAAAGTAAACAAAGGAATCCAATCGAGGTGTTTCAGGCAGGGAGGGGGAGTGTGTGGGAGAGAAACTCCCTCTGGAGGGAACACAGGGATTTTAGCCTTTGCAGACCTTTTACATACTCAAAAACCTATAGAACTCAAGTTAAAAGCCCAAAAAGCACAATAGGGCCTCTTCAGATGTAGGTATATGTTTCTTTTTCATTGATCCACTAATTGATTACTCTCCTGTTTTTTTTTTCTGTCACCCATTTCCCCTTGGCTGTGATTGGTTGTCAGGATCCGTTTGAAGACGGACTGGCCAATGGCGAGGAGCCTTCAGCAGCTGAGGAGGCAGCGGCGGCGTTGGCGGCAAAGAATGCTAAAGGAGGAACTATCAAGTTTGGTTGGGTCAAAGGAGTCCTGGTTAGTGTTATGTACAGGAACATTTAAAGGAGTAGTCCTCTGTTTCTCACTGTGATATTTCATCTTATCTGATCAAATCAATGTTTTCAACAGCAATTGTTATAGCGTAGACTCATCTCCCATCTGGGGTTATAGGCTGGCCCACAGAAGACTAACATGTTTGTGCATTACAGGTCCGCTGCATGCTGAATATCTGGGGTGTGATGCTTTTCATCCGAATGACCTGGATCGTTGGCCACGCTGGAATCGGTGGGTACATTGAGTTTAAATGTTTGAGAAGAATCCAAGTATGAGGTCATTCTCCTTCAAGTGCCAACAGATCAGAAAGTCTCATTAGATGTACTATTTGGCAGCCACAATACTTACAGGTTAATGTTCTATTCTTATCAACTATTCCCATTAATAGACCCAAACCAACACTGAATGTATCTAATAAAAAGTATTGTGGGTCATGTGCCTCTGTGCCGTGTCCCATGTACATTGTCCTGCTGCCACAAATACTCATAACCAAACGTGGATTCATCCGCTAATGAATAATGTCCCTAACAATTTCACAATTTTCCCACTGTTAGTGTAATGTTGGATAAAATAAACATTTCTAATCCCTTTTTAAAAATGCGACTTCTTCAGTTGGGACCATTGGGCATGGAGCTGAGAGCCACAGACAGGAAGTCAGAAAGAATTGAGAGACGCACTACAGTATTGGTTTTTGACTTTTCATGGAATATGTTAAAGGAGAGGTGTCATGGCCATTTCCACTGATCATAATTCCATTGTTGAGGTATACTAAAATAGATTTATGCTGTGCAATTTTCCAAACTCACATTGGTTTCTCATACAGCATCTCTGTAAAGTATGTGTGTTCAGCAGTATTCACTCTCTCCACTAAACGGCTCGTTGGAGCTCTTGCCCCCCCCTCCCTGTGAGCCTAGTGTGCTCCGATTGGTCAGCTCGGCCACTCTGTTCTGATTAGTCAACCACCAGAGAGGCTCCGCCCATGTCTAACAGTGCTTTTTTCGGCTCGCTCTCAGCGGAACAACAGTCTTATAATGGCTTCGGTACAGCCGTATATTTTATACGCTAACTAACCGAACTGTACCTACAACTGTTGTTATAGAAGAGTAAGTTATTTTTACCTGTAATAAACTACTACTGTTTGATGAGAAATCAAATCATGGTTTGCTATATATGAATGATAAGTTATAGGAGCAAATAATTCAGGGAAGAAAGGATAGGCCTACTAAGTATTTCCATCAAACTTTATTTTTAGAAATGTACAAAATGAACATGCGTAAATATACATATATACGCGGTATATCATCCATTCCTCCCCTTATAGGCGTTTTCGGCATCTTGCCTATCGCAGCTTTGTAAGCGGCTGCCGGGGCTTTTTAGGACGAGGCATCAGAGTGGGTCATCCCGTGTGTGTGTTGTCCGCCAGATACGCCAGGAGTTTCCTGATCTGGCTGGACGAAATCAAATGCAAATCACAAAATATTAGAGAAACTTAGTTGTTTTAGATTCGTTAGTAGTAGTTGTGGTAGGAGTGTGTATCTATCTAATCTATCTATCTAATCAACACAGTTAGCTTGCCAGCTAATATGCTAACCTACGTTTGCTAGTTGTTCAGTGTAATATGCCAATCTACTATACAGCTAGTCTAGGCTAGCAAGAACATGTTTACAATTGCAATCTTATACGGGTAGTCTGCTACGTTCGGTCATTCATTGTAGCTGGCATGAAAACAATGTTTTCCCTAGCATGTCTAGCTCTAGGTAGCCTTGTTGTTTAGCTATGTAGCATACACGCTATGAACGGTAGCTTGGTAGCATACACGGCAGGAACGCCAACTATAATGTACTGACCGTACGGTAAATCACCCGGAGTATACTGTCTATGAGTATTTCGTGTGTGAATGCAGACATTCTCCTGCTATGAGATACATGTATGTAAGGCCATCTGCTGATATTGGAGTTGATATATGGGAAACGCTAGCAACTTAGTTAGCCCAGTTAGCACTGTGTCAATGGCTTAGCAGTCCGAAACACGTTTACACATTTAAACAGTCGTGGTAGATACCTTGTTTGATAAATACACAAATAACAATGCAAACTTACAGGTTGTGTACCCGAATCTTCCCCTGCTCCAAACGGTACAAACAAACTAGGAATAGCATCGTCCTTCAGTTTCAAATGCTGTGCATATCCGGCCTCAAACTGGGCAATGTTTTGGAAGCTTTCATCTGTGAAATGCCGCGCACACAGTAACGTTCTTCGAACCTCTGAAGGAACAGTGTTAAACAGATATTCAAAAGTTCATGCATAAAAACCTTCATAACACACAAGGGGACGGGTAATAACTGGAAAAGCATGACACCTCTCCTTTAACTGATAACAATTAACTGATATTGTGAACTAAACATTGATGTTCAGGAATATATAATGAGAGCCATTGAATTACATTGATAAAAGTTCTGTGAAAGCTTGAAATGAGCTGATTTATCAATTTGAGCTAACGGGTATGGTAAGTTCATCATTAGAGAATGTTGGGCCTGTTTGCCTGCTTGAATAAGCTAATCAGTTCTGGAAATTATATGATTCATCCGAACTGTGTTTCTTAGTTTGTTTATGTTTTTTTATGTTTAATAGGTCTCACCATTGCGATCATTCTGATGGCGAGTGTCGTCACCACCATCACCGGTCTGTCCACCTCTGCTATAGCAACCAACGGCTTCGTACGAGGAGGTGATGACAGCAACTGTACACATGCTTTTATTTTGAAAATGTAATCTGATTATTGTGGAGTTTACCACCCAGTTATCCTGAAATACAGATTATTTTTAAGGCAACATATTATGAGAGCCAAAAACCCTAACATTTAGCAGCCAACTTTCAGACATATGAAACCTTTTTTTTCTTTCATAAAAACCACTGGATAAAGAACATATTTGAAGTAATACTGATAGCTATAGTTGATTGATGGCTCAGTCAAGAGTAGGGTTGGGAACCGAAACTCGGTTCCAGATGAGAACCGATAAGAAAATGCCGGGTACCGGGTACCGGGTACCCATACAAAATACACAATTTCGGTTCTGCTTAACGGTTCCTAGATGCGGTAGACTAACCCTTTAGTATTGCAAAGAAAGCCTACAAATGCTCAAAAGTGTGGCTCCACTACACACAAAAAGAGAAAGGCAAGGCACAATGCAATGCCGGTGGCAAGCTAATAGCTTGTTCGTCAGGTTGCACTTCAAATGTAAGCAAACATTTAAGACAGCACGGCATTGAGATAAAAGAATGTACAGTCTTTAATGGCTTGCGGTCTCCGAGCCCGAGTATGGCATCAATAGCCAGCACTAGCACCCCGGACCCGCCGCTTGCATGTCCAGAAGTGCCAGGTCCAGCTAGCCGCGACACACCGTTCTCTTTGGCATTAAAAGGAAAGCTGACCAGAGAAAAAACGGAGGAGTTTCACAGAGCGGTAACAGCATTTGTTGTCAAAGGGCTACATCCCTTCTCGGTTGTCGAAGCGCCGTCATTTAGGTATGCAAGGTTAAAAAAAAATGTGACGATAGTAGGGTACTTGAACAGTAAAAGCCAGGTACTGTTATAAAACGTATGTCAGTAGGTTTCCTGCTACTACCTCAGTTGAAATAAAGCACAGCTATTGTGTATTTTCTTTATTTATAAAAGTGTCAGTTAAAAGCTTGAAAAAATAAAGATATTTCTAAACATTAGACCTCTTTCTTTTACAATTTTGGAATCTAAACGGGGAATCGATAAGAACCGGAATCGAGAAGCAGAATCGGAATCGGAATCGATACATTTCATACGATACCCATCCCTAGTCAAGAAGTTATAAGAGAACTGAAGTGGTGATTTTACTCGCATAATTCAACCTAAAGACCTCTGGGTTGGCAACCACCATCAGCGCTAGAGTGTCCCTGAGAATAAAAGGTAATTTTCAAATTTACGGTACCCCATAATGAAACAATGACTAATACCTGAGTCACTGCTGTGCAGGCGGAGCGTACTACCTGATCTCCAGGAGTCTGGGACCGGAGTTTGGAGGATCCATCGGTCTCATCTTTGCTTTTGCCAACGCAGTGGCTGTGGCCATGTACGTCGTAGGCTTTGCAGAGACAGTCGTTGAGATGCTTAACGTAAGAAATAACTTGGTATAACCATTCGAATTGTGTCAGATTGTTTTGCATAGATCCTCATATTGATCTTGTTCCTGCTGTTGGTTGCAGGATGTCGATGCTTTGATGACCGATGAGCTAAATGACATTCGTATCGTCGGGACTCTGACTGTCATCCTGCTGCTGGGAATCTCTGTAGCAGGGATGGAGTGGGAAGCCAAGGTAGGACAGAACACTGAACATCCTCAGAGGACATCTCATAGACTGACACATGACGCTGATAGTAAATTATAGCTCCCTGCTGTTAATATTAAAGCCTCAAACATGTGCCTTTGGTCTGACTGACATAGCTCAACATTGGTTGTATGGCAAAAATGAAACCATTTGCAAGTATTCATGGTCTCCAGAGGATGAATCCTACATTGTTGATTCCCTGACTTCATCTACCACCACCATGATGATCACATAATAGTTTGTATTCAAATTAAAACAACTAGTGGTTGGATTACATTAACGAGTGGTTTAGATATTCATGGTCCCACCAGGATGAATTGAAATACCTTTATTTATTTATCATCTTCAGGTCATGACAAAAAACCTGCAGATCTAATGCCCTTCCCCATTACCCTCATCTGTACTTTTGGTTTAGCAGTGAGTTTTAGAACGATGGCATGCTATTAGGCTAGAACATTTTACAGTACTTGCTAAACATTAGCATGTTAGCGTAGCCACATTATCTGGTATAATCCAATCATCCATCTTGTTGTAAGAATTTGCATTGTGCAATTTACTACTGCCACGTGTCATGTACAGCTATAGTTACAAAAAAAGGGGCAATTAGTTACAATCTTGATCAGTGATCAGTGGTTGTCTCAAGTTATAAACTAGCATCCTAGATTCAAACACAAACAGCAGATCTTGTGATCAGTAAGGAGATCATTTGTTAAAATAAAAACATCACATTGATTATACCATCCTCCCGATCTGTGTCTTTCTCTCTCTGTCTATCAGGCTCAGATCGTCCTCCTGGTGATCCTTCTGGCAGCCATCGCAAACTACTTCATAGGAAGCTTCATGTCAATGGAAAGCAAAGACCCCAAAGGATTCTTTGGCTACAATTGTAAGTCTGCACTTTTTTTGATGTATACAAACATTTGGTCTATTCAAGTGTCCCTGACCTAACCTATGCCGTTTGAGAATGTATTACTGAAAAATACTTACTATTCTCCTCTGTGTTGGTTCTCTTCTCTTTTAGCTGCTATCCTTTTAGAGAACTTTGGTCCAGACTTTAGAGATGAGGAGACATTCTTCTCAGTGTTCGCCATTTTCTTCCCTGCGGCCACCGGGATCCTGGCTGGAGCCAACATCTCCGGAGACCTCGCAGTGAGTTTTACATTTTGCATAATATAATATAGGCATATAGTCCTGTTCAGAAAGTAAATATGTGTCTTGTGGTGTGTCCTAAGATTTTGTCTTAAGCCCCACTCTTGCATTTCTTTACTAGCTGCCACTTAGTTGTAATAGTCAACAGCTTGGCATCCATTGATACGCAGATGACACTCAAATCTATATCTCTGCTTCATCTGATGATCCAAGCCCTGTGGACACTCTTGTATATAGCGTTTCAGAAATCAGTCATTGTATGGCTCAATAATGTATATGTTTTTGGCCATATTGCATTTCAAGAATAAGGTCACACCTAGAAAAAGCTCACCATATTTCTCTCACGGGTTATTTAGACTTTTCTTGACTGTCTAAACACTACAGCCAGGTACTTAAATTGCCCTTTTCAACGTTTTGAAAAACACTTTAAGGCCTAGTTTCAGGCTGTACAGTTTAGGTTACTAACTCATCACTATGTTGCTCTGCCTCTTTTACATGAAGGAACATTGCTCCAGGACTTAAGTCTATGCTTATGTTGGATATGTTTCATAAAATAACCTGAAATAGTCTACATGTGGAGTTGAGCATGTGAACACAGCTTGATATTTATAAAAGAAAACTTTAATTTTCCTATCATGTATTCATCGATAAACTCACAAAATGGTAATCTCACATAGAGTAATAATTGTCATGTATTATTTATTTATTGTTCTGACTTCTTAACTCTCTTCGATGTGACTACTTTTTTTTGTTTTGTCTTTTTCAGAACACATACTTGTTGTATGAAATGTGTTATATGGTTGATGTTACAAATACATTTAAATTATTACTTTCACCAGGGGAAGTCAGAGAAAATATTATTTTAGCTATGTATCACATACTCATTAGCTTGAGGCTCAAACCACATTTTAAATTGACAAAAAATAAACTTGAATGTGGTCATGTCTCTTTCCTCAGGACCCCCAGTCGGCGATCCCTAAAGGTACTCTGCTGGCCATTCTCATCACAGGAATCACATACATTGCCGTTGCCATCTCTGCAGGTATTTAACACTCATTGGTAGCTCCTATTCCAAAACTCATTAAGACTTGCTTACTTCAGAACTGCTGTTCATTTGTTGCACAAATTGTGTCACGTAAAACTGTGATGATATGCATTTTATAAATATCTTTACAGCTATTATACATTATATGACAATGCTGTTTAAGTCACATATCTGGCAAATATTAAGGAGATGTATACAATGACTATTTTGCACCCTTTTTGGTCCGATTAAAAAAATTAATATTGAAACATATATTACTCTCGCTGTACACATTGATAAATAATTGTTATCGACACCTCTTGTGTTGTTACTTTAAAAATCAAACTTAAGATATGAAATTAACCACACATAAATGAAAAAGGAAGGAAAAGTACAATAAAATTGGAGTGTGATACATCAATGAGTGGTCAGTGTTCTTTGGGGATAATACTCAATAGTGCAGCAAAGCCAAAAAAACACCAGACTCTGGGACAGTTTCATCCCACAGGCCGTAAGACTGTTAAGCACCTGAACTTTTGAAAGAACATACATAACATTCATCCGTTTGTAACTTATATATATCAATATTCCAATTACTTGTATATAGACTATTCTGCACAATTTTATTATATTCTATTTTATTTTATTTATTTGCACTATTATCTGTTTTATTGTGTTGCACTGTTGGAGGAGCCTGTGACCTAAGATTTCCATTGTCATAACTACACTGTAGCTACTGTGCACATGACAATAAAAGCCTTAACCTAATAAACCAAAAGCACGATTTACTAAATCTCCCTGTTTGTGGCTTATGTTAGAGTGTGTGTCGGTTTTCTCATCCTCCAGGCTCCTGCATTGTCAGGGATGCCACTGGCGATCAAAACGACACGGTGACCGACACGGTGAACTGCACCGACGCCGCCTGCACGCTGGGCTACGACTTCTCCATCTGCAAGGAGGGAGGCTGTCAGTTCGGCCTGATGAACGACTTCCAGGTAACGGACGCTAACCCCAACCCCAACCCTAAAGATCTGATGACCAATAAGATACAATACTGTTTTATTATTCAAAATACTGAACAGGCCAGCTCAGGAATTTGTGTCACATAAAGGCCAACACACATGAGCAGATGTGACGTGTATCCAAACACCCACAGCCATTGTTTTCCTATGGAAGCCTACACATTGACGGAGATGCCGTGTCAGGATAAGACCGTCAACACACATTGACAGTCCATCGAAGTAGAAATCTGATCCCATTCATCTTTTAGATCTTGTGTTTGTTGCTGTTTATGCAGCCTTCCAGACCATGATGAGACTTTTCATTTACCTTAATAATGAGACCTTGACTGTCTTTCCATAATAAAGACACACTTTACACACTTGGTTTTAGTGCTACAATTGCCAACACTGCAATATTTAGCCTCAAGATACACAACTTTTATTACCTCAAGTACAACTATTGTATGTATTTGAGATTCATACAAAAAGGTATTTAGGACTATCAAAGGATACATTAGTTTCAGCCCAATACTGATTTGCTACGTCTGGTGCCTGGCATAGACTTCAATGATAATACTGGAAAGCAGATGTATCATTTATAACTCTTTAGCGGCATTAACAGACTCTGTCAAATTAAAAAGTGTAAATTGTGTCAGACTGCAGCTCGTGATTCTGCGCGCCGTCGTAGATGCGTGTGTGTGTGTGTGTGTGTGTGTGTGTGTGTGTGTGTGTGTGTGTGTGTGTGTGTGTGTGTGTGTGTGTGTGTGTGTGTGTGTGTGTGTGTGTGTGTAAAAGACAGAGCTGTTCTCCACAGTGCAGCAGTGATAATAGTGGCTGTTGTTTTGAGTCACAAGGTTCTTTCTGGTTGGAGCTAGAGCTGAATGAGAGCATTGACAACATCCACCTACACTCTCACACACACTCTCACACACACACACACACACACACACACACACACACACACACACACACACACACACACACACACACACACACACACACACACACACACACACACACACACACACACACAGCTCTCTGACACTGATATCCCTGACATTGTTTTGATGTTGTCTATTGCTACGGACGGAAACACTGTCTCTGGTTTAACTATAATGATATTATTACGTTTTGCTGTGTCTCACTAAAATCTGTCCAACTGAAAAACAGTTAAATCTAACATCTGTGTGTGGTTCTCGTCCTCTCACATGCTAACAGACGTCACATAATGTTTGTAGGTGTTGATGTTTCACAATGGAGCTGCCTTCTGTCCTTCTGTTCAGTCTGTAATTTAATTACATAATATTATGTCATGAAAGGAGTTTCTTTTAGTTTTTTAGGAACAATGTCTTAGGGTCCCCACTTGTTCGCATTTATAAACTGTTCACTTAAACCGCTGTTAAATTATGGAGTCAAGCCTGATTTAGATCACACAACTTAGACGAGATTCAATTCCAGATCAGACTATATTAGATTAGTAGGGGTGACATCAAACAATAATCTACATAGTCAAAATTGAGTTGTCAAACCTATTTGGGCTCGGCAAGAATCCAGGTATATGTGGAACTAGGGTTACAAAACATAACCCAAGTTTCTACTCACTGCAATTAGATTCTACGCAAATAAATGTTGTCTCTATGTACCGCAAAAAGCTATTTCTGAGCAAACGGAAAAGTTGTTTCTTTGCACCTCAAACTGTTCTTTTGCACACCAAAATCAGCTGGTTCTATGGAGGGAGCCTTAAGATGTCATTGCTAACCACTGCTCTACAGTATGTGGTTTGTTTTGCATATCATAGAGAAATAAATAAGACACAAACAGTATCCCATAACTTCTTACTTGGCAGTATGTTAGCATAACACTATGCTACATGAGTCATGTTCACGTGTGTGTGTGTGTGTGTGTGTGTGTGTGTGTGTGTGTGTGTGTGTGTGTGTGTGTGTGTGTGTGTGTGTGTGTGTGTGTGTGTGTGTGTGTGTGTGTGTGTGTGTGTGTGTGTGTGTGTGTGTGTGTGTGTGTGTGTGTGTGTGTGTGTGTGTGTGTGTGTGTGTTACAGGTCATGAGTCTGGTGTCAGGCTTCGGTCCTCTGATCTCTGCAGGGATTTTTTCAGCTACTCTGTCCTCGGCTCTGGCCTCGCTGGTCAGCGCGCCCAAAGTCTTCCAGGTCAGAAACTCCTTCATAATCTGATTTATTACAAGACAAATGAACAAAAAACATCTTCTTACACAGACATAAATAGAGGAATTAACGACAATAACTGTTTAAAATTGAACATGTGTATCATCAGCAACCAAAATATAGTGACTTAAGGAGTTACATTTGTAAGGTTGTTATTGGTATTTGTTGTGAATGGCTGAACGAAAAAAAGCCAACGACAAAAGAAAATGGCCTGGGAAAAAAACCCCTGAACTATTAGCTTTTGTTATTATCTTTTAACAGCATTTACCTTCTCTCATCATTGGATACATTTAGCTTTTTTTGGGTCAAACACAGATTTCGAGAGATAGAGGCCTAAAATATCATCCCTAGTCCAATCCATCCAAGCATGAGCCCGATCTAAGAGTTTCATATGTCATATCCCTCTCTCTCTTAAAAACTGTGTTAACAAATGTAATAAATAATTAACTCAATGTTTTGTTATCTAGGCGCTATGTAAGGACAACATTTATCCAGGACTGGGTATGTTTGCAAAGGGTTATGGGAAGAACAACGAGCCTCTCCGTGGTTACGTCCTGACCTTCTTCATCGGCCTGGCCTTCATCCTCATTGGTGAGCTGCTGTCTGTTGCTGTTGCAGCTAAAGATTAAAACTAGAATGAACAGTTCATATTCATTCAAAGCTTTCTGTTGTTGCCTGTTAGCGGAGTTGAACATCATCGCTCCCATCATCTCGAACTTCTTCCTGGCGTCGTATGCTCTCATTAACTTCTCTGTCTTCCACGCCTCCCTGGCCAACTCTCCAGGTAAACCCAAAGTTGAATTGATTCAGTCTCGATAGATGATGCGATCTAAGATGATGATGATATAAGATGCATGCCATGACATAAGAGTTGACTTGAAAAGGTCTCTAACTTTTTGAATACATTCGAGATCAAAGAGTCTTCTTACACCTTTGTTACACTTTTTTTTTGGCTTATTTGAATGCACTCTTATACTTAAGCTGCTTTCACATGATGCGCGACTTGCTCTTTGCTCACCGTTGGGTTGGGAGTAGAGCCTTGCGTTGAAAGTTAAGTTGAGGACAAGTTCAAGTACTCTGAAGAAAATAAAATACTCAGTTAAGCCTCAATTTTCGATTGAAGTAGGTATTTCTTATCTTACTCTGTCCCCTAAGGTGACAATGGTTTAGAGCTCTCATTGTCGTTATTACTGAAAGTTAACTTAATGCCTGTTTTCCCATGCCTTCAGAGGATAACAAAACTTTTTTTGGTCTTGAACTTTTGGACAACATTCCCAACAATATGTGTAGTTTTATGTTGTATTGTAAAACTATATTGGTAACAAGTATATTTCTAGGGCTGCACTTGACCAGAAACATTGTTAGGATAAGGGTTCAAACATGGATTGTTTGCAAAACATGTCTGGTTTTAGGCTATATCAAGTAAATATATGGTGAAGAAGTGTGCTCTAAAACTTTCTTTGTTTCAGTTCAGATTTTTCCTTGTATGATGATCTGTTTATATTTGCCTATTCTAGCATGGCTCTTTTGGTTTAATTCCCGTCTGTTAACACAGGGTGGCGCCCAAGTTTCAAGTACTACAACATGTGGGTGTCTCTGGCCGGGGCGGTGCTGTGCGTGGTGGTCATGTTTGTCATCAACTGGTGGGCGGCTCTGGTCACTCTGCTCATCGTCCTCGCTCTATACATCTATGTCAGCTACCACAAACCTGGTGAGGACATGATGATCTCACATTTTCTTTGCTTATTACTAAGATTAAATCTGATCAATACCAACCACTTTGATTCTGCTTCCATCAATGTGTTGCGCAATCATGCTAGTAACTGCCAACCTACTGTGATCTGTCCAACTCTACTTCCTTTTTGAGTCCACTTCACAGACACTTAACATCATGTGTGTGTGTGTGTGTGTGTGTGTGTGTGTGTGTGTGTGTGTGTGTGTGTGTGTGTGTGTGTGTGTGTGTGTGTGTGTGTGTGTGTGTGTGTGTGTGTGTGTGTGTGTGTGTGTGTTGTGTGTGTGTGTCCTGTAGATGTGAACTGGGGTTCGTCCACCCAGGCTCTGATCTACAACCAAGCTCTGACTCACTGTATGAACCTCACTGGAGTCGAAGACCACATTAAAAACTTCAGGTCAGCTCAATGTTCCAGATTTGGGTTTTGTTTCTGGTTTCAGAATCAGTTACAGCTTTATACCAACTCAGAAAACCTTTTCTAATATATGTTTAAAATCAAGTAGTGTGCAATTCAAGGGGCAATGTCATTGAAAATATTTGTTTTCTTGTAAACCTGCACTCCACCCTCTTAAAAAACAGTGAGAGTGCTTTGGAAGAGAGGTTGTTGAATTGAATATGTGTGTCTGGTCTGCCTGACTCATCCATCGTTTATCTGATGGAGGTTTGTGCCAGTTCAATCCATGATGATGTCTGTTGTGCTGAAGTAGCATACAGATGTTGCGGCAGTAGCTCAGGAGATAGACCTGGCCCTGCAGTTAACATGTCATTGTGTCCTTTGTCAAAATACTTTACCCCAAATTGCTCCCAATGGCACGGAATATGTGTTAATGTCAACGGGTGAATGCTGACTTGCAACATCACGGCTCAGAGACAAAAGCTTCAGTTTGAAGAAACAGTCTTTACTTTGCAAAAAGTCCGTACACTGCGGATCATTCGGACAGGGAGCCACAACAGATGAGGAGTAGATGAAAGCAGGGCCAGGAAACGTAGCAAGATCAGGTACACAAAAGACACTAAACACTAGGGGGAACACTACTGGACTGGAATGGGGACACAGACTAATGGCGCGTTTCCACTACACGGCCTCGCTCGGCCCCGCTCGGTATGGCTGGGCCTCGTTAGGACTGGCTCACTTTATGGCGCATTTCCATTACAGTTTAGGAACTGGGGTAGTATCTATAGTAACGCAGTGTAGGCGGAGCCGTGACGTCATCTTCAATGAGAACCCCAGAAAAACAACACAGCCGTTAGCTGTTAGCACTCAGAGCTCACAGCTCCTCATATATGTTCAGAAACTAGACAAAAGTTAAACAAGTACAAACCACAGACTGCCTGTGTCATGGCGAATACAGTCGCTGCTTTATTTATGTCTGTATAGGCCGTTGTTGTGAGTGTGGACGGTCGGAGCATATACTGCGTTAGCTTAGCCAATCTCCATTTAGAAAACAAGCATTTTAAAAGGTTTTTCCCCTGCCGTCTGTCTGCAGACTTGACAAAGCATTAATTCATGGTTTTTACTAACCGGTATCAGTATGTTGTTACTTCGGCATCATTTTGAAACGTGTATTACAATTAAATCACGGTCAAATATGTCCATCTTGTTGTAGTTGTAGCCCCCTTGCCAGCGATGCTCTCTCTAGTTTAGCATACTCAGCCCGACTCAGCCTCGTTGTCTCTGGCCCTAGACCCGCGATTTTATGAGGCCAGAAAAACTGTGAATTAGGACCCGCCGGCCGGTACTAGGCCAAGTGGAAACGCAACCAAAGACGGGCCGCTGACGTCACAGCCCTCTTAAACCGTGCTCCGCGCTGTAGTGGAAACGCGCCATAAATATATAGGGAAAGGGATGATGGGGAACAGTTGAGCCTTATTTTGGATCAAGCTCAATCAAACTAAAACGAGAGGAGAGGTGAGTAACAAAATAAGACAGGAATTACAAAATGATAACATAAAGTAAACTTGCCGAGAAGGAACCTCACAGGAAAAGCGTTACACAAATGCAGTCCACTGACAATTGTAATTGTTTAGTTTCCAAAAGTGAATGAATAAACCTAAAAACTTAAACGTTTTTTTTGCTAGATTGTGGAAGCAGTCTCTTTTTTTTTTTTTTTACAGAATTTGATTTAAAAAGACCAACCTGTGATTTCCATCAAAACTGAAAGTGCTTTTAAAAAAAAATGTTATGCGATGTTTAAGTTCATCTTTAAATGTTTGAATTCCCCGTTCCCAGGCCGCAGTGTCTGGTGATGACTGGGTATCCAAACTCCCGTCCTGCTCTCATTCAGCTGGTGAATTCTTTCACAAAGAACGTGGGCCTCATGGTCTGCGCTCACGTCAGGACAGTATGTACACATTCAGTTCAGTCTGTTACCTTCACTACATTCTTAACATCACTGAAACACTTTCTGCATGATTCTCCTCTGTCTTTTTCCTGTCATTACCCGTTCAGGTGACCCGTCGGCCAAACTTGAAGGAGTTATCTCAGGAACATGTCCGATGTCAGCGCTGGCTCAATAAAAAACGTATCAAGGCTTTTTACACTCATGTGTTTGCTGACAACCTGAGACACGGGGCGCAATTCCTTATGCAGGTAATGAAACCTGGATCAAAATGTTATTCTTAGGTTAAGCGAGTATCTCAATCATTATTAAAAAGGTCTTAATATGTAAGTGGTAGCCTTAGGTCGCATTCACACCTTAATAGTCTGTTTCTCTAGTACGACAGTTTGTTACATTGTTTCATTTTTCAGAAGGTTCGGTTTGCGTTCACACGGGCAAAACTCAAACAGACTATAAACTTTAAACACAAGTCATGTGCACGGAAATGCTGTTCAACAATTGGTCAGACATTAAGGAGGTAAAAACGCAAATCCCGGCAGGTTATTTTCATAATAATAATAATAATAATAATAATAATAATAATACATTTAATTTCCAAGCGCTTTTTCAGGTGCTCAAAGACGCTTTACAGTGGTGATAAAACGAGATATAATAGAATTTAAAAAATATATTAAAACAGCAACACAACATCATTCACAAATTAAAAGCCAGTCTGAAGAGGTGTGTTTTGGTCAGTGTTTTGAAGGTGGGGGGGTCGGTGCAGTCTGATGTGTTGTGGAAGGGAGTTCCAGAGGGTGGGTGCAGCAATGGAGAAGGCTCTGTCCCCCCAGGTTCGGTGCTTGGTTCGTGTGGGGATAGAAAGGAGGTCAGGTTTCTATAAATGCTGTCGATTTTGGATTGAAAGAATGAGAGGAAAGAATTGCACTGTGCGGTTGTGAAGGATGGGGTGGCGTTGTCACAGGGTTTAAGGAGTGTGCTGATGGTGGAGAACAGAGCCTTGGGGTTGCTGGAGCCAGAGTGTATCAGTTGTGAGTAGTAGTTGGACCGGGCTGCTTTGAGTGCGTTATTGTACTGTTGTAGGTAGTCGGTGTAGGCATGGAGATGAACTGTTAGAGTGGTTTTCTTGTGAAGACGTTCCAGTTGGCGTTTTTGTGATTTCATTTGGCGGAGTTTGGGGGTGTACCAGGGAGCTGATATTATATAATCAGACAATGTGCGTTAAAAAACATTTTAACACATAATGAGAGACGTTCTGCAGTCAGGAGGAGGTTATATCTCACACAGGCTTCACCCTCTACTGGACTCTATGGGTACTACCTCTCAACCATACCATGCAAGTATTCACCTATGAGACTTCTATAAACGTAGCCGGCCCCCGGGGCGGGCCTACCTGAATGCGCGCGCAATCACACCGTATAAAAGGCGGCCTCGCCTCCTGACCGTCATCCTTTTCTCTTCAGCGAGCAGGATAACAACTGAGAACTTAAACGAGAGAAAAGAAAGAAAGTAATATCGAAGATGGACTCACCACTCCTTGAACCCCGGCCCTGTCCTTCGTGCCCTGGTTTAATCGCAGGTGCTGATCCCCACCACCTCTGCTTTGAGTGTCTGTGGCCTGACCACGCGGAGGACGGCCTGACCCAGTCTCCGGCCTGCAATGCCTGCCGCATGCTCCCACGGCTCAGCCGCCGGCATCGTCTGGAGCATTTTCAGGCATACTATGTCTCGCCGGAGGAGGCGGAGGACCAAGATCTCGAGGTGGTGGAAATGGAGGAACAGGATGTCGCGGGAGAGGTGCCATTCGTGTTCGCCATTCCGGCGGGTCGGGCGGCCCCGTTCGTCGAGGAGGAAGACGACGAGGACGCCTCGTTGTCTGGTGCTTCCGGTTCCGACGTCCAGGAGGGTCCGCCACACAGGTCTGCACGTCAGGACTTCCCTGCGGTGATGACCATGGCGGCAGAGCGTGTAGGCCTACCGCTCCCCCCTCCTGGAGAGAGTGAGACGAGAGCATCTGTCAGTCATCCTAGTGGCCCCAGATCGCCGCGGAGCGTCGTGGTTCACAGAGTTGACACAGATGATGGTGGGCCAGCCCTGGGCGATTCCTCAGTTCTGGGGGGCGATGTCTCAGGAAGCAAGTGCAATCGGGGCGTTACCCACTCTGGGCCAACCTCTCCAGGCTTGGCTCCTGAGAGGGACAGGCTGAGACGAGGGGGATTGTCTGACAAGGTTATCCAGACTATCCAGGCAGCAAGAGCGGGATCCACCACAGCTTGCTACAGGCCAAAGTGGTTGGGATTCCAGCGATGGTGTGAGGAACGGAGTCTAGAGCCCCTATCTTGTTCGTTGGGCTCTATTCTGTCCTACTTACAGTTATTGGTGGAAAGGGGGCTGGCTCATTCCACAGTTAAAGTGTATGCAGCAGCCATTTCATCCTGTCATGAGGGATTTGGCGGCAGGTCAGCCTTCAGTCAGCCGCTTATGACGCGGTTTTTGCAGGGGGTCAGTAGGCAGCGCCCAGTGATGCACGCCTCCTCCCCGCAGTGGGACCTGCCCTTGGTGCTCAAGGCTCTGGTCACAGAACCATTTGAGCCTTTGGAGTACTGAGTACTGACTCCCCCCTCCCCTGGACATAATGCACTTATGTTTTTCCCATGCTCCTTGGGGACCCAGGGAACATGGTGCGCAGTAAGCCCCAGGCGGGGCTGGAAGACTCTCCTCGCCTGCCTATGGGCCTATGGGCAGGCGAGGAGAGTGAGAGCCTTCCTCACTATTTTTTTTTCATGCACACTCTTGTGTGTGCTCTACCAGCCAAGTGATCTGCGGCCCCGTCTTCTCCACGGTCACAACTGGAGGAGAGGGAGTGGCGGCGCAGTGGCTGTTAACCAAAAGCCGGTCAGGGGCAGTGTGGGGGGGCCGATGTTGTTGGATGACAGCGCGTTTATATACCGCTCGCTGAAGAGGGTGTACGATGACGGTCAGGAGGCGAGGCCGCCTTTTATACGGTGTGATTGCGTGCGCATTCAGGTAGGCCCGCCCCGGGGGCCTGCTATATTTATAGAAGTCTCAGTAGGTGAATGCTTGCATGGTATGGTTGAGAGGTAGTACCCATAGAGTCCAGTAGAGGGCTCCGCCTGTGCTTATATAACTAGGGTTACAATACGTAACCCCTCGTTTCACTGACGACAGGTGGCTCTGACTTTTATGTATAGTTTTTAGTGTGATAGTTGTTTTTACTTTACACGACACTGTTCAACACTTAATTCTGCTTCACTCTTTCGCTAAAGATTTTGAAGACATCCGCGTTCTCGTGACTCGTAAATATTACGCTTCCTGTGTTCTGGTACGGACTGCATCACACCGCTCCAGAGTTCACTAGCAAGTGGTCCGAGACCACCTGTTTTAGGTTGTTTAGTTCACTTCAGTGGTCTGAGACCACCTCTTTTAAGTGGACCAGAGTCCGGTTGTTTAGTTCACTTCAGAGGTCTCGGACTGCATTCACACCAACCAAATGAACCGCACCTAGCGGCTAAACACACCAGGGTTCGATTCAACCGGACTAAACAAGGCTGGTGTGAATGCGACCTAATTTCATTATTCGTATTTTCCTGTTTTTCTTCTTTTGTTACAGCTGTCTTGAGGATTCAAGCCTTACAAAGATATGAATGATCCAGAAACCCATTGACTTGTATACCTATCCTCATTAAAGTAACACATAACTTGTTCTCTGATGTTCTCTGATGTTCAGGCAGTTGGTTTGGGTCGTCTGAAGCCCAACACTTTGGTAATGGGTTTCAAAAACAACTGGAGTGATGGAGACATGAGAGAAGTGGAGATTTACATCAACACCATACAGTAAGGACTGAAGTGTCTTCTAAAAAGAGCTACTAACATTTATCGGAGGTACTTTATTTGCCCAAAACACAGTTAAAGTTTGGGATTGTGACATTTTTGGGGTTGGTGTCTGGAGACTTTTTAATACTGCCAGAGGATGTTCAGCCTGAGAAGCGCCACTGGGGGCAAGATAACCACATGTATACTGTATCTGTGTAAACATATATGTTATTTCTCCTCACCACCATCACACTGGTTCATTTGTGTCCTCTGTCGTGGATATTTAGTTTTTTGCGCTGCTGGGAGGCGAAGGGAAGCGCTAATTAGCAAATTAGTGTGTCATTTGTGATCCGATAAACAGCAAATTCCTCAAATGTAGTGATAGCATACTAGCAAATAGGCTTCAAGTTCACAGGTCACCAAAACAAGGAAATGTTTGATGAGTTGACTGAATTACAAAATATTTTTTTATCTTCGTAAAATGCATTGATTTATGAAACAGTTTCCCTTGAAAGACAGTAAAGTTGTATTATGTGTTCTATGATGCAGCGATGCCTTTGACCTGCAGTTCGGAGTGGCAATCCTTCGGCTACAGGACGGACTGGATATCTCTCACATCCCGGGACAAGGTACATCCTATCTTTTTCATTTGGGGTCATTTTAGTGGTATCACTGTTCATGTTTTATTGTTTGATGGTTCTGTGATCTAACTCTCTGATTGTCTTTTTTATAACTTTATTGTAAGTCAGTGTTAGTTTCATGTATCTTGTCTTGCTCTGTGAAGCACTTTGGGCTGCATCTTGCATGAAAGGTGCTATATAAATACAGTTTATTATTATTATTATCCATCTGTATATATGTCTTAACTATCTATACTGCATGTCCTCTATCTCCCTGTTTGTCCCTGTAGATGAGCTGGTGTCGTCCCATGAGAAGCCACCTGTTGAAAGTAAGGAGATGGTGGTTACCGTCAGTCTCTCTAAAGACCCAGAATCTGACTGTCCTTCAAAAATCACCAGCAACCAGAGCAGCCCACTCATCACGATAGGTACCCCTGAACACTTATTTACTGTCTGGCTTTCACATCCTGTTTTTATTGATAATGGAACAGTTTTATTCCGTCTATCTTTAGCTTCCATGTACCAGATTGGTCCATCACATTCTCTTTGAACAATCTCAGTTGGACAGACTTTCATCTAATCACTTCTGTCAAAGTATTTCTTTAACCTCACCTGTGTTGATTAATTTCCTGTGTTGTCACCTGCTACAGATTCCAAGTCTCCTCTGAGCCTGACCGACCAGCGTCTGCTGGAGAACAGCCAGCAGTTTAAGAAGAAGCAGGGCAAAGGAACCATAGATGTCTGGTGGTTGTTTGATGATGGAGGTCAGTTTTTAATGTCTAATACAAGGAAGAAGGCTTACTATACATTAGGGGTGTTGAAAATAATCGTTTCTACGATGCATTGCGATGCGGACGTGGACGATTCGGTTTCGATGCAGTGACGGAAGATAACCGATTATAGCGTAGTAACGTTGCTTCCTGATTTTCCGGCCGCGGCTTTACTATAATGTTTTTTTTTCTGTCACTTTAATATCAAATCGGTCGGTGACGCAGAGATCAGGGAACAGACGTGACAGCGGCACAGCGGCACCAAACACGGAGCAGTCTGCTTTATCCACCAACACAAGAACACCAGTCCAGAACCAACAGCAGAAGGACCCGCTCTGAATCACTCCGTGTCACAGGGACACGGACAGAGACACAGGGATTTATGTTTTTCAAAAATAATCGCGTTACAATCATGTCAGGTTTTTGGTGGATTTAATTAAGTCTTGGATTGCAGAGTATGAATGTCCTCTAGCAATTTTCAGATGATATTATTATATACGTGTGTAAAGTTTGTGAAGGCAGGAGGAAAAAAGCTTCCGCGATCACCGTCTCCTCTCCGTTCCTCCAAACCCCGCCCCCTCCCTGAAAATAATGAGTGACAGGCTGATAGTGACCCGATAGAAACTTTATTATTCACTTAATCACTGATTGAGATATAATGAAGCTAACTTAATCTCATACATTCATGGGATTTATGTAACAGTAAGACAGAGAATGTAAGTGTGCACCCACATGCAGTATTTTTGTTTGTATATGCTATTGTAAATACTCCTGTTGCCTGCTGTGTTCAGACTCAAGTCCTGTGTGTGATGCCACATTCAGGACCTTCAGTGTCCTTTTTTTAACAGAAGACCGTTGCTAGAAGCTGCAGCTAGACTGCAGAAGCATTAGTTTTTTGTTTTTGAGGATGGAACAACTTCCCACACAGATATAGGGAGGCTAGACCTATACAATTAATTTATTTTGGTTTATAAATTAATGTCAAGACATTTATGTTATTGATTTCTGAAGCACTTTCTAAATAATAAAAAGAGAGTTCATATGTATTTACTGCATGTATGCATTGATAAAAAATAAGCCATGTGCAGTAATATAGAAAATTGAGGATGCAACGCATTGGTATGAATCGTGATGCATCGTGATGCATCGGGATATCGAATTGAATCGAATCGTTGACAGGATAATCGTAATCGAATCGAATCGTGAGACCATTGAAGATGCACAGCCCTACTATACATATACACGAACAGATTCCTCTAAACCAGGGGTGTCCAAACTTATTTCACAGAGGGCCACATACAGAACAATATTCGAAGTGCTGGGCCACTCACTAGAGGTGAGGTATATTGCCTCATAGGTTTCTTAAGTTATAAATCAGCAAAATCAATCAAATGTAGGGAAATTATTCTTGATAATTGCATATGCTTTAAGAAAAATAAACAGCCTACATCACAGCTCTCCAGAGGGTTTCATTTATTTTGTTAGCAGCTCATCCCTTAAAACAGAAGCCTCAGATTGAATAATAAGGAGAAATATGAAGGGGTGCATTTCAAGGTTGTTATGTAAATAAGTTGTTGGAACATAATTTTCCACTTTAATTGACTGAAAGTGGGCTTATTAACACATGAACACTACTGAGTAATATATGTTTACAGATGTATTTAAGAAGTACAATACAAGACAAGCTCAAGTTTCATTTGTGGGCCGTATAAGATTATACTTTTAGAATTTGCTGAGGGCCAATTCAAAATGGCTCGCGGGCCGCATTTGGTCCCCGGGCCGTAGTTTGGACACCCCTGCTCTAAACCAACTTTAAGCATATCTGATAGCATGTCAAGCTTTAAAGGTCCCATGACATGGCCATTTCTACTGATCATAATTCCATTGTTGAGGTCTACTAGAATAGATTTACATTGTTCAATGTTCCAAACTCACATTGGTTTCTCATACAGCATCTCTGTATAGTATGTGTATTCACTCTCTGTCCTAAACGACTTGTTGGAGCTCCTGCCCCCCCCTCCCTGTGAGCCCACTGTGCTCTGATTGGTCAGCTCGCCCACTCTGTTCTGATGAAACCACCACCGTTACAGCGGAATGTGTTACAATGGCTCTTTTTGTGTCACTAAGAGTCCAGTAGAGGGCGGAGCCTGTGTGAAATATAAGAGAAGGATTCCAACTACCCATTAACTTGTATTGAATGTGTTTGTGTTTCAGGTCTGACTCTGCTGATTCCCTTCCTGCTGACCAATAGGAACAAGTGGGGTGACTGCAGGATCCGCGTCTTCATCGGCGGGAAAATCAACCGCATCGACCACGACCGCAGAGCGTGAGTCATAGCAGCTTTGTTTTTTTTACACTTCATACTGTACACTCACTACATTCTGTATGAAGAAGATTGTGTGTGTGTGTGTCCCGTCAGCATGGCCACGCTGCTCAGCAGGTTCAGGATCGACTTCTCTGACATCCATGTCCTCGGAGACATCAACACCAAGCCCAAAAAACACAGGTATGAACACTGTTCGGAGTTTGATGCATTATAATGTAAAGGGTGTAAGACTATATTTTTAGCACAAGGTCATCAAATGAAGATATTTAAAGGGCCGCAGGTAACTAGAGATGCTGGTTTACCACTTTTTACACTAAAAATTATTCTGTTCTAGTTCTGTGCTGGTGATAGTTTGGTTCGGATGTACAGTAGATTGCAAGTTGAACCAACTGTAGGAGCAATGTTTTTTTGAAGAATCTGGTAGCTTCATGGTAATAAAGTGACGTGTCTGTTGTGCAGTAAGCTGAGCTTTAAGGAGCTGATTGAGCCGTACAGGCTGAAGGAAGACGACATGGAGCAGGAAGCTGCAGAGAGGCTGAAGGCCCATGAGCCCTGGAGGATCACTGACAACGAACTGGAGCTCTACAGGGCAAAGGTCCCCCCCCCCACACTGCACACACATCCACTCCAACCAATCAAAATCCTGCTGAAGTTCACTGTGAGTGACAGCTGTTTTAACGTCAACGTGATGATTTGTGACTTTCAGAGCAACCGGCAGATCCGACTGAACGAGCTGCTGAAGGAACACTCCAGCATGGCAAAGCTCATCGTCATGTAAGAGCTTCTTCATTATCAATGTTACACTTTAACTTCATGTTTGGTTTTACTCACTTACTATATAACTTGAGTTAAAGACGAATGTGGATCATATTGGTCACATGACACCAGTGGAGGAGGAAGTATTCAGAGCCTTTAGTGTTGTGAAAGTGATAAAACCCCAATGTAAAAATACTCTGCCTAAGTCCTCCACTGAAAAAAGTAAACAAAACATATGTTAGTTTAATCAGGGTTATGTAGTAACAGAATACAAATTATAATGTTCCCTGTAACTTTATTATAATTGAAACACTATACTTATTATATCATTAGACTATTATTACTCATGCATTAATTTTAAAGCAGGATTTGTCAGTTGTAGTTGATGACGTTGAGCTTATAACTAATGATTATTTTCGCTGTGATTTTCTCTGCTGTTTTATCTCTCCATTAATGGATATTGCGTTTAGCAAAAAATAGTCAAATAAGTAAGAAATGCTGCTGAAATTACCCACTTGGATAAACTGTTGGTGTAGTTTAATATGTAGGCAAACCAAAAAAAAAATCAAATTTGTTCTTAAGTGAACGTTCTTCCCACCACTGAAGGACACATAACTGGTTTGAAATAGCATTTGTACATTCAGGTTGCTAAAAACCAAGATAAATAATAATACTTGTTTTCTGTATTTACATTTTTTTACATTCTCAGGAGCATGCCTCTGGCCAGGAAGGGCACGGTGTCGAGCGCCCTCTACATGTGCTGGCTGGAAACTCTGTCTAAAGAACTACCGCCTCTGCTGCTAGTCCGAGGAAACCACCAGAGTGTCCTCACATTCTACTCGTAGCGCACACACACACACACACACACACACACACACACACACACACACACACACACACACACACACACACACACACACACACACACACACACACACACACACACACACACACACACACACACACACACACACACACACACACACACACACACACACACACACACACACACACACACAGGGTCCACACACTGACATGGTGTGTGTTACAGTATTACACCGCCTACAGCTGCACAACAACAGAGATATTATGATGCTTAAAGTTTTGTGCCACACTTATGAAACACTCCTGCTGTGAAAAAAAGTCTAATGTTTTTCCATTTGTCTTCAGTTCAGTACATGTCTGTCTCATTAACAAATGTACCGACCAAATCATTATTTTTTATGTGCAACCCAATAACTGGCTGTATATTCTGTGGCTTCTTGTACGGTGGCTGAGAAGTGCAAAAGCGCAACAACAGCCAAAAACACCTACATTTGGAGAAACGCGCTCCAGTTTCAAACACGATGCAAATATAAAAACAGAAATGTGCCACGTTTTCAAAACGAAAAGAAGTTCAAAACACAACAGAAACGGGGACACTAAAAAGTGTTGGACACAGCTGGGACCGGAGAGCTTGTTAATGTTAGGGATGGTACATTTGGCCAACTGTCACTGTTGGCACAGTCTGTTTCATAATTGTAAGTGTTTTGTCAGTATATTTGAAATGATTAGGTTAGCTACATTAGCTAGCTAGCTTACAGCAGATCTGCATATATATTGGAAGGAATCATGCGATGAAATTGTTAAAATAAGCCAAATAACAACAACATTTTAGCAATTTTATAATCCCTGGACCTCAACCAGCGCTCCGGTTCCAGTTTTGTGCCTCACTTTTTAGTGTCCTCATTTCATATTTTGAGCTTCTTGCAGCGTTTTGTATTTTTATTGTTTTGTTTATGCAGCGCTTTTAGTAAATGCTGCACATGTTTCGTCAAGTTGGTGAAGATATTTCTTCAAATTCACATTGATTTTGAGCGCATTTCTCCTGAAGGAAATGTTTTTGGGCGTTGTAGGGCATTTGCACTTGGCGGCCACCGTACTTCTGTGTTTTTATTTAAACTGCAGTGCAAATTAACTTATTTTATTGTTTATTTATATTGATTAAGTCATGTTTCAGAATGTTTGCTGGTATTCAGGTGGCCTGTGTCTTGAAATTGTATTTTCACAGGGTTTCCAGTAGCAAGACACTGTATTTGAGGTAACATTATTTTGTACACTGTTTGATTAAAATATTTACTAAACCACATGTTTCTGTCACGTTTGTTTCAAGTCAGCTTTATGGGATTTGTTGTCGGTCATTTCAGCTCTTCTAGACTACAGGATGTTATAAAAGAAACTGTTATAAAATAAGTGTGAGATATTAAAGTGTTACTTAATGCAGGGTTGAAAAAGTACATTTACTCAAGGGCTGTACTTTTTTGAGGTAATATTCGTTTTCTATTTTGTGCTTTTTTTATTTAAAACATACTGACAAAATAATTACAATTATGAAATAGACTAACTCTGCCAACAGAGACGGTTGGCAAACTTTTTTATCCGAACGCCAACCAGCGCTCCTGTCCCAGCTGTGTGCATACATTTTTAGTGTCCCTGTTTCCGTTGTGTTTTGAACTTCTTGCAGCGTTTTGTGTTTGCAGCACTTTTAGTCAACACTGCATGTTTCGTCAAGTTGGTGAAGGTTTTCTAAATGCTGCGTATAGTTGTCAAATGAATGTACTCTTATACATTTGCATGTGTTTTGCAACAACTGGTAACTACTTAGCACATAAAACAATTAAAATGAGATCCAGATTTACCAGTCACAACATTATAGATAAGAGTAACACATGCGTCACTTCCCGGCGAAAATTAAGGCCCGCCCACTTTTTGGGGAAAACAACGCTGTCATTTGATTGGCGGTCAATACAAATTCTGAAGTTTTTGCCAATCCGATCAGAAATGTAAGAAAACCGTGGATTTATGGATCTTCAAAGAGCCCGATTACGATGGCCAGTCAGGCAAACAATTACATTAAATCATTTGAAATCGACAATCGGGCTCGATATGGTTAAATTAAAATCAGTAGACGAGGCTGTAATTTCGCCAGCTGCTACTCTCATGAGTGAGGCGGAAAATAATTGTTTTATCATGCCAAAAAGCTGCTGTGTCATTTATTGCACCTCAAACATTAAAACAAATCCAGAGTTACGTTTGTCTGTACTTCCTCTAAGAAAAAAGGACAGTAAAAGAAGAGCTCTGTGGCTTCAGGCTTCATCGCCATTCAAATGACAGCATTGGTTTCCCCCAAAAGTGGGCGGGGCCGTAAAGTGACGTAGATGTTACTCTCATCTATGGACATCGATCGCCTGCTGCTATTTTTAACCATATATCGAGCCTGCTCGTCGATTTCCAATGAGTTAATGTAATTGTTTGCCTGTCTGGCCATTGTAATAGGGCTCTCGGAAGATCCAAAAATCCACGGTTTTCTTACATTTCTGACCGGATTGGCAAAAACTTCATAATTTGTATTGACCGCCATTCAAATTACAGCTTTGTTTTCCCCCAAAAGTGGGCGGAGCCGTACTTTTTGCCCGGAAGTGACGCATGTGTTACTCTCATCTATAGAGAGGCAAAGTCCCTCCCTTTCCAGTGGACCTCATGGGACCTTATTTCGGAAAAATTATGTATTGAAGTCAATGGCGAGATAAAACGTATCTTTCAATCCCGTTTGAATTGTGCCATGAATTACACATTATGATGTTTGTCAATCGTAAAAAATCATTTCCATGTCAAAAAAGTCACAGTTTGTCGTAAAACTGTTGAAATATAAGACTATAAAAAATACACAACTAGAAAGACTACAAATCCCAGAGTCGCGTACAGTAAGTGATGTCATAATTGTTTTCCTCCACTAAATATAAGAGATAGCTAAGATAAGATAACTTTAACAAGATGCCTGTGTGCTTTGTACCAGGTTGTAATCATACCAGCAATGGGTCTTGCTCGTTCTTTCGCTTCCCGTCTGATGAAAGGAGAAGGAGTGGCTGGATCAAGTTAGCTAACTAGCTAGTAGCAAGCACGTTAGTTAGCATTACAGCCTTAGCCTTGTCTTTTTTATTAGCCTTAACATGAAGTAACATGAAGTAACCCAAAATGTTACAGTAAGAGTAGTAGTCATATTTCGTGAACCCTTTGAAGAGTACTGTCACACTGGTGTGATCATTCTATAATACACCGTTTAAGCCCGGATGCCCCCGGGGGAGACATGCTTACGCTAAGTCTACATTAGCATTGGCGATCTTTTCTACTTCATGCTATCTGCACAAATGGTTAGCATTGAACATTAAAAAGATCAGGCAGTTCAGGGAGAATCGAAGGAAGGCAGGCAGGGAGGCAGCTTTGCATAACATTCTTCTGGACGTGTTTCATTGTGGTGATAGTGAGGGTAGTCAATCCCTTGTTTGGCAAGACAGTAGTGACGGCCATCTTGGTGACGTGTGTTGTTGTGCGAGACCAGAGATGTAGTTCATTGAGCGGTTTCACACAAAAAAAGTGTTACGGCCCCTACACACGGCGGCGTGCGTTGAAGCTTGCCGGCGGGCGTGTCTGAAACTCGACCAACAACCAATCACATTAATCTCCCGCCCCGGACACACAAGCACGCGGTTTGATTGGCGAGAGCTATTACTGGCATATGATTCGATTGGCTGACGCTTCCGTCAAAGCTTCAAAAGTAGAACATTGCTCTACTTTTGAAGCGAGCAAAGCAAAGCTTTGCTCCCACTATGCAGTTCGGCACAGCGTGACGTCACCCCATTCAAAGTGAATGGGCAGAAGCGTTGAAGCTTCAACGCACGCCGCCGTGTGTAGGGACCGTTACTTCGAAGTTTTACGGCCAAAATTATCTTTTAAATTGACAAACATCGTGTAATTCGTGGCATAATTCAAACGGGATCGAAAGATAACTTTTCTCTCGCGATGAGAGTAACACATGCGTCACTTCCGGGCAAAAATTACGGCTCCGCCTACTTTTGGGGGGAAACAAAGCTGTCATTTGAATGGCGGTCAATACAAATTCTGAAGTTTTTGCCAATCCGATCAGAAATTTAAGAAAACCATGGATTTTTGGACCTTCAAAGAGCCTGATTACAATGGCCAGACAGGCAAACAATTACATTAAGCCATTGGAAATCGACGATCGGGCTCGATATATGGTTACATTTAGCAGTAGGCGATCGTTGTCCATATGAGAGTAACATCTACGTCACTTCCGGGCGAAAATTAGGAGGAGGGGGCTCTGTAAGGAAGTCTGAAGGAAGGGGCAGATTTTTTTCGGTTGTGTACTTTCAAATTCTAGCGCACTCGAGCTGGTTTCTCCATTCTTACCTACCCTACCTTTAAGAGCATTCCATGGAATATAACAAAAAGTGTTTCTGAAGTGAATGACCTACCCCACCTTTAAGGTATCAATAATTGTAATCCAATATATTATTATGACATAAGCAATTGTGTTGTATTACACAATGCGAGTATTTCTATACTATATTTGTACTTTTACATTAGTAAAACATCTGAGTTCTTCCACCATTGGCTTAATCGGATCACATAGTTCAAATATGTGTTAATTTTAACAGAATATTTGTTCTTCCTTCAAATGTAACCTTATTTAAAGTTTCAGTCAACAACACTGTACCATGCTGTACAAGCAGAATGCCTGCAAGCTGCGTTCAATAACAGCAATGAGAGTATGCAGCAGAAAAAGTGCTGAAAGCCGGTGCAAAGTGCAACATGTGCTGCATTTAGAGACTCCTTGGAAAGAGCAACTTTCAAAGTTTTTACCCAAAAATATCATTGTATGAACAACAGCTTCAAAAAGTTACAATTACATATACAAATAATAAAAATCACCTTTCATATACAGTATTAGAGGTTTATTTTACATTATTCTCTTAAAAAAAATAACTTAACGGTAATAAAAACATACAAGCAAACAAACAGTACATTCTTTGAAATGTACAGATATGGGTCTATTCTAACTCTTAAGCGTTTTTGTTAGAAAAACAAAGTGGCAAATTGTCGCTCTAAGTTTTATAAATACGGTAGTTTAAGGATCACCTGAAGGCAGCACAGTTGTACAACGTCGGTGTCGCTCTTGAACGCAGCTCGTGACCTTTTATTCAACATAACAGTTAAACTACTTTCTGGACAGAAGATACACAGGAGCTGAGCTTAAAGAAGGTGAGACTTATTTTATTATTAATATTTACAAATGCTGTGTTCACTGATGTTAGGAATAAACCGTAATGTTATTTCCAGGACATAGACGGGATCAGACAGACCGGAAGACTTTGGTTGCGGTCGAATACTCCAAAAAAACAGCTCCTAAATTCTAACCCTATCGTCTATTCCTTGACCTCGGAGTGAAACGTCATGGGGTTAAGGGATAGTGGATAGGAGAATTCAAAAGGATTTAGGAGAAGAGACTGCGGTACTTTAGAGAATCCGACTGCACTTTCACTATCCGACGTGTTTATGATGCGCCAGCGGAGGTCATAAATGTGCGCCTGCTGCGGTGGGGAAACTATGGAAACTACAGTTTTCTATACAGCGGACTACAACAGGGATGTTTAATAAGAACGAGGGACTACTGTAAACTCTGCACCGTGCTCTGATGCTGTTGTTTTATGCTTTATGAACGGGGACAACAGAGAAACATATTCTCCATGACCAAAGTTGGAATTTAAATAAAAAAGGAAAGTGAAACGTATGCTCGTCACCCTCTCCCTCCGGTCCACATTAATACAAATGATCCCAATACGTATGATTGTATGAACTATGAAAAGATCTTAAAAGCAATACAAATGTATTTATTATAAACGTTAGTCCTTAACATCTATCACTGAGTATATCACCATTCAAACATCTTTTTAAAAGTTGAACAAACCCCACACAGCTTAGTAAAGACCAGGGGCGTCGCCTGGACCTGAAAACATTCGGGGCTTAGCCCACAGTGGCGGCGGCACTAGAGTGGCATTTTTCACTGCAACACTCCCCACACGCACACACACAGTACACCCGCGACTGTTACAATGAAGGCTCGATAATCAGCTCACGGCATATAGGCAGGGGTAAAGTGGTATTTTTTATGAGTGGGGGGCTCACCTCCTCTAGGGGGGTCTGGGGGGATGCTCCCCCGGGAAGATTTTTTTTTAAATATTGAAGTTAGATGCATCAATCTGGTGAACTTTGAGAGCAAAATGAAGAGACCTATGGATACCTCTCTCAACACCCATATGAAGCAGAACTGTAAACAGATGTACTTTTTCTTTATGGATATTTTACTAATCACTCCCCTTTTAAACTCTATTCTTGTTTTACTGCCATATAGTATTTCATAACTGTTTTTCCTTTATTCTCTTATTTTTTTTATAACTATAATGATCATATGAAGATGTGCCGCGGAAATAATCTTTTGAATAATTTGTGACCAAACCGTTTGAGACCCACTGAGATAACTTAGACTAAAGTTATGTATCTAAACACTCAGAGAGTCCTTTAGCTCACCTGAGTCTCTCAGTCTGAGAGGAGAGGACTCTCCTCCAGCTTCTTGTGGAACAAACAGCTCCATAGCCGCGTTCACACCGGAGTACTTTCACCGTACTTTTCGCGTTTTAGTTCCGTGAGTCGCGTTCACACCAAAAATCGTACTTAATCTCGGGTACTTTTACCCCCATTTTTAGAGCCAACTCAGAGAGCGTACTTTTCTGTGGGTGAAAAGTTCTCCAAAAGTGCCCCAGTGCTGATTGGCTGGGCGAATTGCAAACCACGCCCGTACAACTCTGAAAATGTTGTGTAGAGCCGCCATTGTTTTTCCTCGCTACAAAAACACAACGCTCCGTGCGTTGTGTTTGTTTTTGAAAGCAGTTATGGCAAGCATCAAGAAATGATGAGGAGGTGTCGGCGCTTCTGGAGATCTACGCAGAGGACGCGACCCAGGGAATGCACTGAAGCCAGTTCAGTAGCTTTCACTCGACCTGGGAATGTGCACAGCCCTACGGCACACCGGCTAAAAATAAAGAAACTCGGGCAGGACTACAAACGGCGGATTCAGTGGCCAACGATGACGACCACGACGAAGGTAAAATCAACTACATGCACTGGGGTTTTAATCTGCACAATAATGGTCTCAGATGTACTTTTATTTGCTCAGTAGATCAAGCTAGCCATGCTAGCCATAATAGGCTAACACCGGCCCCGAGCACACAGTACACACACACTGTAACTTTGTCTTGAAAGAACGTTACGCATCGAACTGATGTTCACAATCATGTTTATTTCATAATATTCATCATATTTTATGTTTAACTTGCCTCAACAACATTAAACAAAGTTCAAGCATACATGAAGCACTCTTCAAAAAGGAACAATCCTCCGTGTTTGAACCTCTTAAATCGCTGCATAGCCGATTTATTTGGACTGGATTATCCCAGAGGGTCTAAACATTCTTTATAACACAGTTTCAGATTTGTGAAACCTTAATTCTATTTGTGAAAATACAAAAAACACATTCCTAGTATGTTGTAAAACTACATGGCGACTAAACTTGTATATTGTATATTGCTTATTTTCCCCTCTTAGGAAAGCGGACACGGGATGCGAATTTCTTTGACACCGCCCAGGCGTTAGAGGACCGGCGTGCCGTGGTGAATGAGTCGCTGCGTGGAGATCAGATGGTGCTGTTCACCAAGGCCCAGGAAACGGAGGACAAGATGCTCACCTCGATGGAGCGCCAGGCAGAAGTGTTCAAGCAGCAGATGGAGCGCCAGCAGCACCAGGATGAAGTGTGGGCGCTGCGCCATGAGGAAGCGTCGGCGCAGCGGCAGGATGAGCGACAAACTGCATTTAATAACAGTTTATTTGGTATAGTTTTTGTAAATACTGACACACGACACACAACGTTGCACTAAGGTGTGCATGCTGCTGAGAATATCCCTACACCTGGGACAGTTTATTTTATATTGTTATTACTGTTATGACTTTATTTTATATATAATGTTTACTGACATGTACAACTGACACTTTATTTACATTTAAAATTGTTCTATTTAATGTTATGTCTTGAGAGTGCAATAAAGAAAACCGACATGGCGATTAAGCTTATTTCTCCTGACACTTTATCTTTTGTGACCTGTGTAGCATCCTATACATCACATGTAAGTGATTATTCTGATACCATCATGTTTCATCGGTTATAAACTGGCAAAGCTTTATTTGTCATTTATTTATCATCAATGTTGCAACCTTGTGGGGGAATGGCAGGGGCACATACACAAATATGATAATTTATATAATTTTAAATATTATTTGACCTAAACTTTTAATTCCCCCCCATTTCACACAACACAACATGGAGTCCACTATGGGCCAAAACTAACATGTATGTTTGCATAGTGTTTATGGCAGACGGATGCAGTGGGTCTCAGGAAGATATATAATAAAGGTGGGTTTGCTGCTGAGACTCCCTACACCTGGGACAGTTTATTTTATATTGTTATTACTGTTATTATATAGTACAACTGACACTTTATTTTATATTGACAATGTTTACTGACATGTACAACTGACACTTTAGTTACATTTAAAATATTTCTATTTAATGTTATGTCTTGAGAGTGCAATAAAGAAAACCGACATGGCGATTAAACAGATCCTGTATCAGTTTTTCTTCTTCTCTTGTTTTGTAGCGGGTTGCAAACAACTTTAAGGTGCTTACCGCCACCTACTGTACTTGTAATCTTCCCTCAGGGAAAAGTACTCCGGTGTGAACGCGATCTGTACTAAGTACCCTGGGGTTAAAAGCGCCAGGGCTCTTAGTGCCGGAACTAAGTACAGGAAAGTACTTGGTGTGAACGCGGCTCATATGTCCGTTAGTGCAGCTAGCTAACCAGATGCTAACAACACCCCTCCCTCTCTCTCTCTCTCTCTCTCTCTCTCTCTCTCTCTCTCTCTCTCTCTCTCTCTCTCTCTATCACTGTGCGCTATTGCCACACACACACACAGAGCCGAGCTTGAATGACACAAGCACACGTTTATTTCCATGCAACTCTCTGATTGGTCTGGTGTCATGCCTCTGTTGCATTCAATGAACACGGGAAATTACAGTGCTGCCGTCCTCTCTTGTGTCATGATGAGGTTCACGTAAAGCACGGTTAATGTATTATATTATTGAGGGAGAATTGTCCGGGGCTACAGAAAAAACATCCGGGGCTAAAGCCCCGGATGCCCAGGCCAGGCGACGCCACTGGTAAAGACTGTGAAATGTTGACTTTATTTGATCATTTCAGTAAAAACTAACGTTCATATTTGACTTTTTGATTATAATACTGATGAACGTTCAAAACAAAGCACTTTGGCAACTTACCACATAGGCTACGTTTTGAACCGTAACTTTCATGATATCATTTCTCGTTCATAATCGATTGTTTCCGTGAACGGCCGACTGTTGTGTGACGGCAAATGCCGCGGCCGCAAGGCATTGTGGGGCAGCATTTTCTCCTCTCCTTTCGGTTAGGGAGGTCCAGTGGTTCCTAAGCTAAAGGAGGTTATAAAGGAAGTTTGAAACCTCCTTTCCTTTTAATTTAGGCCCAATCCCAAACCACTCCCTCTAGCCTACCCCTCCGTGGCGGAGTGAACTCCGTCTGTAGCCACACTCGCAGCTCAACGAGGCTCCCTCCTGTCAGATGGAGGGAGTAAATACAGCGGCAAGCTTTGGGACAAACTCCCCTCTCTCCGGCAGAAACAGGAAATGCCGTAACTGTATGTAACAACGGTTTCAAATCAGCATCTCTCAGACAAAAAATGTAAATTAAGAACTCAAATAAAACTCCAAACATCTTTCATTGTGTTACTTTTTTGTAAAGCTCTTTTAGTTTTAAACCTGATGTTTATAAGCTTCTTAGTTTTTGCAACAGTCTGTAAATATACACAACTTTATAATAAAATGCACACATTTACCTTTTTCTAGACTAAACACAGGTATGATCCTAAGTAAAAAAAAATATGAGGTTATCATGAGGTTGTTAACATCGCAATTTATCAGTGGATGTTTGCTGGAACTGTTTGTAAACAGCGTGTTTCCTGACGGACACACACAGCGTGACTCCGGTCAGGTAGAGACCGGTCTCAAGTCAGCACCGATGCAGACTCGCTGTTTGAGGGCTTGATAGCCCACTCCCCCTCCACACCTCTCCACACTCGTTGGTTTGGAACAGCACTTAATGTGGCGGACCCTCCGCGCGAACGCGCAAACGGAGGGGTAGTGTGTGTCACTACCCGATCCGTCCACCTGCCCGATCTGTACTGCGCATGTGCGAGATGGTCCGCCATATTGCACAACTCCGTACGGCAACCCAACTAGGACACTTGACACAGTGGCTTTTGGCAAAGCACACAAAGAAAACTCAAAAAACCGAGAGAGATGAGTTATTGTTATTACAACGTGACTTCACTATTATTTAACAACTATTTTTATTGGGTTCTTTTATTTGGGGTTAAGTACATTGTCAGAATAAGTGAGAAATGGATTTAACTTCTGTTGCCATACATTTTTGCATACATTCACAGTAAATATTTATTCAGTATGACAGCTGTCTAACGGAAGTTAAATCCATGTCTCACTTATTCTAACAATGTACTTAACCCCAAATAAAAGAACCCAATAAAAAGAGTTGTTAAATAATAGTGAAGTCACGTTGTTGTAATAACAATAACTCATCTCCATCAGTTCTTTTTCTGCTTTGCCAAAAGCCACTGTGTCAAGTGTCCTATTAGAGTTGCCGTATGTAGTTGTCCAATATGGCGGACCATCTCGCACATGCGCAGTACCGATCGGGCAGGTGGACGGATCGGGTAGTGACAGTGTGTAGGGGTAGGGTGTAGGGGGCGGTTTGGGATTGGGCCTTAGAGAATTCGAACGGCACTTATCATGGCTGCCACTGAGGGACTTCCGGGTCATTTCACTCCGTTAGGAAGGTTCCTAAGCTAAATGGACTATTCGACCGCAACCTTTAACTAACGTTATCTGCCCTCTTGAGTTTTCGGTAATCAAACACACAGGCTGATGTCAGTGTGATTTCCAGCTGTGAAAAATACATAATATTATATCATAACTGTCCTCACAGGTAACATACTGTCGGTTACAGTCACACTGATGTACCTGTCGTGAGTGCTGTATCGCTTTAGATATACTCATTAATCTGTAGTGAACACTGTAACCATTGATTCGCCTTATTCATTATGTGAATATTAAAGCCGAAACACGTGTAGACTGTTTTGCAAGCTGTTCATGTTTGATGCATTTTGTAACAATGTTATGTCATAGGCGTAACCTAAGATTGATTGACAGCTGTTTGCACCAGTAAGGGTGAGGGAGAAAAATATTTAAAGGCACAGAGTCATTTTAATGTTAACATTTTCATTTGTTAAAGGTGGGGTAGGTAAGTTTGAGAAACCGGCTCGAGATACACTTTTTGTTATATTCCATGGAATGCTCTTAACATCCCGATAGCAATGAATATCTTAAGTGCTTTGACAAAAAATCCATTAAAAAAATATCATCTGTGGAAGCCGTAATACTGTAAAAAGCACGACCAATCATTTTAGCCGGCCCGGCTAAAATAACTGGATGGCCTACCTGCCTGTCAGCCTTCCATCTGTGCACAAACTTATCTCGTGCCCTCATTGGTCATGTGCACGTTCGTGTGTGTTGGAGGAGGGGCTCTATAAGGAAGTGGCAGATTTTCTCCGGTTGTAGAGATGGCAAATCCGGATCCTTTTACGGACTCAGGGTCTTCTGAGTCAGTCATTGAAGAGATCCGGATCATACGAGTCATTTGAGTCATATGAGTCAGCATCACCAAGACCGTAGAAATCCTATCGGTGAAACCGAAAAGTTGTTGCATTTCACGAGCATATTATTATTCCATATATTTTGAATATATATATATATATTTGTTTATATATATATATAATATCTGCATGTATATTTTCTATTTCGACATGTATATTTTATATTTTATTTATTTTTCTTTCTATTCTTGTATATTTTGTAGTTTTGTTTTATTGTAAAATGCCTTTTATGCTGCTGTAACAACAACAATTTCCCAATTTGGGATCAATAAAGTACTATCTATCTATCTATCTATTAAACTGACGTTATATTAACCTCCGCTACACAGTGTATTTTGCTTTAATAAAAAATGTTGATCACAAAAAAAAGGGTTATTTTGCGATTTGGCAAATCTGAGTCTGCTGTTGACTCGTGCATGAGGACGAGTCTGCTGGATCTCTGGATCTGCTGCTATATACGCAGGGTGCGTACGAGTCTGCTCTGCTGTGTGTTGCACAGTGAGTCAGGATTTGCGAATCTGAGTCTGCTGTTGACTCGTGAGGACGAGTCTGCTGGATCTCTGGATCTGCTGCTATATGGCTACGGCTCCGAGTCCGCACGAGTCTGCTCTGCTGTGTTTTGCACAGTGAGTCAGGATTTGCGAATCTGCGAATCTGCGAGTCTGCTGTTGACTCGTGCATAATATAGCGCGGGAGCCGGGTGCTGGAGGAGGGGCTATGCTCGTGCACATGACGAGTATGGATCTCTGGATCTGCTATGCTATTACGGTTAGGAGCCGTCGGCTCCTCTGAGTCCCCACGAGTCTGCAGGAAGTTTCACTGATCCGCGTCCCCTCCCCTGAGCCAAACGATCACTTCTGGCAGCTATCCTACTTGCTAAAGGGTAGGCAGATGGACTGGGGTACGTTGTAATGTGATTTTACATGTTATAAAGAAAGTAGCGAGTGACACAATTTATAGTTTTAATTTGTACATCACACCAAGTGTGGGACTCAAGGACTCGGGTTAATGGAGAGGGGAGACTCGTTACGACCAGCTCATTTCTAGGATCCGGGTTAATGATCCGGATGAATCAGGACTCGCCCATCTCTATCCGGTTGTGTATTTTCAAATTCTAGCGATCTCGAGCCGGTTTCTCAAACTTACCTACCCTACCTTTAATGTAAGTATTATAGGTAGTGGTGAACAAAATCGTTTTGCTTCATTCAATATGTGTTTAGCTTTTCTAAAACAACATTTTCAAATTTGTCAAAAAAGTATATTAAAATGTATATGTTTATATAACTCCTTTTCAAGTGTTCCGGAGCCCGTTGTGTCAAAATGTTGTTGAATTGAATCTAATCAAATCTACAGATTATTCAGCAGTAATATTATTCCAAAAACATCGTATAGTAAAAACACTGACAGTGAACATTTATTTGGCAAGATTTGCTGTTTTTTTAAAGTTTATTTTTGTCAACGTACAACCACCGTTTAAATCCTACACATTGTAGTTTAGATAACTGAATAACATGTAATAAATTCTGATTTCATGTTTAAGGGAGGTTTTTTTGTTAGTCACCCAGGCAGCCGGAATGACGAACCTCCAGCTGAGTGCGAAGGAGGAGATGGTGGAGAGGTTTCTGGATGCTGCTGCCAGAGGAGACCTGATCCAGGTGTCCACGATGCTGTCCCAGAGCCCCTCGCTCATCAACCAGACAGGGTACAGCGGCTGGTCAGCGCTGATGCTCGGCGCTCGCAATGGGCATTACCCTGTGGTGGAGGCGCTGTTGTCACATGGGTAGGCCTACAGAGCTGAGATAAAGAGAAAAACTGAAAATATTTACTCCCAAAAAAGATATTGGGTATATCACTCAAATGCTGCTTCGCCACATTGAAAGCAAAATTATGAAGATAAGCTTAATATTTTGTACTTTAATAATACAATTACTTAAAAGTTGTTGACGGGAAAAAAAGTTGGACGTTTTAATTGTTGCATTGTAGTTTATTTGTTGGCTTGGCGTTAGTAATGTAAACAGTGGTCACAGAAACCGTGATTTGGTTCTGAATGCCGTTTCAAAAACGGCGCAAAAGAAAAAATAACAAATGTGCCAAAACACTTGAAAATTAAGAAATATCACACGCGTAGAAGCTGCTGGGAGTCTTCCCAGCAGCTTAAGCCGTAAAATAAATCGCCAGAAGCGCCGACACCTCCTCATCACTCCACCGCTCCCATGTTTTCTTTTGTGTTGCCATAAGTTAGTCTCTCTCCGTTGATGCGCTGGGCTAATGCTAATGCGAGCAAATAAAATGGCGGCTTCACAACACTTTTCTGAGTTTTATGGGGCGTGGTTTGCAATTCGCCGGTGTGAAAGCGCGAGTAGTCTGGAACCGTTTCACCCCTTTTCAGTCCCTGCTAGAGAGGTGGTACTTTCCTGGGGAGGAAAAGGTTCCAATTTCTGATTGGCTGGGCGGATTGCAAACCACGGCCCGTAAAACTCTGAAAAGTTTTGTGAAGTCGCCATTTTATTTGCTCGAAGCTCAACTCCGGGGACTTCCGGCCGGGGACTTCGGGTGGCAGTATACGCCGTGAAGTTGTTTGCGGCCTGCCAGTAAACCCAAAGCAGCAGAAGAAGAAGAAGTGACGTCAGCGGCTTAATTTGCGTAATCCTCCCTCAGGGATTTATTCCGGTGTGAACGCGATCTACTAGATAGTTCCGGAACTGAAGATTTCCGGGGAACTAAGTTCCCGGGAACTATTCCTGGGAAAAGTACTTGGTGTGAAAGCGCCTATTAGTGTTTTGGGCAGTAGCGCATTTGCCCCTGTCAGCCACCGTACGAGAATACTCAGATTTTGTATTGAACTAAAAGTAGCAATACCAAAATGCAGAAATAATCTGTAACAATAAAGTCCTGCATTAAAAAAAAAAGCCCATAATGATTGACATTTAAAAGTGTTTGAAGTATCAAATATAAAAGTTCTCATAAAGAAATTGCCAATTTCCGAATAATAAAATTAGATTATTAAAATTATAATTATTGATGCGTTAAAGGTAGGGTAGGTAAGTTTGAGAAACCGGCTCGAGATACACTTTTTGTTATATTCCATTGAATGCTCTTAACATCCCGATAGCAATGAATATCTTAAGTGCTTTGACAAAAAATCCATAAAAAAATGTCATCTGTGGAAGCCGTAGTACTGTAAAAAGTACGACCAATCATTTTAGCCGGCCTGGCTAAAATAACTGGATGGCCTACCTGCCTGTCAGCCTTCCATCTGTGCACAAACTTATCTCGTGCCCTCATTGGTCATGTGCACGTTCGTGTGTGTTGGAGATGGGGCTCTATAAGGAAGTGGCAGATTTTCTCCGGTTGTGTATTTTCAAATTCTAGCGATCTCGAGCCGGTTTCTCAAACTTACCTACCCTACCTTTAATGGATGAATCCCTCTAATGTTGCAGCTGGTAAAGCCCGAGCTGACTTTAATTACTTTATATACCGAAGGGTAGCTTCTGAATTTTCCACCAGGGATCAAAAACGTGTATAATGTTTGGGCTAGGGTTATCAGAATTCTTTTGTTGGTCATATTTTTTTAAATGAATGTGAATCTACAAAGCAGTTTAAGTTATGAATGTGGTGCAAAACAAGTACAGAACTTTCGACAGGAAATGGAAATACTCAAGTAAACAGTAAATAACACGTTTTTCTTCATCCCTATGTACTGTATCTGTTTTGATTAAATGACATATTGTTTTCCGTGTAAGTGCAGCACATTTCCAAATCTTTTGTGTTCCACTCACTGTTCAGACTTGACAAAGCATTAATTCATGGTTTTTACTAACCGGTATCAGTATGTTGTTACTTCAGCATCATTTTGAAACGTGTATTACAATTAAATCACGGTCAAATATGTCCATCTTGTTGTAGTTGTATCCCCCTTGCCAGCGATCCTCTCTCTAGTTTAGCATACTCAGCCCGACTCAGCCTCGTTGTCTCTGGCCCTAGACCCACGATTTTATGAGGCCAGAAAAACTGTGAATTAGGACCCGCCGGCCGGTACTAGGCCAAGTGGAAACGCAACCAAAGACGGGCCGCTGACGTCACAGCCCTCTTAAACCGGGCTGCGGGCTGTAGTGGAAACGCGCCATTAGGAACACAAAACACAAAACACTACAGATGCATTACTTCACCTAAAATCTCTATCTCTGTTTTTGTTCCATAAAGCTGTGATAAGTTATCCGTGAACAGCTCGTCACAGACTGCTTACGATATCGCCAAGTTCTGGGGCCACAGACACATCTCCAACCTGCTGGGCCATACTGATGACAGGTGCCAGCGGGTGCTGCCGGGGGCTGACCTCCACCAGCAGGAGAACTACTTCAGCAGAGAGACGCTGGACCGGCTCAGTGCCAAGAGGACCGACAAGGGATGGCTGGAGGATAAACAGAGCGACCCAAACACAGTCTACCTCCTGTTCTCCAACTGCAGCCCCATGGTCAGCAGCCCACTGGAGGACCACAATGCAGGGGTATGTTACCTGAGGCAAATGTTGGTAATCTGTTTTAGTTGAAGCTGATGAACCATCAGGTTTGAAAAATAGTTCTGGTGATCTGTTAAGCTTTTACCGTGTTTCATGTGAATGCAGATTTAGCTGGTAAAGCATTCAGCTGTACGCATCTGAAAACAATCATAGTTTGTTGTTAAGTATCCCAAGTACAAATCACACAAAGACTTATTAAAGGGGCCCTATTATGCTCATTTTCAGGTTCATATTTGTATTTAGTGCCTCTACTATGACATGTCTCCATGCTTTAATGTTCAAAAAGTCCTTTTTATGAATACAGAAGCTATCTTTATTAGGTAATAAGAAGTAGATTAGGCCTTAAAGCATTAAGGAAAACGTTCCTTTAGTTTAACATAGAAGTAGAGGATGCCTCTACAAGAAGCTATTTCCAGTCTACATGGTTTATTTGTTTTTGCCCTATATAGTGAAACAACTTTGCGGTTTTCTAAAATGGAGTAGATTCAGAAGGATTTAGTATGAGTTCTTATGGTCAAACTTACGTTTTTGGACAGCTCAGAAAATGGATTGCCCAGTAAAATACCATAGCATCTCTGTAAAGAAGTAGCCTTGTATTTGTGGTTGATAAAGAAATTAATTTATTGACAAAAGACCCACATTTCAATCAAGATGCTTACATGTAAAATAATGTCAGGATCCAATATTTCAGATGCCTTGAAGAAGTCCAGCCTGGATGACTCCTGAATTCATCCTGATTGTTCTCTTCTCAATGCACACATTCCTCGCTTTCCTGTCATTTCAGTGGCGTTATGTTTGTTGCATGCAGTCAATAGCTACTGTAAATGACGTGGCCGTTTTAGTCAGTTTGTCTTTTTCAAAGATTAAAAAAAATGTTTCATGCAGCTCCCGGTGTTTTATTGATCTTTGTCTTTTTGTTTACTTTTATTCTCTTAGTTGTACTTTTTTCTTTGGATATTTATTTTGTTTTGCAGCGAACTATGGCCACGTTTTACTTCGAACGTTTTCTGGTCATTCTTCTGCTACTTTTTTCACTTTTTGTGTCGGAGAGCCATGCTCAGAGGAGTGATGGCATTGTTTACACGCGTGAGCAGCTGATTGCGCTGTGCCGACCCGTGCTGCTGCCCGGAGCCAGGCATGACATCCCGGAGGAGCTTCGGAGGCTCAAGCGGGGCTGCAGAGCTGGGGCCAAGCTGAGGATGAAGAAGAAGATGAGGTACAAACCCTGTGTACCGGCCATCATAATGGGGAACGTGAGGTCTTTGGGGAATAAGATGGACGAGCTCCGCGTGCTGACGAAGACGCAGTGGGAATACCGTGTGTAGCATCATGTGTTTTACCGAGACTTGGTTGCACTCGCTCATCCCGGATAATAACACGGCTCTCCCCGGCTTCACGAGTGTTCGGGCGGACAGGGACGTTATTCTGAGCGGTAAAAAGAAAGGAGGAGGGATTGCACTGTATGTGAACGAACGATGGTGTAATCCTGGACATGTTACTGTGAAGGAGCGTTTCTGTAGCCCGGACATTGAACTGCTAGCTGTCGGATTACGTCCATTTTATCTACCTAGAGAACTTTATTCTGTCATCGTAGTTGCTGTCTATATTCCACCGAACGCGGACGCGGAGGTGGCTGGTGACGTCATTCACTCCTCTGTGGCCAAACTCCAAACTCTTCACCCAAATGCATTCATAACAATAACTGGGGATTTTAACCGTGCAAAACTGGACAAATCTCTGCCTACATTCACTCAGTATGTGAAATGCCCCACCAGGGGAAATAATACTCTGGATCTTCTATATGCAAATACCAAGAATGCATATTGTGCCACTGCCCTCCCCCCCCTGGGCAGATCTGACCACAACCTTGTCTTTTTGGCTCCTAAATATGTCCCTCTGGTGCAGAGGCAGCCTGTATCCACCAGGACTGTGAGGAAATGGACTCCAGGGGCTAATGAGGCTCTACAGGACTGCTTCGAGACCACTGACTGGGACGTGCTTTGTGTGCCACATGGAGAGGACATCAATAATATGACTGACTGCATCACAGAATACATCAACTTCTGTGAACAAACAATATTACCGGCTAAAACTGTCAACTGTTTCCCCAATAATAAACCCTGGATTACTAGTGACCTGAAAACTCTTTTAAATAAGAAAAAGGAAGCTTTTAAGTCTGGGGACAAATCAATGCTGAAGAGTATCCAGCATCAACTGAGAGACAATTTGAGGAGGGGCAGAGATTCGTACAGGAAGAAGCTGGAGACTAAGCTCCAGCAGAACAATAGCAGGGATGTCTGGGCTGGGATGAAGGCTATCACTGGCTTCAAAGGGAGAGACAGACTGACTGTGGGCACCCTGGAGAGGGCCAACGAGCTGAACACCTTCTTCAATAGGTTTAGCTCTCCGCCCGCTGCTGTCTCCTCCACTTCCTCTTCTCACCTCACCTCCTCCTCTCAGCCTGGCGTCAACATCCCCCCTCTGCTCACCACCTACACTTCACACCTCTCCTCCACCACCCAGCCTGGCTTCTGCACCCCCCCTCTGCTCACATTGCCGCTGACCCCCCCCCCCCCCTCTGCTCATCTTGCCTCAGACCCCCCCCCCCTCTATCCCCCCGGCCATCAAGCCCCCCCCCCCCGCTTCACTGTGAGCACAGGACAGGTCCAGAGTCAGATGGAAAAACTCCACCAAGGCAAGGCTGCTGGCCCTGATGGTATCAGCCCCAGGGTCCTGAGGACCTGTGCACGCCAGCTGGCTCCTGTTCTCCAGTATATATTCAACCTGAGCCTGCACTTGGAGACCATCCCGGTGCTGTGGAAGACATCCTGCGTTGTTCCGGTCCCTAAAAAGACAACTCCTTCTGGGCTCAATGACTATCGCCCTGTAGCACTCACATCTCATGTGATGAAGGTGCTTGAGAGACTGGTCTTGGCCCATCTCAGACCGCAGGTGAGATCATTCCTTGACCCTCTGCAATTTGCCTACCAGCCTCACCTGGGGGTGGACGATGCCATTATTTACCTGCTGCAGCGTGCTCACTCATACCTGAATGGATCGGGTTGCACTGTGAGAATCACCTTTTTTGATTTCTCCAGTGCATTCAACACGATCCAGCCTCGGCTACTGAGTGACAAGCTGCAGGCTATGAGGGTAAACTCGTCCACCATCTCCTGGATTACCAACTACCTCACGGACAGACCACAGTACGTCCGGCTGGGCAGTGTGCTGTCTGATGTGGTGGTTGGTAGTATTGGAGCCCCACAGGGGACTGTGCTGTCTCCTTTCCTGTTCACCTTATACACCTCTGACTTTCTATACAACTCAGAGTCATGCCACCTGCAGAAGTTTTCGGATGACTCTGCAGTGGTAGGGTGTATAAGGGATGGACGGGAGGAGGAGTACAGAGCGCTGGTGGGTGATTTTGTTGAGTGGACTGGAAGAAATCATCTGCTTTTGAATGTGGCCAAGACCAGAGAGATGGTCATTGATTTCAGGAGGAAGAGGACATCTCCTCCTCTGCCCCTGTGCATTCTGGGAGAGGATGTGGCAGTTGTGGAGGTCTACAAGTACCTGGGAGTGCACTTAGACAATGGGCTGAACTGGAGGATCAACACTGACGCTGTGTACAAGAAGGGGATGAGCAGACTCTATTTTCTGAGGAAGCTGAGATCCTTCAACGTATGCAGTAAGATGCTGGAGATCTTCTATCAGTCTGTTGTGGCTAGTGCACTCTTCTTTGCTGCGGTCTGCTGGGGGGGCAGCATAAGAGACGGTGACACCAGCAGGATCAATAAACTGATCAGGAAAGCTGGGTCAGTCATCGGCATCAAGCTGGACCCCTTTGAAGCTGTGGTGGAGAGGAGGACACTGAACAGGCTGTTGTCCATCATGGATAACCCCACCCATCCTCTCCACCTGCAGCTGGACAGTCAGCGGAGCTCCTTCTCCAACAGACTGCTGCAGCTCCCCTGTCACAAGGACAGATACTGGAAAACATTCCTGCCCACTGCAATAACACTGTACAACAAATCACCTCTGGCTGGAAGAGAACTCTCTGCTCCATAGTTTCTCTAGAAATAAAACCACCTTGTACATTTTACTCACACATAATCTGTTTCATATTTAATACTCCATAATTCCATATATTTTGAATATATATATATTTGTATATATATATATATATATATAATATCTGTATGTATATTTTCTATTTTGTATTTTGACATGTATATTTTATATTTTATTTTATATTTTATTTTATTTTATTTCTATTCTTGTATATTTTGTTTTATTGTAAAATGCCTTTTATGCTGCTGTAACAAAAACAATTTCCCAATTTGGGATCAATAAAGTACGATCTATCTATCTATCTATCTATCTAATGATTGTGATTCCAACAGGGTGAGAACCAGCTGTGTCGGTTCAGATATGAGACAGTTAAAGATCTTCTCCAGAAACCTGCCACTGTGCTCATCTTCCTGGGGGTGGAGAGGAGGAAGAAGCCCTCCTCTCAGACAGTGGATGGTGTCCGGGAGCCTCCTGCTTGGTTTGCCATCAACACTGACGAAGACACTGCTGAACTTCTAAAACGCTGCAGAGAAAAGAACTGCTGCTTCCCAAAGACACTCAACAGAGACCTGCTGAAGTTCAGCGAGGAAGAGGCAGGTGAGGAAGATGCAGTCTCTTTTTCTTTACCAAAGATATCTTCTGAACCATAAAAGCTATATACAAATTCGGGCTTACATTCAATTAAAATATCTAATGGCAAATATACACATGATTTCCACTTGCGATTAGTTGAAAAAAAATCACACGGTTTTTATCCGTTTTAAATGTACCTTTTAAATGGGAATTTAATTTAAGGTAAACGGCCTGCAAGCTTTAGCCACAAATTGTAGTGCATTTACTCATGTACTGTACTTCTATCTCGGGGTACTTGTACTTTATCTGACTATGTTCATTATATGCTATTTTATACCTCAAGTGGTGTGTGTGTAGGACTCGACGTACACGTGGTAACTCGATTTACATCAACAGTTAATAGAACTTTGTTGTTGTGGAGAGAAGCATCTGGCGGGGCTTTGAGGTTAGGTAGCTTCAAGTTCCATCTTTCCTGAAACCGGTTATCAGCTCTCTTTATTTTAGCTACAGTCACCTTGTGACAAGAGAAATTGCATTTTTAACATGTATTACATATGTAGTCTGTTTGACAGCGCTGACGGGCCATAAATAATATATTATAAAACGGAATCTGTGGACCATATCAACTCTGACCAAAGGCCTAGATTGGCCCCCCAGACTTACCATGACTGAACTAACTGAATAACCCCTGTCCCCTCCCTTGGTCGTGCAGGAGTTGTGGCTCAAGCTCGATCGGTGTTGGCCTGGCACAGCCGCTACAGCTTCTGTCCGACATGTGGCAGCAGCACCCGGTCGGAGGAGGGAGGATACAAGAGGAGCTGCCTGAACTCAGACTGCAGGAGCCTCAAGGGGGTTCATAACACCTGCTACCCACGCGTCGGTATGGAGCTCCAAACCTAATCAGCTTTAATTAATGCTTTAAACTGAGTGTAGGCTGCAGATTATTAGCTGTGTGCAAAAACCTAAGTTGTGTAGGGCACACATCTAGATTCCATCGACACATGCATTTAGGCTGATGTACAGGAGGGAGCATGTACAATGTGCAGGTCATGTGTGGTTGAAAAGACTTTCACCTATGAATGCAGGATTTTGCATATTTTATGATTTTTTTGTAAGTGGTTAAAAATCAAGCTTTTCTGCTCTAGGATGTTGTGATGACTGTAGTCAGGGAGCTAATATCACAGATCTGAGTGCAGTTTAAACCTGAACGAAGCCAAAACGTTAAGTCAATTAATCCAGTATTTATTACAATTTCAATGATCAAATTAGTAATATAAGCAAACATGACAAAAATAGCTTCTTAAATAATTATATTTGCTCGATTTCTTGGACTTTATGAAAGTAAAGTGAACACTTTGGGTTAAAAAGTGGGACAAAATATTTAAACTCTCTGAGAACTTGTAAGGGGATATTTCACTATGTTCCTACATTCCATTAGTAGATTATCTGAGTTAGTTGAAGACCTAAACCTGAGTACAATTATCTTACCTGAAAATCAACATTAACATCACAAGAAATGTGCCCTAACACCTGCTTACATACTTTAAGATTAGCGATGACTGAAACCCGTAAAGGTATATAGTTAGTGTTTGGCAAGTTCATATGAAAATGTAATCTGTTACATATAACTTTAATTGGAGATTGTAAATTATAATCAATATTATTGTCTGTAGAGTAATGCATTTCTGATAATTCTACTTTTGCATTACTCAAACCAAAAAACTTACTTGGCATTATAAATAGAAAGAGTCTCATGTTGTTTGATAGTGACTAATCAAAGTACAGATTCTCAAGTTTCATCGCAAATCCAGTGTGCACAATAGATAAGTCAAATGATGGGCACACTTTTTCTTTAATGCATTTAGTAGCTTGCAAAGTAGCTTTCACAAGATTGCTGAATAGATTATTAGATGTAAATTGAGCTCCTCTTTACTGTGTGTGTTTTCAGACCCAGTGGTCATCATGCTGGTGATCCACCCTGATGGAAACCAGTGTTTACTGGGAAGAAAGAAGATTTTCCCAGTGGGCATGTTCTCCTGTCTGGCTGGATTCATAGAGCCTGGTAAACATCACATTACATTGACTTACACAAACCTTAACAGTAACATCTACTCCCTAAAAGCTTACCCTAAAAGCTACTAACCAGCGGGTGGCCGACCCGTGCAAACATGCTCCAACAACCCAAAACACTTTCAAACTCATTGTAAATATAGAAAAAACACAAATGTGCCAAAACACATGGGACTGAAGAAACATCTTCACCAACTTGACAACACAGGCACAGCATTTAGAACAGGGGTCTCAAACTCAAGGCCCGGGGGCCAAATCCGGCCCGCGACTTCATTTTATGTGGCCCCACAAAAGCTTGCAAAGAATATAATACGTTTATTATACGGTTACATGCCACTTTACAGAAGCAGGTTGCCCATAAACTACATGTCCCACAATGCATCTCGTTTTGTGACATGCGCACTGAAGAGACTTGCAATTATTTGCCCTGGACTTCTGATTTCAGACGTAGTTAATTACTAAGTTATTATCCTATCCGATAATAATCCAATTCAGAGGCAATAAAGTAATATAATACATTATTTTATATTTATATAGTTACAACCGGCCATTTGAGTGCAACCTTTATGCGAATGTGGCCCGCGATGAAATTGAGTTTGACACCCCTGATTTAGAATAACATTCAACAACTTGAAAAAATGTGCAGGGTTTACTAAAAGCGCTGCATTGAAAAAAAAACGGAATAAGCTCAAAACACAACGGAAACCAGGGGACATTAAAAAGTGACGCACACAGCTGGGACCGGAGCGCTTGTTGACGCTCAGGGATCATAAAGTTGTCCATCAGTCACTGTTGGCAGTTAGTCTGTTTCATACTTGTAAGTGTTTGTCAGTATATTTTAAATCACTAGGTTACTAGAGAGAGGTTAGCTACGTTAGCTAGCTAGCTTACAGCAGATCTGCAATAATATCAGAAGGAATCATGTTATCACATTGTTAAAATAAGCGAATACAACATACATTTCAGGTACAGTTGGCTAATTTTATAATCCCTGAACGTCAACAAGCGCTCCAGTCCCAGCCGAGTGCATCACTTAACTAAGTTGGTGAATGTTTTTCTAAATACTGTGCATGTTTTGTCTGGTTGGTGAAGCTGTTTCTTGATTTTGTGCTTTTATATTTGCATAATCTTTTTAACTGCAATGCGTTTCCCGTAATATAAATGTTTTGGGCTGTTGTAGCGCATTTGCACCAGTCGGCCACCGTACAAAAAGCTTACATTGACCCCTTCCTGCAGGGGAGACGCTGGAGGAGGCGGTGAGGAGGGAGGTTGAGGAGGAGAGCGGAGTGAAGGTCGGGCCCGTTCAGTACATCTCCTGCCAGCCCTGGCCGATGCCCTCCAGTCTCATGATTGGCTGCCTGTCTGTTGCCATATCGACTGACATCAAAGTGGACGAGAAAGAGATCGAGGAAGCTCGGTGGTTTCCACGGCAACAGGTTCAAACATTACAAATTCTACTACTTTTATAAACACTGCTGATGATACTACTAATAACAATACTGAGATAATAATAATTGTTATGGCTCAGACTGTCAGATGGTTCAGCTGTTGTCACTGATAATAATTATAGTATTTGTAATAAAAAAAAATGTGTTGCACATATTAGAGAAAACTTTTAAATTGAAATGGATTTTTATTACATTTACAGGACATAATACAAATAAAGATAATATTAATATTGTATAATAATTTAGAATATTTAATAATAATAATAATACACGCATCACAGTTACAAAAGAATAACGTGAACAAAATGTTTATAGAAACAAAATGAATCTTCTTCTGAATCGTCAACACTGCTTGGAAAATATGAAAAAATATATCTTTCTTCTTGGACTGTCATGCCGAATAATGTGGTGGAAGTTGAGTATTTATGTGTGAAAGCAGAGTAGAAGTGATGATGGGGAGTCTGAGGAGAGGTTTACAGTTAACAATATTGCTGTTTTCTGAGCAAAAGAATAGAAAATATTTTCTTTTTGAAAATACTGCTGTTTGACTATAAATCAATTTTTTCCTGGCTTAGGTGATTGACTCATTCAGAGGAACCCGTCCAGCCTTCACTGCTCCTCCCAGGCAGACCATCGCCCACCAGCTGGTCCGACACTGGATCGGCATGACCTCTAACCTCTAACCTCCAGCACTGAACCTCCAGACCATAAGGTGGATCTATGAACCAGCAGCTGTCAGAACTGTTGCTACTCTATTACTGTGGTGGAGGCGTGTGATGCAGTGGGTTGTGAGTTGGTGTTCGGATCAGGGGGGTTACAGGTTCAAACCCCACTGCAGTCAGCATGTCGTTGTGTCCCTGGGCAAGACACTTCACCCCAAATTGCTCCTGTGGGGATTGCCCACAGTATTGAGTATGTAAGTCGCTTTGGATAAAAGCGTCAAACAAGTGACATGTAATGTAATTACGACAAACCAGGAACACTACCGCTGAGGTAACAGCCAGATTCTGAGGGCTGTTCAGGACACGGTATGTTAATGTGGTTTGTTTTCACCGTTAAGTCCAAATCATTGAAACGCACCGCTCCTATGTGGAGAACTGTAGTCTGTACATCACTTGCAGATAAAGGCGAAGACAGAACTTTTCAAGATGGAAAAGATGATCAACAATAAACCTTTACTTGAAAGTAAAAAGAAAAACAGCGATACTGGGATATAAAACTATTCCGATTAATTTAACAGGGTTAATTGAGCAATCTGTAAAAATGTGTAATTGCATACAAACGTTGCCAATTTATTTTTTATTGGTTTTTCAGTTGAATTATACTTAAAGTTCAGGGTAATCCACTGTTAAAAACATACTGTTCACATTTTGTTTTCAATAAATGGATGTTTTCAAAGTAAATGGATAATCGTTTTTAATAATCGTGATATCAATTATTGACCCAAATAATCGAGATTATGATTTTTGCCATAATCGAGCAGCCCTACTTTTGAGACAGTGCTAGCTACTTTTTTAGAAAAAAGGCTGAGAATTCTAGAAGTCTCAACTACTTATACCATTTTTTTAAAATCCCAGATAGCTAACATGCTAGAGCCTCAAATGCACTCAAACCCTTGTCCTTATCGCACAGGACCATTGTGCTTTGCTCTGTAGTTTAAAATTAGGATTGTACTGCCGAATCAACTTCCAAGGTTAGCTTTTCTTTTGCTGTGTAATGGAAATTACAGCCACTAGGAGGCACCAGCATGTGTTTAACCTTCATCTCTTATGGCGCATTTCCACTACACGGTCGGCCTCGGCCACACTCGGTACGGCTCGGCCGCGTTGGGCCTTAACAGGGCCGACTCACTTCATGCTGCGCTTCCATTACAGTTTAGGAACTGGGGTAGTTACTATAGTAACGCAGTGTAGGCGGAGCCGTGACGTCATCTTCAATGAGAAATCCAGAAACACAACACAGCCGTTAGCTGTTAGCACTCAGAGCTCACAGCTCCTCATATATGTTCAGAAACTCGACAAAAGTTAAACAAGTACACACCACAGACTGCCTGTGTCATGGTGAATACAGTCGCTGCTTTATTTATGTCTGTATAGGCCGTTGTTGTGAGTGTGGACGGTCGGGGCATATACTGCGTTAGCTTAGCCAATCTCCATCTAGAAAAACACGAATTTTAAAAGGTTTTTCGCCTGCCGTCTGTCTGCAGACTTGCCAAAGCATTCATTCATGGTTTTTACTAACCGGTATCAGTATGTTGTTACTTCGGCATCATTTTGAAACGTGTATTACAATTAAATCACGGTCAAATATGTCCATCTTGTTGTAGTTCTAGCCCTCTTGCCAGCGCTCCTTTCTCTAGTTTAGCATACTCAGCCCGACTCAGCCCTGTTTGTTGGCCCCGATAGAACCACAATTTTCTAGGGCCAGAAAAGAGGGGAAAAAGTGGCCCCGCGCCGTGCCGCGCCGGAACGAGGCCTAGTGGAAGCACAACCAAAAAAGGGGACGGCACGACACGGCACGCTTAAAGCGAGCTACGCGCTGCAATGGAAATGCGCCATTACTAGTCCTCTTTGCCTTTGACTCAGCATGCAGCACTGATGTTGTTTATTTAGTCTTCATCTGCAGTTTTTGAAGTTAAGCAACAGTTTTCTGTATAATCAGGCCACACATCCGTTTTCCCCAGAAAGGAAGGCTTGACCATGTAATCTGCCTCGCATGTTATCTGATTAACACAGCTGTTTGCCATTAATTCCGGAAAATTTAATTTTAGAGCGGCTTCTGTCTGATGGGCTCTCTCAGAAAAGTCGTCTGGTCGGTGCTCCACCTCTGGAAAGCAGACGTTGGCTTCATGTTTTGGACTCAGTTGAGCAGCATCGGCCTCTCGACTCTCCTCAGATGTGAAAACTCTGTCACATCTTCGATAGTTCAATCCATAGTCAGCTTCATAGGACTGGAGAGGAATGAGTGGGTGTTCTGTTGTCACTGGAGCATCAGGAATATAGTCTGTGTCCACTTCCAGGGCTGACGGTTTAGTGCTGAGTTGGCTGATTGACAGCGGAGAGTTGTTTTCATTGAGGTCCTCTTCATAGGAGGACTTGAAGTTTGGTCCAATCGTGATGAGACCATTCTCACCAAGTACATCCATCACCTGGAAGTCCTCAATATGAAGGATGTTTCTCTCTGCAGTTTTCTGTTGAGTGGAATAATTGATTGGATTTTAATCAGGAAAGACATTATAGTTTTTCCCCAAAAAAAAGGCTTGTATTTCAGTTTTTTTATCTGATTTATCGAATGATTAAATAATGTTAAATATTTCAATAGGACATCATAAAGTGTCAGTGAAGAGTTGTAAATGTAACGAAAATCAAGAGCTTAATAATGTCTGTCAATTTAAAAAAACATAAAATCAACTTTTACAATAAACACTTCGCAAAAATGAAAAATGTTCGAAACAAATGTTAAACATTTGCATTAATCTGTCTTATTTCTATGTTCAGAAAAACATTGGGGGGAAATTAACATATCTTTACAACTTTTAAACTGAATATGAGAAACATATTTAACAGGATTGTTTCTGTGACCTTTTCGTGTTTGGATCAAAAAGACATTAACACAGCAGTTTGAATAACTCACATGGTGATTAGGGTCCATCAGCCACTGGCCTGTCGTACTGCCCCGAGGGCTGGGGATGGGCGGAAAGAAATACGACTTGTACCTGCAGAGTAAAGGGGTTAAAGAGGAAGAGAAATATAATCCTAGTTTTGAAATGTAATAAACTACTTTAAAATCTTTTATGATCAGTGGGAAAATGCAATGTAACAAAGCTGAAACTGCCGTCATTTCAGAGCTTATGAAAAGTTGACTTTCCTGAGATATATGGTTCTCACAAGATAGTGGCAAAGCTCCAAACATGTGATGATGTTAAAGTATATGATGCATTGCGGTAGCTTATACCCAACAGAACATAAAAGCACATTAAACATCTACAGCAGTGTAATGCAGCGTACACATTTATAAAGCAGAATATAATAATAATCCAAACACGTCATCATAGTAAACACTATTATTATAATATTATTGACTATGTTATATCAGCATGTTTACCAATTGTTCCATTACTGATTGACAGACCAAATGATAAAGATGCTGATGAAGCGCACAGAATGATGTAAAAGTAATGCATCCAACCAATCACCAGCCACAACCCAGTAAGTGTATTCACATTTTATTTATTGGAACCCTCAGATGTGACCGTGTGTGTGTGTTGACTTACACAGTCCTGGACAGGATTGAAATGATGAATACAGTAAGAGCCAGCAGCAGCAGAGGCGTTGCTGTAGCCACCGCTGGCACCTCATCTGAAATGAAACATTCATGGTAAGGTCAGAATCAGAGGATTACTATAGCCCTTTCTAATTTCTCAATGTTCCCCTCCTCGACTCCTAGCCTCATGTCTTAGTCCCGCCCACAGGTGATGCGAGCGGAGGAGTCGAGGAGGGGAACCTAGGAGAGAGCTCCTAAAGCATATAATATATATTATGCTACAGCCGTTGTATATTTTATTATGTGAAGCACTATATGGTTTTATGAAAGATATCTACTCTTTATTTGTATATATCTACTAAAGCCTACAAATAAAGAGTGTAATTTAGGCCTGTTATATACATATATAATTTAGTGATCCAGAGAGCCTCATCAATGCTCGATCCTCGATGTTCATTTCGAGAAATGAGATGTCCTTCAAGATGGCGCGCTGAAATCTATTTCCGGGTCACTACAGTGGAGTCGAGGAGTCATGGTGTCAAGGAGGCAAACATTTGAGAAATGAGAAAGGGCTTATGTGTAAATGTTTGTATTCCTCTAATGACATCACACTGTAGATACCACAGTAAACAAGAAACGCTTGGACCGTAGCACATATTTATTAAATTGTGTGTCATTTTATTAATGTATTTCATCCTGGATGTCTTGCCTGAATAAGGTTTACTTAAAGCCCTGCAAATACAAAACGCTGCAAGATGCTCAAAACACAACGGACAAGGACAATGACAGTTGGCCAACTTTCTAATCCCTGAACGTCAACCAGTGCGCTGAGCTGTGTGCATCCCTTCTTAGTGTCTTAGTTTTGACGTTCTTGCAGCATTTTTCATTTGCAGTGCATTGTTTATCCAGCGCTTTTTGTAAACTTTTTCTAAATGCTGTGCATGTGTTGTCAAGTTGGTGAAGATGTTTCTTTATTTGCATGTGTTTTGGCCCATGTGTGTTTTTATATTTGCATCGTTTGTTAGAAACTGCAGCGCATTTCTCCTAAGGGAAGTGTTTTTTAGCACCTGTCGGCCACTGTAGAAATTCAGTGTTCAGAAATTATTTTCCAGGCCGTGCCAATTCTTTAAGTCTAAAAGTATTATAACAATGCACAGAAAAAAGTGATTTTATTATTTGAGTGCTAGATGATATCTTACTTACTCAATTAAATTATTGAAATTATTTCTTGGCCCTTAGAATACATTCGTCCATTTTAATTTAGGTGCTAGAATGTTAAATACAAATGTTAAGTGTTGCATTTTAGATATCAGTTTAAGTATTGCCTGTAAGCTTGTAGGACTGCTATTAGGGAGAACATTTTGTTCTGGTATCGTAACTGATCTTTTTTTATCAAATTAATTGCAGGGTTGACTATTGGTGCTTTATAAAATATTAAAAAAATGTTTACCCAATGAGATTTGGGGAAATTAATCATGTAATAATATAATGACTGATTGAAGTTGAAAATATAGAACAGTTTGGCATATTCACATTCAATTTAACTTAATGCAGGCTTTAAAACTAGGAAAAGACAACCATAATGCCATATTATGATATCCAAAATCTAAGACGATATATATATATATATGTCTTATATCCCAATAATGGTATAGTAAATCAGCCCTTTGAGCATGATGGAAAGAAAATCTACCACATATAGCAAAAAAGGTCAGACCTAACATCCTCCTCTAAACAACAAATCATATCTTATCCTTATTCCTGTGTTAGGAAAGGAGATTTCTTCTTAATATCCAACAGTTCAAATACACTGGGACTTATAAATGGCATTCTGCTTTTAGAAAACAAGTTACACTCACCAACGTTTGTTTTCACAGGGATGATGTTTCTAGTTGCATTATCAACCAATAGGAGAAGAGAATACTCAGTGTTGGGTTTCAGGTTGATGAAGGTGAGCTGCCATTGGTCCGGCCACAGAGACAGAGCTGAAAAGGAGAAAGCATGCTCTTATCTACTGATGGGTCGTCAAACAACTTGGAAATGTGACTTGAGAAACATTCACAGTTGAGGTTTTAAAATAATGAACCAACGGATTCACTTTTAGCATCCAAACAGCAGTGAGGAAATATATTGCTTTGTCTGAATTCACCTTCTTCTACTTTGAGCGCCTTATAATATCATTACGTTTTATATTAGAAAATGTGTGTTTTGAGCAAATTACCAAAATGGGATTTCCTAATAAAAAGGTACTTAAATGTTTCAGTTTGAAATTCAGAGCAGAAGGTTTGCCTCCACAAAGCTCTCAACTGGTGGCTATCAGCTAACAATGCTAGCAGCTAACAGGGCTAACAGTAATTGTACATGTTCAGGGGGTGCTGTTGTACGCAGGGGCTCTTGCCGCCTCCTGGGACTTGTAAACCACCAAAATGATCTCTTGTGTAACGAAAACATGCCCGGAATCTTTTTTTTTCTGAAAAATTTGGGAAATAAGCAATGGAGAAATCTTTCTTAATTTCAGATGGAATATCTTTTAAATTAAAACGTTTTTTGGGAGTTTCCAGAAGCAGCAAGTTGCGCTGGATGCCCCTGATTTGCATAAAGTAGCCTATACCTCAACTTGATGCCAACTACTATTGGACAAAATGACGCACATTGTCTAGAATCGCATTATGGCGCTACCAGAATGCATTACATGGCTGCCTACATCCATGATTACACCATCATAGCTTTGAATACCCCTGTTTTAGAAGAACACCTACTTTGTCTCTCTGAGTCTCTCCTCAGCATCACTCTGTATCTGTTCTCTGTGACTGTTCCAGCCTTCCTTTGCCACACCCACTCCACCTTTACTGTCGTCTTGGTCACGCCCACCACCTTCAGTTGGACCGCCTCCAAAAGAGCTGAGAAAACACATTTATTATTATGTTGCTTTGTTCCAAAGAGTGGCTGCAATCATCATGACCACCATGTTCACCTCCCTGCTGCAGACTGGCAGGCAGCGACTGAGGAGATCCACACTGCTGGTTATAGACGGGGAACACAGTAATCAGGTAGGAGTCCTCAGGGTTAACATCTGTAAACACACCACACACTGTTAGTTTACATACTGTACATAGAACAAACTGTTTATGGTATTCTTAACCTTAAAGGGACCTATTATGCACATGTCCAGGTTTAGTGCCTCTACTGGGACATGTCTCCATGCTTTAATGTTCAAAAAGCTCTTTATTTTTCTCATACTGCCTGTGCTGCAGCACCTCTTTTCACCCTCTGTCTGAAACCAGAGCCCAGTCGGCCCTGATTGGTTAGCTGGCCGGCTCTGTTGTCATTGGTCAACTGCTTAGGGATGTCCCACCCCTAGACTATCACGTACAATGTGTTGGAGCGCTAGCCAATAGAAGTGCAAGTATTACGTAGTGATGTCACTATGTTACATAAGTGAACAAAAGAGTCCAATGGAGGTGTTTCAGGCAGGAGGGAGTGTGTGGGAGAGAAACTCCCTCTGGAGGGTACTTCGGGATTTTAGCCTTTGCAGACCATTTACATGCACACAAACGAAAAAAACGAAAACATTAAAGGTCCCATCATATGCTTTTCTGGTTATTACCCGTCCCCTTGTGTGTTATGTAGCTTGTTATGCATGTAAACGGTCTGCAAAGTCACAAACCCTTAAAGTACACCCTGTAGCGAGTAAAACTCTAACACAGAAAATATGTGTCTATGCTGCCCCAAAACGCCTCATTGTAGATTTGTATTTTTCCATTTTTTTCTTCCGGGGCAGGTTGACGTCACTAAGTCCAAATGGACCAATTGACTCCAAATGGACCAATCCGCACACACACACTCACTCAGCCAGCACCGCGGAGCTCACACACACACACACACACACACACAGCAACCAGGAAACGACACCAGTAATCGAGCTCTCACTGTCCGCTCCTCGAGCCCCACAGGGCGGACCAGCGAGCCCCGCAACGTCCCGCCAACACGGCACCCAGACCCCACGCAGCATTCTCATCTGTTTGTCATTACTGGTGTCATTTTCTGGTTGCTAACAAACGCCATTGTAAAACATAATCACTGATGTTCCGCTGTAACGGTGGTGGACTAATCAGAACAGAGTGGGCGAGCTGACCAATCAGAGCACAGTGGGCTCATAGGGAGGGTGGGGGGGGGCAGGAGCTCCAACAAGCCGTTTAGGACAGAGAGTGAATACACATACTATACAGAGATGCTGTATGAGAAACCAATGTGAGTTTGGAACATTGAACAATGTAAATCTATTCTAGTAGACCTCAACAATGGAATTATGATCAGTAGAAATGGCCATGTCATGGGACCTTTAATGCATGTCGGTGATCCTAAAAAAGCTTGTGACTGTAGTTTTTTTATCAAACAAACACAAAATGGTAGTTTTCTTGGGGACTACTTTCAGTGGTGGATTATCCACATTTGGTGCTCTTGTGAGTGTTTAGTGGCAGTAGGAATAATAATAAATTCCAGTGTGTGTGTTCATGGTAACAAAGGAATGTGTTACCTAGTGTAACAGTGAGGCTCACTGATCTGTTTTTGTGCAACAATAGATTTACATGGAACAGAGGAAGATCAGGATGTGATGCACCTTGTATGACAGTGGAGGTGGTGAAGTTGCCCACTGTGGTCCCACGGCTAGTAGATGGACGAGTCTCGGTACGCCAATGAATGGCAAGATGACTGACGGGTGGGACGGAGGGCAGGACCTTGGGGTTCTCCCATTGGACAAGAAGGCTTTTCATAACCGGGAGAGAACTGGAAACCCACAAGCTGCTGACTGGCGGAAGAGCTGCAGAGATCCACCAAAGGATTATAAGTGATGGAGAAAACCAAGATTCTGTTGTAGTAGGATATGTTGCAAATCATCATTAATGCATTTAGGCGTTGGTGTACAAGTGAGTTTGTGCACGCTCACTGTGAGCAGCGGAGTAATTCCTGGACAGGTTGATCCATAAATCAATAATCTCAATATTTAGCTAATTAAATATTCAAAATTCAATTTGTAACCATGCGTATAAGAGTTTACTGGCATCTTATCCAGTCTCGTGCCTTGCACAGTTCAGGAATTTAAAACACATTTGAAACAAACAATAAAGATCTCTTCACAGGTTCATTATGACAGAGAACATTTGACTAGATAAGTGTTGTGTTGCAATAAGATTTATCTGAACATCATGATGTTGCTCTGTTGCTTCCTCTGCAAGAAAACTCAAAAATATACACTCACTGACAGGATATTGCAAAAGTGGAAAGCCACAAGCTTTATACAGTATCTGATCGTGTATGCAACTTTATGCAGATTTCACTTATATTACAGAATCCTTTGCTTCTTTGTGTACCTCAACATGACCCTTATATAAAAAAACTAATTATTTACATGAAATAACCCTTGTGGCGCTCACCATTTTGTCTTTGTGTGTCAATGCTGAGATGAGCAGCAGGTCCATAGCCAGCCGTGTTGAAAGCTGAAACTGTGACTCTGTAGTTCCCCTCCTTCACCACCAGGAGCGCCATTGACCCGGTGACATTTTGAGTGAATCTGTCCTGCGCCTGCTGATTCTTCACCAGCTTGTAGCTCACCTGGTATCCATGGATACGAACTCTGGTACCAGGGAGGTCGAGATGCTGCAGAGAGAAGGGGCGTAAGCATAAGACATTTTATGCCACATTTGTTTAGAGATTTGACAAGTCAGTATATTGTAAGTACACTTCAACATATTAGATATTGTAAGTTAGGGTTATATTTCTGTTAGTCAACCAAACTTTATACATTTCTTATTTTCACTAGTGACATTTTGTGTCATGCATTTCAAATGAGTCAATCAATCTGCCTGTTTTTCTTTGCAATAAATAGCAACATTTGCTAATATTACTGACAGATACTGACAAACACAGGGGATGCTGTGGCTCAGTGGGATAGTGCGCTCGGATCAGGGGAGAGCAAATTTGAGTCCCGCTGCAGTCAGCATGTCGTTGTGTCCCTGGGCAAGACACTTCACCCCAAATTGGCTCCTGTGGGGATTGCCCACAGTATTGAATGTATGTAACCCTACCCTACGTCACCTCCACTGGCTCCCGGTCAAGTCCTGCATCACATAATATAAACTCCTCCTCATCACCATCAGTCCCTCCATTCCCTTTCCCCTCAGTACCTCATAGATCTTCTCCGCCCATACATCCCGTCCCGTACTCTTCCATCCTCAGACTCTGGCCTGCTTTCCATTCCCCATTCACGCCTCAACACTTTCGGGGACCGTGCTTTCAGTGTTGCTGCCCCAACCCTCTGGAACTCCCTCCCTGCTGAAATCTGTGATGCCCCTTCTCTGGACATCTTCAAGGGAACCCTGAAAACTAGTCTGTTTGAAATAGCATTCCAACCTTAGTTACTCATCCCCCTGCCCTCACAAACTACATCACACATTGCCTCAACTGCCTTCTGTCTTCTTGTCTGTTTTCTTTGTAGTCCCATTGTGTTCTGTCCTAGAGTGTCTTTAGTGTCCCCCCCCCCTCTTTTTAAAAGCATCCTTGGGTATATGAAAGGCGGTATATACATTTAAGTTATTATTATTAGTATTATTATTAAGCCGCTTTGGATAAAAGCGTCTAACGAGTGACATGTAATGTAATGTGGTACGACGAAGCCAGTTCAACAGACCCTAGATATCTTTGAGTTACATGGCTTAACTAACCCTAACAAAAACAATCTCACTAAGCGATCTTACGACGCTGGTTATCAACTCGGCAAGTGAACCCAGGGTTTCTCTGTCCGGCTAAGAGCGCGTTCACGTGACAGGGGCGGGGTTAGCAACATTTGATATGGAATACAAACATGGATATATGTACTGACCTCGCGTCATGAATGAAGAGTAATCTATCACATGAGACAAATATGAAAAGTTAAACTTTAAACATCCATGACTTCAACACTTAATCCAGGATAAAAGCAACAGGCAGCTGCAAAGAGCAGAAAGAATAGATGTTTCAAACTGTGTGAATGCTTAAACTAAAAGGTTCATAATATCACTGCCCCACTGGATCTGACTTTAATTCAACTTGAGTGTTTTTCAACATGTTGCTTGAAATAACACTTCTCACAGTATGCTGTGACTGTGAGTGCACGACTCTGGTGTGTTGCACGGCTCCAGAAGCTGACACAGATAAATGATTATATGATATGATATAAAGAAGAAGAAGATTGAACTTTATTGTCATTACATAATACAGGTACTAGTAACGAAACGGTTTCTCTGCATTTGACCCACCCTAATGTTAGGAGCAGTGGGCTGCCATTATTATGTACGGAGCCCGGGGAGCAGTGTAGGGAACGGTGCCTTGCTCATGGACACCTTGGTAGCACTTGGTCTTTCCGGGACTTGAACTGGTGACCTTCCAGTTGCCAAGCCCCTATGGACTTTGCCACCACCGATTGATAAGTGCGACATGTCGGGGACATGCACTTACAGTGCGTTACTTTGCTCCGGTTACTTATGTTCTGGCAGATATTTCAGTACGCTTGCTTACAGCAAATGTTATAATAGTCAGATAGTTCTAAAGATGGGCAGTGATATTCTACTAATTTACATGTTCACACAGTCGCCGACTTTTCAACATAACACCAAGGAGTCATCCTACGTATGGTTCACTCATACGTAGTGAACCACCGTCGTAGGAATATGAACTTTGAGTTAACCCTGAAGTTACCTCACTGACTCCAAATCCTGCTTCGTAGTACAGGCCTCAGGTGTAAACTCCTATACTGTTTTATTTTGATATGTATTTCCTCCTTGTGTCTTGTCTGTTTTTACTTCCTTTCTTTGTGTTTTCCCGCCTGTGTGATTGTCTGATGTGTGTTCACCTGCTGCCCCTGTGATTCATCTACTCTCCAGCTGTGTCTTCCCAGCTAGCGGGGAACGTTCTCACAACTTTGGCTAACGTTACCTATTGGTTCTAATAAGGTTTTAAAGAAATGTTTTAATCTGATGTTCAAAGAACCTTTTTAGGATGTTTATTTTTTCAAATAATGTTCCTATAAGGTTTAAGGTTAACTAAGACATAACGTTTTAACTGCAACATTCAGAGGATGTTTTGAGGATGTTATTGAGGCCTGAGATGAGTTTTTTTATAAAACGTTCCTTTAATGTGATATGTTAACAAAGGTGAAAGTTTTGCCTGCAACATTCTAAGGATGTGTTTTGGACGTTGTTGGGTAACTAATTAAAGATGTTCTTTATAAAACATTCCCTCAATGTTACATGATAACAAAAGAAGAACATTTTGAAAGCAACATTTGGATAATGTTTTCAGGAGGTTATTCTTTTTTTATAAAACGTTCCTGTGATGCGAAATATTAACACGGTCATGATCAACGTCAGATTTATTTGTAGTGCACTTTAAAATACAAACTTGTTGCATTTGTTTGAAAAGGATGTTTAAAAAAAATCTGATGTCACCACATTTTCCTTTTAAAAAAAGCATGTAATTCATGATATTGCATGTTTGCGTAGGCATGTCTGAGTTCCCAGCTAGACATTGTTGGTTCTAAAAACATTCTGAGAATGTTACCATTCATTGTTCTAGGAATGGTTTAATCGAGAAGTTTTATTTTGGTTCCTAGAATGTACTTCTGAAAGGTAGGATAACGTTCTCTAAAAACATTCTTAAAATGTTTGGTGATAACATTGTTCGAACATTATACCCCAAGTGTTTTTGTTGTTTATGCACATATCTCAATTGTCATATGGATCGAATAACACTTAGAAAACCAAAGACAGACATATAGAAGAACGGACCGACTATCACTGCCCGTCCCTGAAACCCCTGTTAGTGTTTGTATGCGAGTGTTTGTATGTGTTTGTTTCTACTGTGTGTGTCTCTCTCTCTCCCCACACCTGCCTGCTGGTCTGCTCTACACGGCTGGGAGCAATCTCCAATCAACCACACCTGCAACCTGCTCATCAGCCACACTATGAAAGTCTGCAGCCTGCACTCATTCCCTGCCGGATTGTTGCCGTGAACGGTTTGTTGCGTGCCGCTCTAGCTTTTTGCCAGCATATTCTTTGACAACTTTGCCTGCTTTTGCCTCACACTCATTTTTGTGTCTCTCCCAGGAGGTAGTGATGGCGAGATGAAGCCTTATGAAGCTTTGAAGCTTTCCAGCCAATTGGTTCGCAAAAGGGTTCATCTCATGAGGCTTCATCATGGGCTTCATTTGAACACAAACCCCCCTGTTGGTCAAAGTGTGTAAAACAGGCAGATTTGACATCTCAACAGTGTGCTCTATCTCATACCGAGTTCCCAATGAGTAAAGCCTTAGAATAACTCTTAACAACGAACATAAAATCATATTTTCATGTTAACAATATTGTTTTTATTCCAGTTGAATGATTGTGATTGAAAAGCCTAAGGAGGCTGGTAAACATTGCAAAGAGGGATTTGTATTCCTTAATAATATTCATGAACGTAACCATGTTGTAGCCTGAGAAAGGCTAAACCATATCAAAGAATACATTTATTAACTACATTATCTCATTTAGCTGTAGCTTTTATAATCAACAAAAAAGACGTATTGTTCAGTCGTTGAACCAGGGACCCTGCGGTCTGAGCCACAGCACACACGCTGAATCTTCCCGAAAACACTCCATCGTATTTATTCCTGTATTTATTCATGTTCCTACATTTATTTATGCTTGTATCTATTTATACTTATGACATGTTCCGACCTCTATATAAGTGAGGGTCTGAGCTCTTTTAATTCCATCGTGTCACCAGCGGACCCGGGTACAGGAGGGGTAATATGGTTCTTATTATACATCCATGGGTATTATGAGCGTTGTGGTTCAACGGTTCAACCGATCTGAATCGCTTTCTGAAGCAGTCACGTGGTATCGACAGGCAGCGAGGCTTCGTTTGTCATCGATGACGTCACTGGCCCAAAACGATACAAGCCTCGATACATGCTTCACAAAAAGCTTCAGGGATTACTCGACACACGCTCCGAAGCCTCGGCGCAATACGTAACATCACTACCAAGAGGAATCCAAGGCCTTCCACACTCCCAAGACCAGCCAGGCCTCTCCACCCTGGAACAACTGTTTCCCACTGCTGCCATAACCAACCTCCACTCCCAGCTCCCCTTTTCTAATAAACAAATGTTACTTTCAGCAGCTGATTCCGAGTCATCCTTTTACATGTGTTAATAGTCAAATTCCAATAGTTACAGTGGTCAGTCCAGTTACCCAGGAATTTTGAGTTGAACAATTACAGGAATATTATGTCTTTATGTTCTAATAATGTAAAAATATTGTAGTAAATTGTTACCACAGAACATTTGCATAATGTTTTAAACATAAAGCACGTTATCCTTCTCTAAAATAATAACATTCTGGCAACATACAAAAATCTAACTTGCAGCTGAAAACGTTTTAAGAACAGTAGGGCATAGGATACAGGAAATACAGAAAAACTGCCGTTGCAGGAAAGACGGCCGGCAAAAATCAACTGACTGTGTGAACGTGAAAATTAATAGAATATCCCCTCCCATCTTCAGAGCAATCTGACTATTATAACATTAGCGTTAAGAAAGCTTACTTAAATATCTGCCACGACATAAGTAACCGGATCAGAGTAACATTAAGTACAGTCTGCGGCACTGTGAGTGCAGACGTCGATGTGTCCCATTATCATTCATATCATATCACATCATAATGTATCATATATTTCCTTATCTGAGTCAGCTTCTTGAGCCGTATCTGGCCGTGCAACACTCACAGTGTCACATACTGTATGCAGAAGTATTATTTTAAGCAACACATTAAGTTGACGAAACACTTGAGTCAAATGTAATTAAAGTCAGATCCACTCGTGTCTTGGACGGGGCAGTGATATCATAAACCTGTTAATGTACGCATTCAAACGCTTTTTCTGTTACCAGCTGTATTCACCTTGCTGTGCAGCTATGTGGCTTTTATCCTGGATAAAGTGTTTAAGTCATGGATGTTTAAAGTTTAACTTCTTCATATTTGACTAATATTAAAGTTCACTTTTCATTCAGGAAGTATGACGCTGCGCTGTCAGTACGCTTGTCCATGTTTGAGATTGGTCGAATGCTCCAAATACCACCCCTTTCATGTGAACGCGCACCTAACTAGATAGGACACGGCTGGCTTGAGCGATCCACTTGATAACCAGCGTCGTAGTACAGTTCAGCGCCAGCGCGTATGTTTTGGATTGGGCCAACCGGCTAACTCAAACATATCCAGGTTAGGTTGAACCAGCTTCGTAGTACAGGCCTCTGGTCCCCGCAATTTGTATCAGCTTTATTTAATAAAGGTTACTTTTTGTTTACACTTTTAAGTTTTATACATGCCTCCTGTCTTATACTGTGTAATGGTGCGTTCCCACTGGACATGGCGCAATGATTTGCATCGCATCGAATTACTCGCGCGAGTTGGGCCGCGGCTTTGAGTTTTGTTTACTCTGATTGTCTTTCGCGAGAAAGCGTCACGCAAATTTGACGCTCGAGTTGACTCAGAATTAGCTACTATTAAACAAATGCAAGCAGGTTATTCAATACGACTTTGCATTCAACCAGTAATAAATTCAGTTGTTTGTCTTTCATATTTTGATATTACTTGTTTATTTTTTAGGCTGAAAAGGGAAACCATTTTATAGATGACTTAAAAGGAATTCTGAAATACCTTCCACATGAGATAAAGCAGATAGGATCCATCAGAGTCTGTTTCCTCCACTCTATAACACACCTCTGGAGGCCTGGACAGCGCTGGCAAAGAAAAAGCAAAACATTCCCAGCTGATTTGACTGCTCTTGTAAAAAAACATATTTATGTAATTGGTATAAACTATATAGTCGTGCAGTTACGACGGGATGGGATTGTTCCATTGGATTTTGGAATATTGCAGACAGAAAGCTCTGGGGCAAACAAACATTTAAGATACTTAACACATTTTGTTCCGCAGGATAATCTCCACATATTAACACCACTTTGTGATTTTTGAAGAATAAATGTCCCTGGCAGGAGTAAAAAGTTATCTTTATGCTAAAAACCAACACCATCATGATTGCAAGGCTGCACATTAACAACTCTACGCTTGAGGCAGACTAGTATTGACACAATGGCGTTAAGCAGTCTAATTTAGTCTCATTAGCAACTGCTGTTTAAATGACACATAGAAACTTTGAACATTCTTGAGTGGGGTATTTACTGAAGGATTTTATGTCGTATATCAAAATGTGTCAATTTGATGTTAACCACAGACTATATTTCAGGCAACTAAGCACAAACATGCTAAAAAACACATACACCTCGAGACAAAAAAAGTGCTGATGTTCTTACTCTTTAGCGAGCATTAGCACCACTCTATAGCAGGTTATGCTGAGACACTATTTCAATCATTTTATGGAAACACTTCTTCTGAGTTTCAGACTATAATTGAATTTCTGTTTGAATGTAAACTGTTACCCCGTTCCAGCGTCCTCGCGCTGACGTCAGAACTCCAGTCGCTCAAGAAGCCGGGTTCCTCTCTGCAGGCCACGCCAGCCTGGTACAAGGTAAAGGTCAGGAGGTCTTTCATCCTGTAGTTCAATGTCTGATCCTGATGTGACGGGACAGAATCAGGAGCCTGGAACAAAACACAGACAGCAAAGACAAACTGATTGTATGTGGTATTTGGTAGCTGATTATCTAGGGCATTTTGAAGGTATTTTCTAAATAAAAGTATCTAAACATTTTGAGTTATCAGTTGTATTCTAATTTGTAGGGGTTTCCCATTATCGCATTTGGTTTTTAGGGTTAGAGTACACCTTTTGCCAAAAAGTCCAAACCAAAGGGCAACACTGAGACAAAATAAAGGGGTTCAGAGGAGTAATGGGCCAAAATCTCAAAGGTTCTTCCAGGTTTTCTTTTCAATTTGTTAATATTTGTGTACCTGTGCTCATAGCCTTTGGGGATTTCAGCTTGTTAGGGTCAGGGTACACAATTACCCCTTTTACCGAGTGGAGCTGCGTCATCTTGCATCATGACGTAACCGTTTACGTCCCTGCTTTATACAGCTCAAAATACCTAGCTTTCCAGCATCAATTAAGATGGTATATCATTAAAAGTGATTCTCAATTGTGTCTCTACAGCCACCAAGCTACCAAGGAGGTAGCTCTTCTCCTCCGCCCGCCACTGCTGTTTAAGTTTGCTAGCATCAATGGATCTACGTCTTGCAGGTTTTTGTTGTTGTTGATCAGGATATTCCCTCCCCTGACGTAAGCCAGACGTGTTCGGTTGTTGGTTCTTGACCAGCAGTTTTCTGGTTACAAATACGAACTAGTATGTGGGCCCGCAGCAGGCCCCGCTGTGGTGGAAGCAGGTAGAACTGATTCGCAATCGAGTACTAGCTCAGAAATGGATCTGGAACCAGTTTGATCGTAACGCAGTAAATAACACCTGTAGCCAAGGAAAAATGGCCTAGAAGGAAAACCAAAGGGCAACACTGAGACAAAAGAAGGGGTTTAGAAGAACAGTGGGCCAACATCTCAAAGGTACTAACAGGTTTCTTTTGAATTTGTTCATGTGTTCTTAACTTCTTGCTAATAGGGAATTTAGCTTGTTAACAACACATTTTGGGGACTGACTGCATCTGGGGACAAGCTCCTTCTTAGAAGGGTGTACTTCATTATTCTGAGTTTCTCAGAATAACAACCCTGTTTTCTGATCTGTGACAATGCATTTTATAGCTAATCAAAGCCTTAATTTACAAGTACGAGAATTTGTAAACACAAAAGGGCAACACCTCATCCTCACATAGTTATCACATAGTTAACCCTAACCCTAAAACTGCATTAACATGATACGCAGTATAGCGGCTCTGCGCTGGGGTTGCCGTTGTGTTACCATGGACTGAGTGGTGCCGCCTGATTAAGTGGAAGCGCTACCCTCAGTGTTGCGCACCACTTGAATCTTCGAGGAGCGTTGCGATCAGTTAAAATGTTATCAGCGTTACCGATCAGATAACAGCTGTATGAAGCGGCGCAAGCTAGCAGAGGATGTAACCATAAAGACGAAACCTAACTGGCTGTTTTCACCATAAGGCTCTGCGCCCAACCTCAAAGTCAGCAAACAGAAAATCAGGTATCATGTGAATGCAGCTTCACATTCAAAATCAACACATCTGTAAATAAATGGTTTTCACTGAACTGTAATCTGAAAAGCAGCTAAAGATGTCTAACAAAGGGAGTGGTGTAAAAGTATATTATTTGTATCTGAGATGAAAGAATGAAGGTGCATAGACTTGAAATACCCAAGTTAAAGTATCTCGACTATATACTTAGATAGGGCAATTTATTTAATGTACTGAGTAAAATTCAGTTGACCATGGCCTTTGACCCCTAACCCATCACAGTCCCCCTGCTTCCACTCTACTGCTATTTATTTAATGTCATACCTATTATTTGCCCTTTTTGTTTGTTTGTTTGTTTGTTTGTTTGTTTGTTTGTTTGTTCATCATGTAAAGTGGCCTTGGGTCCCTTGAAAGGCACTATACACATTTAATCTATTATTATTATTATTATTTTATTATTATTGAAATGTTCTCATACATTGAGTGACAAGAGTGTTAACTAACCAGGATCCATTTGTGAGTATTGTTCGTTCTGTAGCGAAGCTGACAGCTGCCGTAACTGCTGCTTCTCCATGACACATCAACAGAGTCCTCAGTGGAGCCAAGTACAGTTAATACAGGCGGAGAGGGTTTGACTGAGGAGAGGACACAAACAAACAAAACAAGTATATTTACATGACTTAACAGCAGTTGAAGATTAAAGTTAGCTTGTATCACAGTCATAACTAGGTAGTGGTGGAGAGCAAAACAAGTACATTTACTCAAGTACTGTACTTAGGTAACATTTTTGTGGTATTTCTATTTACTTATTCCACTACATTTATTTGATAACACCAGTAACACTAGTAAGTTTCATTTTGTGAATACAAAAACTCATAAATGATGATGTATTATTATGGATAAAGATACCTGGCAGTCTAAACATCTTTTAAAGTTAGCTCAACCTTTACCAGCTGCAAAATAAGAAAATGAACAAATTAATGGATCACTAATTATAATCTAGCAGTACAAAATATATTATTCCGAAATGGCAAATCTGCATAATAAGTACTTGACTTATGACAGAGTATTTCTACACTGTGGTATTACTTATACCTAAAGGGGCCTTATTATGTTAATTTCAGGTGTATATCAGTATGTAGTGTCTCTACTGTGACATGTCTCCATGCTTTAATGTTCAAAAAGCTCTTTATTTTTCTCATGCCTGTGCTGCAGCACCTCTTTTCACCCTCTGTCTGAAACCAGAGCCAAGTCTGCTCTGATTGGTTAGCTGGCCGCCTCTGTAGTGATTGGTCAACCACTTAAGTGTCCTGCCCCTAAGCCTATCATGTACAATGTGTTGGAGCGATTCATTTGACTGATATGGGGTAGCCTCTGACAGGGCTTAAGCGAAACGTAAGTGAGCATCCTCTATGGGCCCAGATACGGTACTTTTGCTGTCGAGAGTCAGGCCATGTTAGCCAAGTCTGCTCTGATTGGTAAACTGTCCTGCTCTGTTGGGATTGGTCAACCACTAAGAGATGTGTCGGAAATGTCCCCCCTCCTTAGCCTAGCAATATACTATGTGTAGGAACGCTAGCCAATAAGAGCGCGTGCTACATAGTGATGTCACTTATTCAGGAAGAAAACAAAGGAGTCCAATGAAGGCATTACAGGTGTTTGGGAGAGAAACTCCCTCTGGAGAGAACTTTGGGATTTTAGCCTTTGCAGACCATTTACATGCACACAAACCTATATAACACTACAGGGAAGAGAAAAGCCACATCAAGCATACAGTAATGGAGCCTCTTTCAATTCAATATTTGAGTTCATCTTCCTTCATTGCTACTGGGTTGAGAAGTGATGAAATATCTTTGCCACTCACTTGAATCTTTAAGAAACACAGTGAGAGGTCGGGTCCAGATCTCCTTCATCAGCATGTAGTTTTTGATCCTGGCGGTTACGGAGAGGACCGCTGCTGGTGTGAATATTCCCTGACAGGAGATGATTGTATGTACGCTGAAGAAGAAAAAGAGAGGGAGAAGGGGAATACATGGAGAATAAGACCTTGTTTTTGAATACACATTTGTAATCTTAAACTTAATTCTAACAACATTTACTGAAATACTACACTTAATTGAGGTACTTCACTTGTGTTTTCACATTAAACTTCTAAGTCACTGCATTTTGTAGGAAAATTTGCTTTTGACTCTACATTTATTTTACTAGCTACATTGCAGATTTAGGTAATTAATACATAATATAAATAATTGTATACATTAATGTGTATTATCATAAGGTAAAATACCCAATAGTATATCAAATAGTTAGAAATAAACCCCAAATCTACCTGCTGCAATACTAAAGTACAGAACTACGTTGGCCAATCTGTGCAAGCCCGCTACAACAGCCCAAACACTTCCATCAGGAGAATGGAAGTGTTCACTTTCAAAAACGATGTAAGTATAAAAACAGAAATGCGCCAAAACACATACATTATGAAACATCTTCACCAACCTGACAACACGTGCAGCACTAATAAAAAAGTATCCAATTTAGCGGAACATGTGCAGCGTTTACTTAAAGTGCTGCATAAACAAAAAGTGCCAGTTGGCGTGCTGGGATTATAAAGTTGGCCAACTGTTACTCTTGCAAAGTACGTGTTTAACATTATAAATGAAATGACTAGGTTAGCTTTGCTAGCTAGCTAGTTAACAGCAGATCATAAAATAATCATGCGATAACATTGCTAAAATAAGCCAATGAAAATTACATTTGAGGTTTCCAGTGATAGTTGGTCAACTTCATAATCCCCAAACCTCACCAAGTGCTCCGGTCCCAGCTGTGTGTTTCTAAATGCTGCATGTGTTGTCAAGTTTGTGAAGAGGTTTCTTTATTTGCTTTGGCACATTAGTGTTTTGTTTTTTTAATCTTTATTGAAACTGCTGCGTGTTACTCCCCCCCCTGCCCCCTGTCAGCCACCATAGTGAACACATTTATACATTGATAACATAATACAACAATTCTGAATTTGCCCATATTACATTATGGGCACTTTTTTTACCTTAAGTATATTTTGATTAATAATTTTGTACTTTTAATGAAGTACAATTTTGAATGCGGGACTAATACTTCTAACTGAATATTTATACACTTTGGAATTGCAACTTTCACTTAAAGGTGGGGTAGGTAAGTTTGAGAAACCGGCTCGAGATACACTTTTTGTTATATTCCATGGAATGCTCTTAACATCCCGATAGCAATGAATATCTTAAGTGCTTTGACAAAAAACGTCATCTGTGGAAGCCGTAGTACTGTAAAAAGTACGACCAATCATTTTAGCCGGCCCGGCTAAAATAACTGGATGGCCTACCTGCCTGTCAGCCTTCCATCTGTGCACAAACTTATCTCGTGCCCTCATTGGTCATGTGCGCGTTCATGTGTGTTGGAGGAGGGTCTCTGTAAGGAAGTGGCAGATTTTTTCCGGTTGTGTATTTTCAAATTCTAGCGCACTCGAGCTGGTTTCTCAAAATGACCTACCCCACCTTTAAGTAAACGTACTTCCAATAATATTGGTAGCTACATATACAGAGCCTGAAACTGGAGTACAGCTTCCAACATTTTTATTTTTTAGTAAACCGCCTTCTTTAATCAGTGTTTACCTGCTGAAGAGGAGAGAGACGTCAGACTCAATGTGGCTGTCTGAATCTTGCTTCAACTCACATGTCATAGATCTGTGTGATATCTGGTAGTAACAGGACATGTTCAGTGTCTCTGTAGGAAAACAACAGATGGCTTATGGTGGTGACATGAACATTAAATGCACTGCAAAGCTGAACTGACATTGTTACATTGCTTTAGTCCTCCCCATCTTCACTTAAAGATTCAAAGGTTGTATGGTCATATGCACAATAGTAACAGCATAGTTTTGGCTATGAAGGTCCTAGTCCACTCCAACAATGCAACCCACAGTAGAATATCCTTCAGAGGTAATAATAGTGCAAGAAAAATAGAAATAGAGGGGCCCTATTGTGTTTTGGGGGTTTTCACTTTCCTGTAGTGTGTTCATTGCAGACTGGGCTCTGGTTTCAGACAGAGAGTGAAAAGAGGTGCTGCAGCACAGGCAGTATGAGAAAAATAAAAAGCTTTTTGAACATTAAAGCATGGAATCATTTCACAGTAGAGACACAAAATACAAATATGAACCTGAAAATGAGCAAATGAAGCAAGAGCATGGTGCAAGGAACACAATGGTGCAAGTCAAATGCAAAAATAATTGAATTATATATGTGTAAAATAGAATAAGATGACATGAACACAGAATTTGATGTGATACTGTGTATTGTAATAACAATTCAATATGTAGACTGTAAAGGTTCTATACATAAGACTATTCTAGCACTTGAGTAAATGTTCTTCGTTACATTCTACAACTGTTGACTGAGTGCTGAATGTGTGTGTGTTTGTTCACTTTGTATAGATGAAGGTGTTGGAGAGCCACAGTGTCCAAGGTCAGTGACACACACCCGCTGGTCCTCCTCACAGCGCTTCAGTTGAGAGTCGATCACCGTCACCTCTGCCACACACAGAACACACAGAATGCACTTACATTCAGGAAAGGACACCTTAACGTAATGTAACTTCCCTGCAAGTAGAACATGTTTTGAATCACTAAACAGTTTTACTCAAATGTATCTCATGCATCACCCAGGGTTCAAATGGCCAGTTTAGTAGACAAGTTAAACCAGGATTATTTACTGAATTGTAAGGGCTTAATCATGAAACCCTCTGAAACAAGCCATTTTACACAGGGAGGATGTTTTCTTCTGCTTCCTAAGTACATTAAGCTGCTTATACTTTTACTCAAATATAATATTGAACGTAGGACTTTTATTTTTTTACAGCATGGTATTGTTACTTTAGGTAAATCAGATTACTACTTCCAACACTGAAACAATGACATTCATCAAAAAAGTGCATATCATTACCAAGACTAATCCAGATTGACCACAACACGTTTCAGAAAAATACGATTTTCCTTTAATTAAGCAGCGAAATAGTGGCGAACTCACCATGAGAAAACACACCGAGGAGGAGGCTCATCACTGTGCACGTAGCAATGTACAGTTTGTGAGACCAGATGCCCATCTTAGCTGGTAAAAAATGACCAAATATTCAAAAGATTAGCTCATTGTAAACATAAAATAAGTCCATCCTCTTTCAAAACCTGTTATTTTCTATGTATAAGGACTACATGACTTCAGAGAACGTGTTTTAAAAAAAGATCTCTGGTGTGTGACAGCTGTGAGGAAGATGTAATGTTGATCAGGAAACTGCTCCATGTCTTTAAGTTACACCCATTATTACATCGTGTGTGTGTGTGTGTGTGTGTGTGTGTGTGTGTGTGTGTGTGTGTGTGTGTGTGGGTGTGTGTGTGTGTGTGTGTTACAATTTACATTTCCTGTTAAATGATCACAGCTTTTCTACGTAAATAAACCTGCACGGCACCGGAACACCAGAACAATTAAAACATACTGTAAATATTGTATTAGTGTATAAACACTCATAATATGCATGGAGGTTGCTGTACAAATAAAATGTATTCTTATTCATGTCTGTGTAAGTAGTTGTAGACGAAGTATTAGCAGCAGAACTAGTATTTGTAGTAGTAGCATTGCTCTCTGGTGGACAAACTATGGAATGGAGACATTGTCAAACCCTAACCCAAGTCAATGGCAATATATCATTCCAATTGTAATGTTATTATGCCATGCATTTGTGGGCCGCCGTATAGCTCAGTTGGTAGAGCAGGCAGCCCATGTACTGGGGCTTGGTTCCCCTGCAGAGGACCCAGAGTTGTATCCGGCCTTTGACCATTTGCCCGTGTCATCCCCTCTGTCTCCCCCTTCAACACTGTCACCTCAATAAAGGCACTGTTTTATAAACACATTTTTTGTTAAAAGCGGTATGGTGTCACCCCATCCCGGGACTCTGTTTGTGTAAAGCTGCAATCACATGATACACCGTAAAAGCTCTCTGCGCTGACGTTGCCGTTGTGTTTCTATGGGGATAGCGGTTCCGCCCTCGACTAATTGGACGCGCTACACTCAGTGTCTCGCAGCGTTGGAAATCATTGCGACCACTGCACCCAAAGTTCCATCTATTCCGATTTTTGACCTTGTTTACCGCTGACCTTAATGCACAATCAATCAGATGAGAGCTGCATGCTGCATGTCGTTTTGTCGCCCATGTCTCGAGATGCTACCCGACGAATTTGGAGTCGTTCGGATAAAGACCCTAGGAGGAGAATCATGCGGGCTACCTAATGTCATGATTTAGGCCACTTTTTCAGTGCTTTTGCCCTTCGTTTTCCCTGTTTTGTGTGGGTTTTGCATGGTTATCGCTCGCTTCGCTTAAAGCGATTAAATTGATCCTACGGATATCAATCATGCGAGTTGCAGTCGGCGCGCGCTCGGACTATCTGCCGTCATGATTTCCGAACCTTTTCTGTGCTTTTGCCGGTCGTTTTCCCTGTTTTGTGTGTGTTTTGCAGGTTTATTTTATTTTCTGTGCGAGCGATTACAATAGGGTCTTCGCCGACCTCTGGTCTCAGACCCTAATTACCTTTTTTTAGCTTTTCTTCCGGGTGTTTCCTCCGATCTTCATCATACAGAAGATATACATGAATATTAATGAGAGGCGTTACATGAAGCCTGCAAAAAGTGTGCCAAGTTAATTGTGATGTATAAAGGATTATTGTAATTGCACTGTGTTATAGATCATAATATATATGAAGTGCCTATACTCATAATTTATATTTTTATTGTATAACATTTTTCCGAGGTTACATCCGTACACAGCCTTTTCACGTCAATCCCACGTAGTTTTATAAATAAGGCCGATGATTATTAAAGTGGACCTATCATGCTATATTTGAATAATATAGTGTAGGACCATACCTATATAAGGCATATGTATACTTTTTTTTTTTCAAAATACCAAGCAGATCATGCATTTTAGCCATGCCTCATTTTGCTCAATTTGAAAAATGTTAGCTGTTTTTGCAAGGGCCGATTCTGTGAGAACAGCACCGCCTACAGGCCTGGCATATGTACTACAGCGTCTCCAGCGCTTTCGAACGGCAATGGCCGTGGCTGTCTCCTGATTGGTGGAGTTGGCCCAATAGCCGTAGCCGTAGCGCCACTGTCCTGACGTCAGGACAGTGTTCAAATCTGGATCAGTTTTTATCAGATCCGTTGCAGCCCCTTTTTTAGAGATTTGGGTATGGAGGAAAATAGAGAGGGTTGTGTTTTCTGACACTTGGTGAGTTCCCTGGAACACCGGGGACACATATTCATGTATAAAAGACGTACAAAAGTGCATTTTGCACGATAGGTCCCCTTTAAGAAAAGCTTCTCTTTAAACTGCACAACATAATTGATAAAAACTAACAAACTATTTGGAGCCAGGTATATACACTTTACTAGTATAAGAATTGCTCTCACCACACATTCACAGTGAAGAAACACCACTCAGGAAATTACCAAACCCCAACTGTTCCTCATTTATTTTTCACGTTCTTTCCTCAAAAGCAACAATTCAGCTCTTCTCATTCTTTTTCTTCTTTTCTTATAGAAAATGAAAAAAAAAATAGCTTTTACAAACATTTAAAAATGACTTACAGCGGGGAAAAAAAGGAAAGAAGGAAAAATAAATGCTGTACAGATTGATAGAGATGAATTCTTCCTCTGGTCTGCGTGTCTCCACACTGTCAGATACAGCAGTAAGCAAGCATAAGCTCACTCTCTAGTTATATACACACTGAATTGGCAGAGGAGTGCACTTCGCTGCGGTAGACAAAAAAGGCTAAACAAGTATTTTTTATCCAAGAGAAGTCCAATGAGGTTTCATGACCGCTGTGCTTTTGAAACCTGTAAAAATGTCAAGTTAATGCATGTGAGACAAAAGAAAATCCCTCTGTCCTGAAAAACATTTTTGGGGTGTTTCTTGCCCGGCAACAGAGAGAAAATGTAAACCAATGGTGCAGCAATTAGACTTGGGGTATTTACAAGATACAGGAAGTGAAACAGACCAAAATATATATATATTACATTATCTGTTCACCATGTCTGATCACAGGCGTTCAAAAAGTGGATCATATTAGCCTTTTTTGGGGGGGAGGGGGAACAAAAGCTAAATCAGATGTCGTGAATCTGACACACGAGAGCTTTTTTATTACCCCAAAGATCTGTTTCATACACATGATATACCTTGAAGATCTGCAAAGATGAGTTTTACCTGCTCATCAGCAAATGTCCTCAGGCAGCTGCTGATATTTACAATAATTATGTACGGATGTAACGGTGGCACGAGTTTACTTTACTAGATTCATTGTCGAGCTTTTGTTAAACCTGTGTGTACTTAAGATCATTCCCACCTTGCTGAGCAATTCAGCCAATTTCTTTTTCTAAGTCTACAGTAAATATGATTTATTCTGAGACTTCATGATGGAGGTTAAGTAATGGTTAAGCCTGTAGATCTACATTCATTCATCCAACACAATAAAAATGGGACTTTTTATGCACACTCATGTTAAATGCTTTTTCTTTGACAAATAATCAAAATGTATAATCTTGATTAGGTGCTTATAAAGTTGAGGTAAAAAGCAAAGATAACAATGTGTGAAACATTTAGTTATTTCAAATAATGGTAACTTGCATCCAAAGCTTGTACTTCTGGCTACCTTTGTTGCAGATCAAGATGTGACATCTAAAAATTGATTCCTTACTTTTTTTTCAGACTGTGTTAATATTTCCTTACTTGTGTTTTGTTTCTTTAGTCTAAATGCTACGGTGGTCGACCTGTGCAATCACGCTACAACAGCCCAAAACACTTCCATTAGGAGAAAGGTGCTCAAAAACCATGCAAATAAAAACACAAATGAGCCAAAACACATGTAAATGAAGAAACATCTTCATCAACTTGACAAGACATGAGCAGTATTTACTCAAAAAGCTGCTCAAACTAAATGCGGGAAGAAGCTCAAAACACAACGAAAACAGGGACACTCAAAAGTGACGCACAGCTGGGACCTGAGCACTTGTTGATGTTCTGGGATTATAAAGTTGGCCAACTGTCACTGTTAGCCGAGTTAGTCTGTTTCACGATTGTAAGTGTTTTGTCAGTATAAATGAAATAACTAGGTTAGCTAGCTAGCTGACAGCAGATCTGCAATAATATCAGAAGGATTCCTGTGATCGCATTTTTTAAATAAGCTAATACAATGTACATTTGAGGTAAATTTCCAGTCACAGTTGGCCAACTTTATAATCCTCAAAAGTCAACACATGCTCTGGTCTGGTGTGTGCATCACTTTTTAGTGTCCCCGTTTCTGTTGTGTTTTGAACTTCTTACATCACTTTTTTTATTTGCAGCGTTTCGTTTATGCAGTGCTTTTAGTAAATGCTGCGCATGTTTCGTCAACTTGGTGAAGATGTTTTTTAATTTGCGCTTGTTTTGGCACATGTGTGTTTTTTTTTTTATTGCATCGTTTTGGGCGGTCGTTGGCCACCGTAAAATTGCAGTTCTTCCTCTTTGTGCACATTTTTCTTACATGCTTGAAGTGCTCTTTGACTGGAGTGAATGCTCTCATGGGTTAGGATTAGCTGCAAAAAAGGCATCCCTTAAAAATCGAGGTCCATCCTGTATCTCTGAATATACCGTTTCATTTCCAGTGGTGTCATAAGTTTGATTATCTTCTTCGCGGTGACCTGTGACTTCAAATGTTGGCATTGGCATTATTTCCAGCCAAAACACACCCATCAGCCTTTAAAAACCCATTTCAACCTTTTTTTAAGGATGCCCTTCATTTCCTTCACTTTGCAGATAGAGTTGTGTGGTTATTTTTACACTTGAAGGCATCACTTTGGTACAAGCATATTGCTCCTTTACATCCATTTTGATTTATATTATTTTCTTTTTCAGTGTCTCACCTCGGCTCACTCTCTCGCAGGAGAGAAACAGACTTGAGAAAGATTTATCGAGCTGCAGGGATCCAACCAGCAACAACCTCTCTTAATTAAATATTTTTGAGTCCATGAAAAGGAGCGCAGGAGAGAGGTGCATAGGTTTAAAAAAAAAAAAAAAAAAAAACGCAGAACACGTGAGTTGGAACTAAGATTGTGATTAGAAAAAAAAATCCAAAGCACCCGCCACTTCTTCCCAGTGAGCGACAGCACTGAAAGTCCCCAAACTTTGAAAGCTGTGGACTCGCCGTGAAGGAAGTTTTTCTGTTTTGCAGCTTTCAGCCCATACAGCGTTTCAAGCTTCTTCAGTTGACGATAAGCAGTCAGAGTTCACCCGAGTCGAACTGGAAGAACCAAACTGGTTTCATGATGAGTCCAGGCATGTGTGTTGTCAGTGTGTGTGTGTGTGTGTGTGTGTGGGCAGCAGTGTGTGTTATTTGTTGCGCAGTAGCTCCAGCTGGTCCTGGTATTCGGTGAACAGTCTCTGGAATCGCAGGTTTTCAACGATGACAGGTAAGACTTCCCGCAACAACTCGCGCTTACGTAGACCCTTAACACAGAAAACAGATCATTAGCAACTAGCATGCACCGTTTAATGTGGTGCCAGAGCTAACGCAAGCTAACTCATTAGCTATTAGCTTTGTTTGCACAGGTCATAACAGATTAATCAAATGAGCAAAAAAACTATTCCAGACAGTCACAATTACACAACCTGTTTTTGTTCATGTTCTATAGACAAAACAGTCAACATTGTAATTAATAAATAATAATTAACTAACTGTTGATGCAGCTCTGCTTTACATCTGGACAGGACATTGCGCACTACTTTTTGTGAGATTTTTTGGTTGAGTGACTATGATTTCTAACGTCCAGGTTAGAAAGAAAAATGGATTGGGGCATCCCTTTATGTCGTAATGTATATGTAATATACTTAAGGCTTAATGCTGAATGAGTACAGCCTAATCCTTGGTCAACATCTAGCAACAATACAACTAAGAGATGGGACACAAAGCAGCTTTGGGAGCAGGAACAAAAGGACAATACATTTGTATGTGTGGAAGGTAAACGTTTTGAAAAATGTTGAGTTGTACCAGAGTGGTGGGCTCCCAGGCTGTCGCTGCTGATTTGTGGACGGGACCGAGCAGCTCCTTGCAGAGTTCTCGGAGACGAAACTCTGAACCTGGAGGGATCACACACAACGTTTTGTCAACACTGAAACGGAAACCCAATCAACACTCCTGGATGAACTTGTTTTTATACATTTTAACACTGTGGACCTTTGTCTACCCTCTGGCAGTGAGTTATCATAAACCGACAACATGAGCTCTAGTATAGAGTACAACTGGCCGATTAGTGACTTTTCGCAGTTACTCAGAGGGAAAAGACACTAATAAGTCATTAAAAAAGTGTTCATATGAGATTTTGGGCCATTTTCATATGTCAACCTGCCAGCCACTAAAAGAGGATGGATGTGGAACTGTAAAACCATTTCATCGCTGAAGTGTGGCTGTGAATCATCCGAAACATAATTCATTGTCTGTAATGTTGTCTTAAAACAAGAATAACTCATAATTAGTGGCAGGGCTACATAAGGTTTGTACAGTCAGTACTGGGTTGTTAGTGACTCTTATCAGTCTGAAATCATTATAAAAGGAATAGTTTGCTACCTTCGTTGACAAGGAAACGGGTGTAGATGAGCAGCCAGTAGCGATACTCCTGTGCTGACTGCAAAGTCAGAGCAGATGCCAGCTGATTCTCCAGGAAGGCCAACGTCATGCTCTGCTGAAGGTGGTGAGGGGTGGAGGAGAGGCGGGACGCCAGCCGACCAGCACTGCAGGGACCACAGACATGTTGTTTATTTACTCATTTATTACCTTTCACCTGGAGATAGAAGGGGGGGATTAAATACTGCTGTCATACTTGAGGTTGCGTCCCTGCATGACAGCCAGTGGCCCTGAGGACACAGGTGCATCCTGGGTAGGTAGGCAGCTCCTGAAGTCAGCACACTGGACCATAGAGTCTCCTTTATCCGCTATTAACGTCCTGTAAGAGAGACAGTATAATTATTTAAGTTTACTCATTCACTCGGGGGGAAAAGTATTTTTGAAAGGGGGGCATTGGGGAGTTCTTGGTGGTGTGTTTGTGACGCTCTATGGAGGATTATAAAGTTATGGCAGACGGCCCTCAGCCAGTGTCTAATCATTCAAAATTACGAATGACCTTCAGATTTTGTCAGGACACGAACCTCTTCCTGTCACATACTAAGCAAAACAGATAAACATTGGCTACTGCCATTGGCACATGTCACCTTATTTACTGATGTGCCGATGGCGGAAAATATGGCTAACATCGGCAGATGCCAATATCACAACCTTTTCCCCAATGATAAATGCTATCCATCACTTTTAGCTAGCTATTTGAACTGTTCTTCATTGTGTTTCGGTAGCCATTTCAACGGTTTAACCATCACTGCTAAAATGATTTATTTATTACATTTAGCCAACTCTGCGAACTGTTGATGCTTTTAGCTAGTTTTTAAAACGTTTATCCATTACTGGAAGCTAGCTATTTTAACTGTTCTTCTTTACGTTTCGCTGGCTTTTCAAAAGTTTACCAATTACTTTTAGCCAACTGTTACAAAAGTGTGTCTATAACTTGTAGCTAGCTATTTCAAACGCTTTTTCTAGCCTTACTTTTAGCAAAGGGTTTTTTTCTACCCTTACTACCAGCAAACCCTGGTTGGGAATCAGCGCTGTCAGTCCACTGTTTAGTGTCTCACCATGTCTCCAGTGAGGAGCTGAAGCAGTAGGACTTTCCGTTGGAGAGTCCAACGACTGGAACGCCCTGCTGGGTCAGCAGAGACTGAGACACTGTGGTGTCAGCACCTACACAAAACAAAATGTGTTCAAGGGTAGACAGCATGACTGCATTTTCCATACTCACTGAAATTGTATTTTATAAAAGTTAAATCATATAAATAAAAATTTGGTTTTGAAGCCATCTTCATGTGAAAGAACGTATTTTTGACATTCATGAAGAAGATTCCAATAAAACATATTGAATGTACTTCAATAGGAATAGGTTAACATTTTAATAAATACAAAAGTTTGATATCCATCTCATGTATGCGAGTTAAACAGAGCTAGATTCATGATGTGGTTAGCCTAGCTTAGCATGTAGATTGGAAGCAGGGGGATCTGTTAGCCTGGTTCTATACAAGGAAACACCTCTACTTTATTTTGCTCTAATTGGCAGTTATAACAGTAAATTAACTAATACTCGACAGAAATGTAGGGTGCTGGAACTATTTTTCAACACTTATCACACAGACATGAGATTGATATAGTCAACCTTGAGTCCCAAAATGTTGAATGCTCTGTGTCAATCCCATTCTGCAGTGTCTTACCTGGTAAAATGCTCAGCAGAGACTCGTTCTTCACCAGAGCCTTTTGTTTATGAACATCCCTGCAAACAGACAGAAAACAAATGAACAGCTGGATAACAATCATCATAATGTCTAGAACAATCTAGCACATGTGATCTCCAACAGAATGTATCCGGGCTCACCAGACCGACAGCGCAGCCCCAGCCGTCAGAGCCATGACAAAGTGGCCCGAGCAGTGCAGAGCTGACACAGGCGTGGCCAGCTGAATGGCAGGAAGGAGCCGCCGCCCACAGGAAGAGAACACTGACAACATCCTGTCCTGACAGGCAACGGCGAGGATGTCACTGAGGGAGAGAAGAGCAGAGTCAGAGATGTCGTTTTATTTATTTACAAATTCAATTAATAGTCTAGTTGCCAGCCTATAGAGTCCTGTTGTGAACTCAGAAATGTTGAGTACCCCACAGTTTTATGTAAGAAATGTCTGGTACAGGTCCCCAGCAGATAGAAACTGCCAGATGCTAACTTGTTGGGCAATTTGCACAATTAGCATAAGTTGCATAAATTACCATTTGCAGACAATAGCTAAATAATTGCTTGGCCAATTTGGAAAATGTTGGTGTGGTTGTTTTGGAGGTTATTGAGGACATTCAATCAATTTCTAACATTATGATGATCAAAGTGCCCTAACACTTTCAAATCGAACCAAAATTCATCTACATCAGCCCCTCGGGAGTACAAATATGGCCACTTTCTGGTTAACACGGACATTTCTTTATCCTGGAATTGTCAGAGATTGATCCAACATCCTCATTAACCTCCAAAACCACACCAACATTTTCCAAATCAGCCATGCCATTTTTTAGCTATTAGTTGCATATGCTTATTAATGCAATTTATGCCAATTGTGCAAATTGGCCAACATATGCAAGTTAAAATTAGGCAGTTTATTTGTGCTGGGGACCCGTATTATACATTTCTAACATAAGACCTTTGGGTTACTCAACATTTCCTGGTTCACAATGCTGGCAAGTAGACTACAATGAAAGACAGCTGAGTGTGTGTGTGACGCGCTGATTCTCGTACCTGCTCCCTGCAGCAGTGACCACTGAGCTGGGCAGCAGTGTGTTCCAGTCCCGTCCGTCTCTGGAGCATCGCAGCTGGCTGAGCTTTGAACCCGCAACTACAGACACCTCGTTCTCCACCTCCAGGAACATAGATGGCTCCATGCTTACCTACACACACACAAGTTTCAGCGTTTCTGTCAAAAGAAATTCAATTTACCAGACAGATGGGAGATACTCTGGACAAATGTTATCTGTGTTTGTTATTGAGTTATTTAATTGATAAAAAGGGCTTTTTAAAGAATGACATAATCAAGGCATGTATATTAATTGTATTTATATTTATATTGAGACATTTAAGCCTGCATAACTGCTGATGACTGGTGCTGTGCTATCTGTACCGAGGTGCGCCTATGAGGCACCAGTTATGGCTAGTTTGAAAGGATATGCAACTTGTCCCATGTCAGGGTCTAAGGACAGAGGGGGTCGTATTCTACGGTGGAGAGAGTCAGCAGCTTCAGGTTCCTCGCTGTCCACATCACTGAGGACCTGACATGGACTCTTCACACCACCACCATCACCAAAAAAGCTTGACAGCGGCTCTTCTTCCTCCGCAGGCTGAGGAGGTTCAAAATGGATTCCAGGATACTCTGCAACTTCTACAGGTGCACCATAGAGAGCATCCTGACCTTCTACAGGTGCACCATAGAGAGGATCCTGACCTTCTACAGGTGCACCATAGAGAGCATCCTGACCTTCTACAGGTGCACCATAGAGAGGATCCTGACTGGCTGCATCACAGCCTGGTACGGCAGTTGCACCGACCTCAATCGTTAGGCTTTACAGAGGGTGGTGAAAACTGCACAGCACATCACCAGGACGGAGCTGCCATCCATGGAGGACCTTTACTCCCAGAGGCTCAGGAAGGATATTCATCTGGCTGCTACTTAAAAATGATTTATCTATTTACCTAATATATCATATTTCAATTAGGGGTCCGATTGAGTTTAAAGTGACGCTGTTTTCAAAGGACCGATATTCCGCATTTGACCGATTATCGGTATCGGCCTTTTTTTTATCAAATTGCCGATAAAACGTTGGCTCTGATGCGGCCGTTTCTCTCGCTGCAGTCACCACTCTGTGTACACGAGCAATGTCCCGTCCACAGCGCTATCTGATAGGCTATTACTGAAGTGTCAATCAACACTGAAGATTTTCCGGGCGGGTGCCAGCCAGAGAGGCGGGACCTTCTCAGATTACAGGCAGGTGCGAAAGAACGCAGACACAGACTGAAGCAAGCAGCAGCGCTGAGCGGCAGAGCCATATGTGTTTCGAAGGAAAATCAGTTGAAAGCCGAAGTTCAATAAACATCCCAATCCCCTATGCTGAAGTTGCAAAAACACCACGATCTTATGATCCAATTCTATCAGTTTCCCAGTTACACAGGGACGCGGGAAGTCAGTCAGAGTTGGGGGTGCGTAAAGCGTCTCGCAGCGGAGTAACTGTGGTGCGGTGCGGAGGGGGCTGCGAGTGGAGCCTCGCAGTTTTTCAGGTTGATATGTGAAGCTCATTAGCTAGCCAACATGTATCTAGCAAATGTTTAGCAAAATATTAGAAGTGAGGCGATTAGACTAACGTTAGGTCTACTGTAATAGCCTCACTTTTAATATTTTGCAAAACATTAGCTAGCACTAGTGTTTTGCAGTTGCTAGCAGCTTATTGGGATTGTATGCTAGATAGACAGGCATTGTTTTGATATAATAAATTAAGCATTATTGTTAGTTAAGCATGTCAGCCTGCAGCCCCACTTTTAACTCTCTGTCTCTCTCCAACTCATTGCAGATGGCTGCACTAAAGAAAAGGGCACAGAGAGGAAACCAGTTGTAAGATGTTTAAAAGTTCATTAACCTGTTAAGCCCTGAGCCTGTTTTTCAGGTCTCAGGCTCGAAAATGACATTCCCAGAACAAATGACCATATCTTCCCTTCTAAAAGGGTTAAATTAATAATCTTTATTCTCAAAGTAATGATAAACCTGTGAGTTGGATGTAGAAAAGTCAGAATCAATATAGATGTTTTTTATTTGAAAGAAAACTCAGATTTTACATAGTAAAAAACTGTAAATTATAGTGTCCGTCCAAAAATTCTTTTTTACTTATAGTGAAAACTACCCTTGGATGATGGTAAGGTAGACTAAAAGCTTTAGAAATCCAAAGTACAACATATAATAAGTACCCTGTATCAAGATTGATGCAAAACAAGTGACATTTGACCTTTTTAGAGAGGTTTAGCCAAAAGAAACCACTTCTGGGGTCATTTGGGTGGATTTTCCATATCTCTGGCCCCCCTTGCTCGATTTTGATGGTTGATACCTCTTTCTGACCGTTAGAGCCAATAGAATCGAAGGGGGAGTCCCCCACACACACTCATTGTGAAGAGAAAAGGTGGGGGCTTTGCGCATGTCATTTTGCATTAGAGTGAAGCTACATTCTAGCTCTGACATCTAGAAACGTAAAAACATGGATTATCCGTCTGTTTTCTCATGGATTATCAGAAACCATTTCAAAGGGACACAGACACATTGGATTAACCTATGGATTAACTTCAGCAGCGTTTTTATCGTTTTAATGCCATTGAAGACCACTTTGGAGAGACTACAGAGCCAAGGTAAAAATGTTAGCATTTTTAGCTACCTAGCGTCACCTGTTTTGATGTCTGTTTTTGTTTATAGCGTCGCAAATTCGTATAATTCAGTGATAATGTGGGTACCCATCGATTCTGTGTCACCTCACGATGTGAATCGATGTCATGGATGTAGAGAAGAGATAAATAATAAGGTTTTGTGAGTGATTTTCGGTGCAGTAATTAGTTAGCATTTTTCGCTCGTTGCTAATTCAGAGGCTCATTGTGGGTTTTCTTTAAAAAAAAAAAAAAAAAAGATCAGTTAGATGAGTTTCTTCCCGTTACATGGATATAAAACATTCATAGTTTATTAAATGAACATGCCCTCAGACACTGTTTCCTGCAAGATGTTGCGGCAGTGCCCCGGTACCGGGGTCTCTCGGGCTTAATAGGTTAAACATAATATATGCTTAAATGCATTTCAAAGAAGTTGTGTTGGAGTTTGTGTTATTCTACATTTTGACACCAAGATTTTCTGATTTTACTGCAAATGTATATCGGTTATCTGTCTCCTTGATTACTAATAATCGGTATCGGTATCGGCCTTGAAAAAGCCATATCGGTCGATCCCTAATTTCAATGACTTGCATATGGACTCTTATTGCACTATTTCACTTTTTTTCAGCTATTTTCTTCTTGTATTTACTATTTATTTGCACTATATTTTTCTGTTTATCTGTGTTTTACTGTAGGAGAAGCCTGTGACACAAGATTTTCATCTGCATAACTACACTGTAGCTATGTCCGTTTGACAAATAAAGAACCTTGAAACTGTAAAGTCCCCCGAGACAAATGTAACATTTGTGATATATAAATACACTTTGATAGATTGATTGATGCCAACTTGTCCATTCATACTTTTTTGAATACACTTTGAATGGTGCTTACAGCATATTATTTTTACCGGACTTCTACTGATTATTCCGATATATACCGGCTTTATGGAAACACTGAAGTTTATATATAAAGCATTGCCTGAGCGGAGAATTTGTACAGATCAAAGACTTACGATTGAGTTTAAAGTGACGCTGTTTTCAAAGGAACTAGATATTAAATAGCACTTTCACAGCTGATTGCAAACCTAAACTCTGAACATAGTGGTAATCTAGCCAGGTCTGTCTCACACACACACACACACACACACACACACAGATAGAGATGGAGAGCGAACAGCATGTTACCTGCAGACTGAAGGTCTTCTTTATACTGGGTGTTGGCAGTTTGAGAGCAGCTACAGGAGGTGGAGGAGCTGCCACCCTGCTTGGCTCCCGCTCTGCTGTGTGAGTCATCTGACAGGAAAAGTGAACTCTCAGTTTATTCTCTCTCTTTTCCAAGGTTTAATCATGTTTTTTTTATAAAAAAATGAATGGTTCTCTTAGTTCTCATTGATTAACAAGTTCATTTGTAATCTCAATCTTTTCACTCTTTCCCTCCATCTCGTTACCTGAGTGAATGGTTGGGCGGTGGGTGCAGCCATCTTGTCTTTCCTGGGCCGTCCCTTCTTCCTCTTCTCCACCACCTCTCCTACATCTATCAGCAGCTCGGGTTTCCTCTTGCCCAACATCAGGTTTTTGTTGATCGAGGCCATTTTGTCTTCGCTGTCGCTGCTGGTGTCGTCTTTGTTTTTCAAGTCTTTCAGAGCGGAGAGGCCGTCTTTGGGCCTGCTGGTTGACGATAAAAATAAGTCAAGATTTTGTTTTGTATGTCATCTTTGAGCTTTTCTTTTAACCTCACACTGTTCCACTTGTTAAAACTGAGTCAATCACCTGTCCAGCGGCATGAGTCCAGAGATGGAGGAGATGACGGCTGTGACCCCCGTTGTGGCCTTTGACCTCTCTGTGAACCTTGAGTCCAAAGCTTTCATCGGCTCGATCTTGGAGGCAGAAGTGAGCAGCAGACTGGACTTCAGACTGGAATGCAAGGAAACACAGACATTAACCCTCCTGTCATGTTTGTTTCTCCTTCCTTACTTTGGGGTTTTGTCTGTTTTAACTGCTCTTACATTAACACAAAAAACATTAATCTTCACCTAATTGTATTTAACACACTTATAAGCTGCAAACAATGTCTCAGAGTACAGGTTTACACGAATACCTACAAAGAATATACACAGAAAATGTGTCAAATGTGGGTGTGTAATAGCTGATGGAGGAATATCATCTAGGGTTACCAATTCATTTCCTATGGCAGTCGTTTTTGACCAGAAATAATAAACATCATAGGCGTTACAAGTTGACAGTTCTAAAAGTATGAATAGAGTGTTCTGCTTTTGGTTCTTGAGGAAAAAGTGTGTGAGATAACCAAAGCAGCATATAATGCAGGCAAGTTAAATGATATATATATATATATATATATATATATATATATGTAAATTCAAAGTTCTTTACAAACATGAAAAACATAAAGAGCATTAAGAAATAGTGCAATAGCATCAAATTATAAACTGATAATTTGTTTTGTTTTGTTGCATTTATGTGTTCAAAAGAGCGAGCTTTCCAGTTAGGAATTGTACAAGCCTATCAAAAGAAACAAGAAAAGAAAAAAAAGCTTGTACCCGTCCTCCAGGCCCTTTGTGGCGCTGTTGGGTGGAGGCGAGGTGAGCATGGGGTCGTGGATGGGCCGAAGCCCCAGAGAAGAGGCCTGTCCTGGGCTGGAGTCTGAGCTGAGCTGGGAGGTGAGCTGGTTGGACATGGAGGAGCCCGACGGCAGGATGGGAGCGCTGTTGAACAGAGCGGGAGAGAAATCCCTGCACAGAAAGAGAAACTGTTTGGTGGGCTTTCTCCTCTGCATGTTTTCTAAATGTGCAGTGTGTAGAGCTCTCAGTAAGGAAGCCCATATGGGATTTAAAAAAATAATAATAACTTGACAAAATGGACAATGTATTTCCACAATAGTATTAGTATTTTTAACAAATGTACTCAATCATAAGGTTTTCAAAACAAATAATATATATTTTAATTATTAAATGTTTGGCATTTTTGCATAAATGGGAAATTATGTTAAATTGTTTATTTTGCACTTAAGGTTTCTACATTTACTTAACAATATACATATATGTATATCTTTAAGTTGACATGATCTATGTTTCCCTACCCGGTGTCCAGCTGAGCAATGCAGAGCGGTGTGATTCGTCTTCGTCCGTCTGCAGTTCTCGTCTCAACCTGTTTCTTCAGGAGGTTCTGCAAGACGACAACATAAGTCCAAAAATATGTATTTTGCCAACCATTGAAAATACAGCCCTGAAATAGTAGTCATTGATATTTATCTTTTATTTCTAAAACGTTTTTATAATCTTTATCTAATCCCTCTGTATTGTCCATCTAAATATAAACATAAACATTTGGGAGAGAAACTCCGTCTGGAGGGAACGTTGGGATTGTAGTCTTTGCAGACCATTAACATACAAAGAGAAAACCCCAAAAGATGTAATAGGGCCCCTTTAACCCAAAGTTGTAAATAGATTTGGATACAAATATGATTTAGATGAAATTGAGTGTTTTTTTATTTTATTCATCTTTGCCGATTCTGAAACTTGATTTTGTGAATATATATTTTTCGAAAATATTTGTATGAAAATCAGACACAAATGAAGAAAAAATAAGATGAATTCAATGAAAATCTTAGTTTTTATCCTGAACCAACTCAACACTTTGTGCAGCTTGTTGGATGTTTCAATCTAGTGTCCCACCTTCCTGATGTCCTCGAGAGACTCTCCGTTCATCATGCTGTTGAGTTTAGGGGCCGAGGATTCTGGCCCGGCGCTGCCCGGTCCCGAGTTGGCCTGGATTGAGTTCTGGCGCTCCTGCTGGTATTTGAGCATCTCAGGGTTCTCGATGATGGTGGTGGAGAGCTGAGCCTCTGTGCTGGTTATAGCCAGACTCTTACCGTAGATGTTCTGATGGATGCTGTTCTGTATGTCAGAGAAATGACAGGAAATTGTTCTTATTTGGGCTTGATAGAATGATGGAGGAAAGGACAGCATCCAACAAGAGAACAAAGTAGAGACAAAAGAAAGGAAGGGAAATAAAAGCCGACGTAACAAGGTTGGGCAGGTTAATTTGTCTTTGGTTTGGTGCATAGAAAACATATTGATAAATTATATTGATTGATTTTAGGTGTCCTAATAAAAGCCAACTAGTGTGTGTGGGAGAGAAACTCCCTCTGGAGGGAACTTTGGGATTTGAGCCTTTACTGACCTATACAGTACAATACGTTAAAGGGAAAACCCCAAAAAGCATTATGGGTGCCCTTAAAATCATTTTTACAACCTGCTGCTAGAACTGACATTTGTATTATAGTAGCTTGCTTCTCTTGATAGAAAAAAACTTACATTTTAAGGCAAAACCAAGATGTTTTCTTGTTTAACTTTATTTTTATAACAGTCAACGGAAAAAGAAAAAAAACAGCAAAGTTCCACAAAGGCTTGAGGTCGATGATGCTGAGGGCAAACAAAATCTAGATTAATTGAAGTTATTTGTTTATAAAAGTCCTAAAACCTGGGAATGAGTTTGCGAGCCAGCCTACAAAAATACGTCATGACTGCACCACTCTGTTAAGGTAAATAACTAAGTTCGTGTTTGCAGCCAGATGTGATTCCATGATGAGTGTCTAACCTTCTCCTCCTCGTTTAGCGGGTCTCCCAGTTCATCCAGTGAGAAGTCCAGGTAGGCCACAGTGCCGTCCATCGAACACACCAACATCCCCAGACCTGTCAGAGTCCTGACACACACACTACATGTTAGACACTTTTATCCAAAGCGACTTACATACTCAATACTGTGGGCAATCCCCACAGGAGCAATTTGGGGTGAAGTGTCTCAGGAACACAACGACATGCTGACTGCAGTGGGACTCAAACTTGCTATCCTCTGACACACACACACACACACACACACACACACACACACACACACACACACACACACACACACACACACACACACACACACACACACACACACACACACACACACACACACACACACACACAACACACACACACACACACACACACACACACACACACACACACACACACACACACACACACACACACACACACACACACACACACAACACACACACACACACAACACACACACACACAACACACACACACACACCACACACACACAACACACACACACACACACGGGGGGGGATGTTTGTCAATGTGTGATAAGCCACACGAATTATGTCTTAAACTCACCAGGATATGTCCATAATCGATTTATCAAACAGATCATGGATGACCACCAGAGGGCGCTTCAGAGAGGTCAGCTGAGGAAGAGCAACAGACAGAAAGCTTTAGAATCTAACTTGTTACTTTTACATATTTAGGATCTATATACTGCAAAATCATTTAAATAAAATACTAGGGCTGAACCAAATAGTTTGAAGCTTTATTCATTAAATTGATATTGAAATTATTAATGATTTTTTTTCTTGCATGTCCATACATTTTGTTTAAACCCCGTCATTTGAAGGGTACCTAAAACGTAAGTTTAATTGTCTTATGCCTTATTTGATGTGATCGCATGATTCCTTTAGATTTTATTGCAGATCTGCTGTAAGCTAGCTAGCTAACGTAGCTAACATAGTCATTTTAAATATACTGACAAAACTTACAATTACGAAACAGCTAACTCTGCCAACAATGACAGAGGGCCCACCATATAATCCCAGATCATCAACAAGCGCTCCAGTCGCAGCTGTGTGCGTCACTTTTTAGCGTCCCCCCTTTTCTTTGTGTTTTAAGCTTCTTGCAGCGTTTTGTTTATGCAGCGCTTTTAGCAAACCTTTCCTCAAGTTGACGGATGGCTTTGCATGTGTTTCGGCACATTTGTGTTTTCCCATCTGCATCATTTTTTGAAACTGCAGTGCGTATCTCTTAATGGAAGTGTTTTTGGGCCGTTTTAGCGTGTTTGCAACGTACTTCCATACTTGACTGTTAATAACATGACATTAGCTGTTTTGTTTGTTATTGTTTGTTGTGTTTATCTGGCAACAGGGTGTAAATGTTAATTTTTTTTTTACGTGTGTGGACCCAAGGAAAAGTAGACAATGCTCCTAATGGATTCTAATAAAGACATGGTGTGATTTTTAAGAGGATCTGTGGAGTGCTGTGTTTAGACCGGGACTTCCCTGCAACACCACAGTTGTAATTTAAAAATCATATTTTCCCTTTGCCAAATATTGCTCATACTGCAAATTGGGTAAAAAAATCATCTATTGATTGTGCAGCTCTAGACAAAAGCAAGCCGAAATATCTGTAGCTTGACTGAGGAACCTGCATCCCTGGAACTGATTTAAACATATTGCCATTTTATAACATTAACCAAAGTGTGAACATACCCAGACGGAGAGCGACCGGTCTTTGCTGCCGACGGCGCAGCAGCAGTACGGACACCCGGGTTTTTGAGCGCTGCCGTTCTTCTGCTTCTTCTTAAAGATCTTTGGGTTAAATTTCTGCAGAGAAAGAAACCAAATATTTTCAAGTTGCAGATACGATTTGTTTACAATTAAAAGTCTGATATGGCTAAAACGTCCTTACCACCACTGTGACAGCTTTACGGTGGCCGACGAAGTCCATATTCGTTTTCCAGCCATCTCTCTCCACGATCTGAGCGGTGGGACCGGAGTTGTTCATGGCGTGAGCTGACACCAGATACTGACCGTCTGGAGACCAGGACAGACGCAGGACGTGGGTCGTCCCACCACACTGACACACAGAGAAAGACCAGATAAAATTATTCAAACCCTCATTGGTGAACTGTGGGTGTGGATGAATGCAGACGAGGCAAATTGGGTAAACACTTACATACAAAAATAGAGTGTGTTTCTATGTGATAGAGTGGTGCAGGAATGAGTCCTTAAACCTGGAAATTAGTTAGTATTTCTTTTTTTTAGGTGTGTTTTGGGATACCTGATCTGTGTTTAACACAAGCTGTAGAAATGTTCACGTTTTGTCCTACGACATTAAATATGTCAGTAAATACCCCATCGGTGAATGTGTGATTGCATTTATGCTTCAATTATCATAAAAGTGGTGTCAATCTAGGGATTATGACTGTGCTGTGGGTGGATTTTGGTTTCCCAAACTGGCAGTGACACACTCACGCTCGCTTTCTCTTTCTGTCCTAATTTGTGTTAAAAAAATATAAATCTATATTATCAAATATTATATTTGGGAAATAAAGTTTGAGGTTTTCTTCCAATGAATTAGTTCGTAGATACAGCCGAATGAAAATTTAAAAAACTGTTGCGAAAAGTGGGTATAGTTATTTGTATAATTAAACAGGAATAAAAACCAAGTTAATAAGTTGTAAGGTACACCTTTCATAGTCAACCACCTGCTCCAACAACACCATCACACACAGCTCACGAGTTTCTGTACCTCGCTGAAGGGTTTGGTGATGTTGGCCTCCATCTGCCAGTCCATTGTCCTCCACACTCTGAGGCTGTGGTCGTCGGCCTGGGAGGCGATGTATTTCCCCACCGGGTCCCACGTCAGACCTTTAACCAGCCCAGTGTGTCCTCGCAGACATGTCACCATCTCTGGAGCTACACAGAAGACAGACAAGAATAAGGGAAAAGTCTTCCTGCTCTGTGGAACATGTTTTCTTTTTATTATCCTAAAAATAAAGAAATTGTTTCCAGCTTTGAGGCTGCAGACAGGGTTAGCTCTGGGAATTCTCCTACTTGGAAATTTGCGAGCGTTCCAGATGACGATGGTGTTGTCCACGCTGCAGGAGGCCAGCCACACGTCATGAGGAGACCACGCCACGTCCATCACATCTATAAACAAAAACACACACACTGTATAAACCCCCCGCTGTTCCAGAAACTTGGACTTTTCCACATTATCTCCATTGCAGAAGCATTAATGGACTCATCCATACCGCACCTGTTTAGTACTGGATTGCATATACATGCACAGTCGGACTGTTGACTGAGTCACTAGCTTTGTTTTTTTTCTTGTGGACATGCGTTTGCGTTCATGGCAAAATATGTTTTTATATTGACACTTCAGTTGAGTTGTTGGTGAATTTATGTTCTATATACAGCACTTACTGTGCAACATATGGCAGTTAGCAACAGCCACTAAGCTAGCCATGCAGACCACGAGGCAACATGGGGAGTGGACTCAACATGTTCAGTGATATTATTTTGCTTGCATAATGTACAGCTAAGTTAAGTTAAGGGCCAATTTTTGTTCACACATTTTGGTCATTCCATAGACTACATTGTTCTTATTTGATTATGTGTGATTACTTGTGAGTTAATGACCATTGGTAATGGGTAGTAATCCTACATTTACACCGCTATTCTATATCGGCCTGTGGCCAATAGAGGGCAGCATAGGCCAGCTGATTGTGCTTTTCACTCATCTGATTTACTGTGTGTTGAGGTGGAAAACCCAAAACATTGCTACTTGCCATCACCTTACTATAAAAAGGTATTTTTTTTTCCCCCTGCTTTATCTTTGCATTACAGTTACCACACATATTCTACATGTTCATTTCCTACTCTTCATACTGAAGAATTAATACAGTTGGTAACAGACTATGGACAGCCATTCTTCATCATCCGTCGGTCACCTACACCTTCTAACAGAGGACGGGGATATCTAGCTGAAGCACAACAGTTAAGATATCAGTGAGTAATACAGAAGGTCTGTGATGTGTCTTAATGTGGTTTCTTTTGTGTTACTGTGGGTTTTCGCTGCTTGCTTCAATTATTTAATGCATTTTTGGAGGTATTGTGTTTGAGTACATATATTTAATTGTGTTTTGTGTATTACCTCCAGTGTGGTTCCTCAGGATGGTGACACACCTCCACTGCTCCACGTTGGCCAGCTTACTGCTCGACCCGAACACTGTGCTCGGACCAATGAATCTACATAGTAAAACACACAGTGTCAATATGGCCTCATTGATTTCTTTTAAATCACTACTAAAATCACATTTTTATGAAATCACTTTCTTGTGTTAACTGTGTTGTATAATGGGGGTGGGGGTTGTGGTTATTTTGTATTATTACTGAAGCACTTTCTAACCCGCTTAAGGTGATAAATACATTACATATAATACACGTTTCGTTACATCTAATTTAAAGATCCTTTTATATATCCCTCCAATTTATAGGATAAGCTAGTATTTATCTAGATAAATACAACAAACAATTGACAATTCTTTATAGATTATTAATATTATTGATTTGAAAAACACTGACGGCACAGTTCTTTACATTTAATTACCCCAAAAAAAAGGGTATGTGGTTAAAAAATACTTTAAACGTATCTAAGATTGAACCTGTAACAGCAAGAACAACATCTGTATTTACGTGTGTGTGTGTGTGTATGTGTGTGTGTGTGTGTGTGTGTGTGTGTGTGTGTGTGTGTGTGTGTAGGGATGGGTATCGTTAAGGTTTTAACGGTACTACTACTTTTATCGATACCGCTTATCGGTCCGGTCTTTTAACGGTACTCTTATCGGTTCTTTTGGAGAGAAAAATGAGGTAAACGAACTATATGTTGTATGTCAGGGACTACGAATGGAAATTAGCTCAAAGCTAAAATCCGGCATATTTACACTTGAAGCATTATTTGTCTAAAGTGTTCATTAATGTGCATTGTCACTATTCAAATAAACGATTAAATGACAAATGAAAATAAACAAATTGTGAACAAAACTAACATTGCTTTTTATTTAAATTAAATACATAATATTTCACATCAAAAGAAACAACGTTTTAACAAATGGTATTAAATAATGTGATGACAGAACTGTGAACAGAATGGCTGAAACTTTAACAAACTAAATAACTCAGTTACCTCTAATCATCAACCCATGTTTTTGTATCATTGAGTTAGCTCCGTGTGTTGCTGCTAGCATACATAACACCTGACGTGGAAACGTTACTCGTGGATGGGGCAACAGAGCTACTAAGACAGTCAAACCCGGTGCATTCCTCCGTCTGAATGTGGAGCACTTTTGCTAAATGTTTAGACCAATTTCTCGTGTTACCGCCCTGACATGCTAAACTCTTATTGCACTTTAGGCAACGAGCGAGACGGGTAAAGTTTAACCACACCTCGGAGCGCGTTCTCTCCGCCATCTCCTCCGTGTGTGTGTGTGTTGCTGCATGTAGCAGCTGCGTGTGTGTAAACTGCCCCGCCCCCTCGCAAGCAGGCGGGGGAGAGAGATCTCTCGTCTGGATTGGAGAGATCGAAAATACTAAAAATGACGCATTTTGCTGTCTTTTTGCATATTAGAAACGGAGTTGGCGACACTAAAACTGCAATATAATGTTTGTGTAGCAATAATACACATGACATATTTTTTAGATGTCTCCAGTACCGATAAAAAGACCGATAACGTCGGAGATTAACGGTACCACGGTCTTTAATAATTCAGCCCCGGGGCCCGTTTAATACCGGGGCTCGGTACCCATCCCTATGTGTGTGTGTGTGTGTGTGTGTGTACATACGCAGCTCTCTTCCACACCATGACCAGCTTGTCGTCTCCTCCTGATGCCAGGTACAGCCCGTTGTTGGACCAGCGCACACAGTTCACACAAGCTGCAGAGACACACAAACACTCGGGTTGTAAATGTAACTTGTGGGGATTTGTGCTGACGAGGCAGTCCTTTATGGTGGGCATTAATAGGGCCTGCAAGAATTTCCTATTATTAAATCTAACTGCTTGCACATTTATATGGAACACAACCCCACAAGTATGAACACAGTCTGCTGCTGCTGCACTCAGAGCAGCAATAGTAGTCAGTGGTGAATAAAAACAGAAAAAGATTCAAACCCTTATAGTGTGACCCAGAAGCTACACTACATTACATTAAATGTAATTTAACTGACGCTTTTATCCAAAGAGTCTTAGAAACACAGTGACTTGTAGTACTCATACGGTGAATCCTGTTATGTTGTCATCTCTAACAACATTTATTTGTATTTTAAAATTGTCCTGTCGTCAGTGCAGATCTAAAGGGGGAGTATAGCTTGGCTTTTTCGGACCGGTGGGTAGCGCTTAAAGCAATCTTAAAAAACCATACCTCGGTCTTGGCTGTTCATATTTTTCACTATAGAAGCTGTAACTGTGTTTTTCAAATTTGTGGTTACAAGTGTCATTCAAAGTATAATAATGAGTATGTTTAAGTTTATGGACAAAAAGCAGTGGGATTACCGGATTGGATTGCAGCATAATGCAGAATAAAAGCTCTTTGGCAAGCACATGTTTATGATGCCTAAAATGTTTTCTTCAGTGGGATAAATTCTACATTTTAATGCCACCATGTGATTTTTAAAGCGTAATTGCAATTGCCAGAAGTAAAAAGATAAAGCTAGGGTATAAACCAACTACATCACGGTCGCATGGTGTGCATCACCACCGCTAAGCTAAAGGCGATGTTGTGTTGCATGATGACGTTTTGTACTTTAGTCACTTGTTAGCAACCGCCGTTTAAATGACACATAAAAGCTTTGGATATTCGCGAGAGGCGTAATAATTAATGCCGTCTATGTCGGAGAACAAAGTTATTTCCGGGTTTTAGGACTCTGCACCACTCTATTAGAATCAACTGGAAAGCGAATAGTGGTAAGGCTGGTTAGGTTACCTAGGTGATTGTCCATCTGGCAAAGCATTTTGGGAATATTCTCATTCTTCTCATCCTCCTCTCTGAGGACTGGCGCCATGTTCCAGATCATCACCTTGCCCGAATCCTCTCCTGAAAACAAATCCAATATGAAAACCCATACATTGTTGACTTTATGTATCTTTGTGTTTAATTTTTTTTAATCCTATAGACTGTAGTCTGCAGGCGAACTTTTAGTATGTAGTCATAGATTCAAAAACACAGTACACTTCCTTCGCCTTAGTGCTACAACAAGTATTGGACACCATCTAAAGACAAAAGTCAACTTCAGCGCCAGAGGATGTGCACAGGTACTGGTCTTACCTTGGCCCCCGGTTGCAAATTTTGTCCCATCAGGGTGGATGTCAACAGAAAATATGGGCTTGCCTGTAAAACACAACAAATGTCTACATTTAATGATATTTATCACATTTTGTATAGATTCATAGACACAGTTTAACAGATACTTTAGACTGAAACTGTAGATAGATAAGCAATGAAGTCAGACTGGGTCCATGATGTGGAACCAGTGGTGGATGAAATACTCACATCTGGCACTTAAGTATAATCATACATACCAAAGTGTAGGAATATTTCTCAAGTAAAAGTACAAAAGTATTGGCATCAAAATATACTTATAGTACATAAAGTAAACTCGTTATGCACATTTGCCCATTTCACAATCATTTATATTATATGTTTTGATGATAATTATTGATGTTTGGATGTGTTTATCGAAGCTGTTAATGTTGGAACTTTGAATTGCTTCATTTACTGCTGGGTAACATGTGAATTGAATCCAGGTGTAAGTAAAGTCTGATTTAAAGTGGACCTATCATGCTATATTTGAATAATATAGTGTAGGACCATACCTATATAAGGCATATTTATACTTTTTTTTTCTTCAAAATACCAAACAGATCATGCATTTTAGCCATGCCTCATTTTGCTCAATTTGACATTTTTTAGCTCTGTTTTTGCAAGGGCAGATTCTGTGAGAACAGCACCATCTACAGGCCTGGCATATGTACTACAGCGTCTCCATCGCTTTCGAACGGCAATGGCCGTGGCTGTCTCCTCCTGATTGGTGGAGTTGGCCCAATAGCCGTAGCGCCACTATACTGACGTCAGGACAGTGTTCAAATCTGGATCAGTTTTTATCAGATCCGTTGCAGCCCCTTTTTTAGAGATTTGGGTATGGAGGAAAATAGAGAGGGTTGTGTTTTCTGACACTTGGTGAGTTCCCTGGAACACCGGGGACACATATTCATGTAGAAAAGATGTACAAAAGTGCATTTTGCATGATAGGTCCCCTTTAAGTGTTGATTATATTTCCCATCATTAATCCAAATCGGCAAAGTAACTAAAGGTATTACATAAATGTACAGTATTTACCTCTTAAGTAGAAGTACAAAGTAGCATAAAATGGTAAACCCAAGTAAAGTACAAGTAATTGTACAGTACCTGAGTAAATGTTCTTAGTTACTTTACACCACTGAACTTAGTTCAATATAAATTGAACAAAAATATAAAAAAACGCAACACTTTTTTTTGCTCCCATTTTTCATGAGCTGAAATCAAAGATCTAAGACTTTTTCTATGTACACAAAATGTCTATTGCTCTCAAATATTGTTCACAAATTTGTTTAAATCTGTGTGAGTGAGCACTTCTCCTTTGCCGAGATAATCCATCCACTGCACTGTATTGCACAGGTGTGCCTTGCCTTAGGCTGGTCACAATACAGCAGTTTTATGACACAGCACAATAGAGTGCCACAGTGACGCGTCCTAAAACCCGGAAGTAAACTCCTTCCGGTTCCTTCGACAAAAACCACTGCAATTTCTCCATAGGATTTTGGAAAATAGCTCGAAATAAGGTCTGTGGTTGACACAAATTGAAGAGACAGATCACGTTTTGTTCAGCCGGATAATATCCACATGTCTACCCTACTTTTATAATTTTCAAATCATAAATCTATCGATCATAAATCTATCGATTAGATTTATCTGATCTGTCTCTTCAATTTGTGTCAACCACAGACCTTATTTCGAGCTATTTTCCAAAATCCTATGGAGAAATTGCAGTGGTTTTTGTCGAAGGAACCGGAAGTGGTAAAATGCTAACTTACTTCCGGGTTTTAGGACGCGTCACTGTGGCACTCTATGATGTCGCAAGTTTTGAGGAGCATGCAATTGGCATGCCGACTGCAGTTATGTCCACCAGAGCTGTTGCCCGTTCATTTCTTGTTCATTTCTCTACCATAAGCCGTCTCAAAAGGCATTTCCGAGAATTTGACAGTACATCCACAAGGCCTCACAACCGCAGACGACGTGTATCAGCCCGGGACCTCCACATCGGCATCTTCACCTGCAAGATCGTCTGAGACCAGCCACCCGAACAGCTGATGCCACCATCGGTTTGCATAACCAAAGAATTTCTGCACAAACTGTCAGAAACCGTCCAAGGGAAGCTCATCTGCATGCTCCTCACCGGGTCTTGACCTGACTGCAGTTGGTCGTCGTACCCAACTTGGGTGGCCAAACGCTCACCTTTGATGGTGTCTGGCACTTTGGAGAGGTGTTCTCTTCAGGGATGAAACTCGGTTTTCAATGTACAGTAGGGCTTTGCAATTAATCGTATTTGAATCTTGATTACGATTTTGGCTTGCAACGATTACGAAAACAACGTAATCGAAATAAAGATTATTTTGCTGCATTCCCTTTCGCAATGATCCTCTCAATTTGTCTTGCGTTATACATCCTACCCGCGCGTGCGCTTTCGCCCCTCCCTAAAAGCCCTCTCAAAAGCCTATCCCAGGATGCACAGCGCGCGTGACAAGGGAGTCTTTTTTAAAAAATAAATGGCGGTCCGGTCTCAGCAGCAGAGAACTCTAGAGCTCATCACTTCTGTCACTTTAGCCTTAAAATTGAAGATTTTTTTATCTTCAATTTTAAAAAACCGATCACAACTGTGTGCAATACAGTACTTCTCATTATGCATATATATACTTATTGCATTGCTGTAAACAGTTTATGTATTTGCAATACAGTGTTGACACATTTATATTATTTAATTTAAATTGTGTTTGTATATATTTGACCCACTATTTTACGTCTTAGTTTCAGAATTTAATTTTATTTGTGTCCTTTATTTTCAAATATATTTAATGAGCATTGCTTGAGTCTGTCTGAATTCCAAATATTTATTAACTAACAGCGGCTTCTCTTTACTTGTTGCACACATAAACACAATATTTGTTTTACTGCTGTTGATGTTAAATGACATGATTGATTTCCTATTTCTTAGAAATGAAAGTATTCCATGCGGCACTCTGTGAACAGCCAGCTTCTTTAGCAATGACCTTTTGAGGCTTACCCTGTCAATGACTCTCTTCTGGACAACTGTCAGGTCAGCAGTCTTCCCCATGATTGTGTAGCCTACTGAACCAGATTGAGAGACCATTTAAAGGCTCCGGAAACCTTTGCAGGTGTTTTGTGTTCATTAGCTGATTAGAATGACACTGTGCGCCCACAATATTGTATTTTTTTCAATATTAAAATTATCTGAGATACTGAATTAGCTTTTCATTAGCTGTAAGCCGTAATCATCAAGATTAAAACAAATAAACATTTGAAATAATTTCAATTACTGAAATTAATAAATGTTCCCACGATATTCAAATGTATTGAGATGTAACTGTAATATGTGTCACTACTTTCTTTAACCCTTAGATGCATAAGTGGGTCTTTTTGGACCCGGTGAGGTGGTTTTCTTGAAGTATCTTTGTAATTACATTTTTTTATCATTTCAAATTCCAGCTATTCCTCAAAAAACATGTTTTGGATATCATGCCATTCACATTTTAAATTTACATTTTAAGAAATTGTATTTTGGTATTACTACCCCAAGCTTCCATAAGTGGGTCAAAAATGACCCGCATGAATCCTATGGGAACCTTTTATTCTTATCACCTGTTGCCGTCAGGAATACATTCACTGTAGACCACACAGACTACATCACAAGTGAAACCTCTCAGGAAGATTATTTTACACAGCAAGATCTGATACCTGTCAGTATAATACATTATATTTGTATAGGGCTTTTCAAGGACTCAAAATCGCTTTACAATATAAGGGAAAGTTAGGGTGGGGGGGGTATAGGACTATCAAACTTGATCAACCGGCATGGATTGATGCTATGAGTAGACAAGAGGAGAAGAGATGAGTTTTGAAAAGGGACTGGAATACTGTGAGGGTCTCAGAATAGTGGAGATCTTTGCATTAATATGTTCAAAACGTTTTTTTTCAAAATGTAAAAAAAAAATTCTAAAATTCTAAATTGTGAAAAATTAAAGCGGACCTATCATGCAAAATGCACTTTTGTACGTATTTTATACATGAATATGTGTCCCCGGTGTGTCAGGGAATTCACCAAGTGTCAGAAAATACAACCCTCTCTTTTCCTCTATACCCAAATCTCTAAAAGCGGGGCTGCAACGGATCTGATAGACTGATCCAGATTTGAATTATTTTCTACGTCACAAAAGTGGTGCTCCGCTTAGTGGTCAATTCTCCACCTATCAGGGGAATGTGGGGTTGGGCCACGGCCGGCCATTGCCGCTCGAAAGTGCTGGAGACGCTGTAGTACATATGCCAGGCCTGTAAGTGGCGCTGTAGTCTGCCACAAAAGCAGTGAAGAAGACTTCCATTGCATGGTTGCCATGGTTGCCCTTCTGTTTATTCTCCGCTGTGGCTCTTTTTCTCCCTCCCCGAGGCAAGCGTTTGCGCCTCCTGTTGCTGTAATTCAATGCAATCCCTCCCTGTCGAGGCAAAAAATCTTCCGAAAAAAAATTGAAAAGTGCCGGTCAAAGGTCTTCTTTGTTATTTATTGAGCTTTAAAACAAATGAATAATGACTCTATATAATCATATGTAAGGGATAATGTGCAGCGACGCGGTCATTATGGGGAAAAAAATGTTATTTTCCCCATAATGACCAAGTCGCTGCACATTATCCCGCTTACTACATGGCCACATTCTCAACAAAGTAACGATATGACTCCCAATCAGAGGTCGCGTTAACCGAATATTTTCCGCCTATGACGGAATTTTTCCAAGAATGACGGAAAAATCTGAAAGCAGTCCGTCATTTTGACAGATTAGAACACAACTCGGAACAGCGCCAAAATGTCCACCAGCGGCCCACATTATATTACATCCTTAGTGGCCAGGTCGACTGAGGGAGAATGTGTATAAATATATATAGATACATTTTCATAACAAAACAATGGGGTTGCTAGGCGCCGTTGCTAGGGGCCGCCCGCCCCTGCCTCGTTGTTTAACCGGCTTTAGCAATCGAAAAATGTCACGGCAGCTGAGTGTCCGAAG